CGACGGTGGTGTGCATGCAGCTGTAGAATTTGGCTAGCACGAACAGTGCTCGACCGACGGATTTTCTCAGTGTGGATTTCGCGGTGATCGGGTAGGGGAAGATGACCCAGAAGAAGGATATGGCGCATCCGGCGGCGACGGCGGCCAGCTTGTAGGGTCCGAAGAGGTAGATGGGGTAGTACGGCTGGCCGTTGGAGGTTGCGACCTCTATTCCTAGTTTGCGGACCTAAATTGGTTAGCGATGTTGCGTTGTACGCGTGAACTGATAGACTTACCTGTAGCTCATATCCAACGATGACATTCAGAGTGACGATCGAGATGATGGAAGCGCCGAAGTATTGAGGGACGTTCACGTAGAAGTAGTACTATCAAGCACAGGTCAGAGATAGAGTGGGTTGAGAGCGGACGAAGTCTTACCTCGAATACATTGGCCAGATATAAAAACACAATGACACCAGGGGTTTTCTGATCGACAATGTACCAGACAACCAGACTCAAGACCAGCGAGACAGCGGTAGCTACAATACGGGTCACGAAGCCGAACATAGACTGCCCACTGGTTGGATTCATCCCGATCACAATGACAATCATAGCCCAGATGCACCTCTGGTGAACGAAGAAGTTCTGTGTCTGGTGTAAAAACGCCAATATGCCGACAGAGAATGCTGCGGCCGCAACGCGAAACCCGAAAATACTTTGCTCCGACTTGATAACATGTGATATAAAGCGAATGATAGTGCTCGCTTTCTCCAGGAGGTTAGCTGGGGGTAGATGCTCTGGATCAGGGAACCGGTCAGGCTCATCCTCAGGGGCCGGATTGGACTGGGAAGACTGCCTGCTGTCCGAGCGACTCGATTCATTCTTCTCAGACTTTAACGATAACCATTCCCGTACGGAGCTTTGCATGGGGAAGATCGGTCTGCTCTTCGTCATTGTTCCGTCGGTAGTTTTGCTATCCGCGAATTTAATTAGATCGAGCACCCCGTTGAGGAGACTCTCCTGTAGATGACCCATGTACAGAATTAAGAAAAATTCCTGTCTGACATCGGGGTCAGACACGACATCTCTGGAGTCATTAGATATGTCCTCAACCTTTTCGGACGCCGAGAATGCTCCAAGACTCGCCAAAGATCGTGGGAGATGCTTGCGCCGTTCAAAGTACTTGGTCGTTTGTTGTTCAAATCGAGACGTAAAATCCGAATCAAGCGGACTGATTGCCTCGCCTTTGGATTCCTCATCACCGGCTTCGTTGCGTTTTCTCTCTAGCTGCTTAGGCTTGGCTAGCTCAAGTGCCAACAAAACATACTGCAGCCCTGCTGTTGTTAGACGGGTCGCATCAGCCAAACGGTCACGGAGAGTCTCTGAGACCTTCTCCATCTCTGATTGCTTCTGTAGCTCATCCCCAGGTTTACCATCCAACCCCCTGCCAGTCTCCCGTAGCCCTTCGTTCTTGACGATCATATCCAGAACATCCGGCAGCTGGGCCATTCCAGCTAGAGGCAATAAAATGCTGCGCAATAATCCGCCGATACTGTTTAAATCAGTCGCAGACAGCTTTCCCCATGCAAACTCATCGTTAGCATAAAACAGATCGGACTGTAGTTTGCCATGAAGGGCATTCAACTTCGTGATCGACGTCGTCAGCTGTTTCTGCCGCGACTCCAGATCAGACCCAGGATTATCCTTAGCATCGCGAACCGTCTGAGCCGTCCGCGTCCTATTCAGCAGTCCTTGACCCCCGGTCAGTAACTGAGGGGTATGCTCTACGAAGGCGATCTGCGACTGCAGGACTGCGTCAATCTGCGCCACATAGCCCTTGATGTCGTGGAAGACGTTCCGTCGACTAGTAATGGGCAAGATCAATAAGGATACGCCCGTCGCAATGGCGAAACCGATCATAAAGCCCTTCAGCAGTCTCGAGACGAATGCCAACCCCTCGGATACTGTCACGAAGGTCCCCGCTCGCGTGATGGTGACAGATGCAAAGATCGAAAAGGCCACCATCGGATCCTGTAATTCCATAGGGTGCCATGCGCGGATGGTGTTCGCTACCCTGCTCTGGTATTAGTAGAATACTTTAAGGAAAACAAATCGCTCGTCAGTAGTTAGTGGCGCGCACGACTGGAGGGCGCAACGAACCATATCATGAAGATCAGCCAAATGGCAGATACGGCACAAGCGTCACTACTGTAGCCATTCCTGACGCTCTCACTGGCATCCGAAGGGGTGTTGTGCTCCCTTGCTTTGACAGCACAGTAGATTGTCAGACAGCAAAGCGAAGCGGACACACAGGTTGATAGTAGATCGAAGAACATGATCTTCATGAACTTGGCGCGCGGGGTCAACGCTTGCGACAATACGGAGATGAGGGCGGATAGATATCCGATGGTCAATGTGATGTCCGCGACGGCATCGCTCTGGTTTCTGGGGCAAATCAATTCTCGTGTTCCAGGTCCAGTGGAAGCTGTATACGAACATTGCGATTACGATCGTTGGTGGCAAAGCACCTTTCAACATCATGAGGAAGGTCCGGGAGTCTAGCCCCAGCCGTGATCTCCATGCTGACGGATTTAATATACTTGCGATGCTCAGTGTTGCTCTAATTAATGGCAAATGAGGGAAAACAACTTACCTTATGAGCTTAGTTGATTTAGAGTTGGTACTGTTGGTTTGAGCCATGCTAGGTACAGGGACTGCTAACACATTCGCTCTGGTATGCAGCCACCGTCGCTGTATCTGTTACATGGAGGTTTAGATGTGATAGAAAGAAAAGTTTTCAATTCTAGATTTAGCTACCAGCATCATGAACTCTAAACAACTCGCATTAAAATTGGTGGCTGCAAGCGGCTGGGATTGTCGTGCCCGCGATCCATGACGCGTGCCGAGCCAAATGCCGACATAAGGCTGAAAGTTTTGCACTGGGGATTGTCTTCTACTTAGAGTGAGTTATGGATCAAGATTCAGCCTACTCAATATCTCGGGATATATTTCCGGGTCCTCAATATACCACGGATGTGTACTCAATAGGAGGAAGATAATACAAGTTGTTGATTCGCGCTATCACAACAAGGGCATGTATACGTAACAAATCGATTGGCTGTGGGAATCTCCTTTAATTGTTGAACTAATGGGGGAAAACTAGCGGAAGGTCAAAAATAAGAGCAGAGAAGCGGAAGATAACCGAGATTATAGTAAATGAAAACAATACTCCTGTGTAGCCGACGTTCTCAAGAATAGCCATGATTGTCATCCAAACTCTTGGCGGGTGAAGTTTTTACCGTTCTAGGGAAGTGTTCACATGACGACACGAAGGAGCCCTAATTTGACTAAAATAGCCTTCGACGACTGACTACGTATATTGAAGGGAATACTCCGGCATCACTTCATCATACGCAATCCTACGTCGGTTTAGCTGGAGAGGATGTTGTGTAACGGGGTATGACAACTAATCTAGCGGCTTCTCCCGAGTAAGGGATGGAATGTGATTTCATGCGAATTGTTGAATTAATCCAGCGCACTCTGCATTGTGAAGTATCGACGGAATACAACAGAAATGATCTAGTGCAGACTATCAATCAATAAGGCCAATAAGGAGAAAAGTTTAGCGTCTTTCATCTTATCGAACCACTACACCGTACTCCGTAATGATTCATCGAGTGGGATCCCATCAGCCACAGCGGTGGAGTTGGTGGAGAGGGTTGAAGATCGCACCGGTCGAGAACAACCATGATTGCGATTCCAACTTGAGTAACGTACAGAGTCCTGCACGCTTGATTGTCATGGGCAGAAATGGATGCCTAGTATCGGAAATTTTCTCAACATTCCTGAAAGGTGACGGAATACTACCTTTCAAGATGGGAGTGACTGCCGGGGATAGTCTGGACAGAGCAGGGAGAATGATAACGCAAGAAGGATCAGCATGACACCGCAGATAACGGGAACTCTGCTCACTTTACCATACCATACCGGTACCTATGACATAATGGGTGGGCAAGGACGGTCGCACTGCGTAATGGGCGATACGACGGGAGCCATCGGGGCTTCGGCGAGTCTTCTCCGAGGACCAGACTCTCAGCCCCTGACATCAATCCCGCCAATCACGGCTGGAGATCGACATGGCAGAGTGAGGCGTCATTCCCCACTGACCTCGCTTGCCCTACTTTTTCTTTTTCTTTTTCTTCCTCTTTGGAAATTAATTAATTCATTTAACTATGATTTGGATCTTAGCTTCTCCCTACAGGGAGAGCCATGGATGACAACAATGAACGCCCCCTTACATCGTCACCAAAAAATAAAATAAAAATAAAAATAAAAATAAAACACCAACCGTCATCGTGCGTAACTGTGAACTCCTCAAAAGTTGGTCATTCATTCCAGTGGTACAGTGTCAGGGCAGATCCGGATGAATGCATGACTGCAACCATGGAAGAGAAAACTACAACTTAGAAGACATCTCGGAGATAAGCCAATGGCTATGACAGAGTACCCGATCGTGCAAGTTGGATGTTCATAGGGCCGACTAGAACCCATAGACGTGGCGCAGTATCCCAACCAAGTGTCCATTTCAACCATGTAAGTATTTTTAACGTCGTTCTGGTCCATGGATCCAATGGGTTTCGCATTGCGATGATCATTCCGTCTTGGCAAACATCATTAGCTACTAAGCAACTTGCCGCCATCTTAAAACTGAGGCAAATCTCCGGGGAATCCCCTGAAGCTTGTCCTGCTCCTTCCATTCCTCTCTTTTTCTTTTTTGGTTTCTGCAATATCTGCAATTACTGCCTAGGGATTCGACCTAGTCCCCTGCCCCTGTGACCTCCGATCTCTGGCTCTGAAATACATGCGTAAGTTGCCCTCTGCTCCACTTCATTCCTCTCCACCCTAATCTGCTTTCCCGTTCTGGATAAGAGCTGGCCGCCAGCTGCAAAGAAGTGAATTTGCCCTCGTTACCCCCAACTGGGTCGAATATCAAGTTTTGTGCTTCCTTGACTGACGATTTGATGCGCCCTCCAGACCGTATTCATTCGTGGGCGAAAGCTCACGCGTCCTCTCGTGGTTCTGCTCCTGACACTCAAACTCCCTCCAGCACTCTCGGTCCTCAACCCGCTGTAGGAGTGACCGCAACCTCCCAGCAAAATGGACAAGTGACTGATCCCGTTGGGACCCTGGCAACACCAGGGTCGGATCCTGAAAAACCCGATGGGGAGCAACCGTCTGCCCCCAACCGAGGACTTTTGGTCCGTATGAAGGATGGCAGCATCCGTTTCCTCAGCCATACGAAGCATGCCCTTTGTCACAGCTGGGTCAATGTTCTGCTCGTATTCGTGCCCGTTGGCATTGCCGTTGAGGCTGTCGGCTTAAGCCCGGGTCTTATCTTTGCCATGAATGCCATCGCCATCATTCCACTCGCCGGTTTATTGAGCCATGCCACCGAATGTGTCGCTAGTCGTTTGGGAGACACCATCGGTGCTCTCATTAACGTCACCTTCGGAAATGCGGTCGAGCTAATTATCTTCATTATTGCACTGGTCAAGAATGAAATCCGAGTGGTTCAAGCCTCCTTGTTAGGCTCCATCTTAGCAAATCTGCTGCTTATCATGGGAATGGCCTTCCTCTTGGGAGGTCTTCGTTTCCAGGAACAAATCTACAACAGCACTGTCACTCAAATGAGTGCATGTCTTCTCAGCTTGAGTGTCATGAGCTTGCTTTTGCCGACCGCTTTCCATGCCTCATGGTCAAACAATGCAGCGGCTGATAAGTATACTCTGAAAGTCAGCCGCGGAACTAGTGTGGTAAGCAGCGACTATTCTTGGTGCTCTCCAAATCTCCCCACTAATGCTTGTTAAACAGGTCTTGCTTCTGGTGTACATCCTGTACATTATCTTTCAACTCAAGTCCCACTCCTACCTTTACGCCAGTATCCCCCAGCAGATTATAGATGAGGAATCCCACCCTGGTGTTCTGGCCGATTTCATGAACCATTCATCAGATTCCTCCAGCAGTTCGTCGGATGAATCCGACGATACGACAACGTCGTGGAGCACTGCAAAACGTATTAAGAAAGCGATGAAGTACCGCAGACATCGAAAATCGAGCACTAGCTCCAAGGGCACCGCTTCTACTCCATCATTCCGCAAGCAGGTTCTGTCGGAAATGCCATCTACGGGAAGCAGCGAGACGCCCGACTCTGTTCATCGCTCAACATCGATCCCTACGGACGATCCCGCATCCTGTGCGATTGAAATCGGTGATGACCCTCGCTACGATGCAGACAATGATGCGAACCAATTCGAACCCCACTTCCGAGACTTCGGTCAGGAATCCAGTCAAGTGAAGCTTTCCAAGAAAAAACTTAAAGCCAAACGACGTGAGATACGGAAGCAACAGAAGCTTGCAGAAAAGGCAAATGAAACGGCCGCTACAGACAGTGCCACCAATACTCGACCATCCTTCAAGACTCACTTGTCGGAACCTCCCTTGGAGCTGAGTGGATTGGAGAAGGGCCCACAGGACCTAGATTCTCCCAAGAGACGCAGTGCATTCCGTCCTGCTATCCCCTCCCTGTTGTCAAACACTGTTTTCTCTAACTCCCAAACCCCATACAACGTACGGGGTGATCCATCTGGAAATCTCAACGGCCTCCGACGCACAAATTCCCTCCCGTCTCGAATGAACCGCCCTCCACCTGTTGGGAATGCGGTTCAATTCGCCCGTGGCGCAGCCCGAATGCCCACCGCTGTCAACCCGCAGACCCTCCAACCAGCACCGGAACATCAAGAACCGGAAATGTCACGCACGGCTGCAGTTGTCATGTTGCTTCTCTCTACTGGTTTGGTCGCTGTTTGCGCTGAGTTTCTAGTGGACGCAATTCCCGAGATGATCGAAAGCTCATCCGTCAGTGAGGCCTTTATCGGTCTAATCATTCTCCCTATTGTTGGAAATGCAGCGGAACACGTCACCGCTGTTAGTGTGGCCACAAAAAACAAAATGGACTTGTCAATTGGTGTCTCCGTTGGTAGCAGTATTCAAATTGGTGAGTTGCATCATATCTATTCCATAAGACTTGTATAACTGACGTTTAACAGCCATTTTCGTCACTCCTCTGGTGGTCATTCTCGGCTGGTGCATGGACAAAGACATGTCCTTGTACTTCACTCTATTCGAGACCATTTCCCTCTTCGTCACTGCATTCGTGGTGAACTTCCTGGTGTTGGATGGTCGCAGTAACTATCTTGAAGGCGCTCTTCTGATTGCGGCCTATGTGATTATTGGGTATGTCACGCATCTAGTACCGCATGCTTTTGTGTTCAGGACTAACCTTTCGTACAGTGTTGCTGCGTTCTTCTACCCCCCTGCTAATCTATCGAGCGATGTTGCTACTGCTGGGCATTAGTTACACGCAGTATCCGACGGTTGATGCTAATGGATGCCGTCGGAATATTCTGCTTCTTTCTACCTCACTACGAAATTAAATGTAATAGTTATTATTTGCCATGGTAGGAGAAACGATTCGGATGTGGTACATAGGTTTATTCTTCTCGGACTGGATGGCGTTGGACACTACCAGAGTGAATTACGTCCGAGCACCTTGCAGTTTTCGGGCATGTTATTCTACTTATAATAGTTATCTACTCATTACAAGGGGTACTCTGTATCTGGTTCTCAGATCCGGTGTTTCCTATTGTCCAGCACACTTTATAATTCTGGTCCACAATCGTAGTTTTATATTCATATACCCATTCATTCGAACAAAGCACAACGATCATGCTTCCTGGTGAATATCAACGTGTACACCTTCAGGAAACTGAACCTCCTTCAGATCATCCACGGTAACATTCTCCGGGGCGACAAATCTACGTATCATTAGTAAGTATCACCATACTTAGCAGGGACTATAATCATACGAAGTGGTATGTATAGGAGGCATGCTCCTCATAGAGATGAACAAGGTCTGCTCCGTGGCTCCCTTCTCTGCGAATTTGTCCTTGGTCCTGTATTATGGATTAGAAAGGTATATTGAATGGTAGATTGCAAGAGCAATCGATGGTCAGCAATACATTTGCTCGATGATGCTTCCGTATTGCTGATATATCTCTACGGTGTCGTAGCTGATTAGGATCGTCTGTTGGGTATTAGTATAGTCAATTTTTGTTGAATGGAATGGATTGTGACTGACAAACCGGCGCATTGCTCTGTTTAATTCTTTTTTATCAGGATTGTATTTCCCGAGTGCCTCTTGCTTCATTTGTGTAGTGGAAGTTACATGCAGCGGGGTTCATGAATTGGGATGCTTCTGTCTTGCGGGAAAGCTATGCTGATGACATCATCGTCGGCTGGGTCTTTAATATTGCATGTCTAAATACTCGAGCTGGAGTTATACAGTAGGATAAATACCAGAATGATAGAAAGTCGTATCCAGGGATTTATTATAACTGTGTTCACAGTGCGTTTTATTGAGAATTAACAGATTCCCGCGTTGAATACTTTAAGGGGCATGTGCTAGTTCTCATATTCATTTAGAGATCTGTCATATGGAAGGCATACAAATTATAGATGACGGATTGGAGGCCGCAGAAATAAAATGTCACTCGGTAAGAAGCGATGCAGTTATTCTGATAGAAGAAGACTTAACACCATCCACCTTCCAATAAGCCAAGCCCGACCTTTCCAATGGCCTTGCCAGATTCAAGGATCCTATGTGCCTCTTTAATTCCTTCAAGATCCAATTGCAGTCGCCTCGTCAGGTGGCATTTAATCTTGCCTGCGTCGATAAGAGCTGAGAGCTCTTCCAACTTTTTCCATTGATTAGTGTCAACGCCATGGTACATCCTCGATCCAAGCCAGCACCAGACGAATGTTAGAGACTTGGACATAAACTGAGTACCATACATGTTCATATCGGGAGATTGAACGATTGAGCAAACCTTACCCAGCGGAGCAATGATGTCCGAACAAACACCAAGGTACTGCGACGTGGAATAGGTGATGTAGACATACCTGTCTCGAGAATTAGCATACATCCATTTGGAACGACGAATCACTGCTCACTTGATAGGCACATCAAGATGGAGCTCATCAATCTGCTTCTTCAAATCTTCCCGATGATTGATAACGTGAGTCGCTCCCATCTTCTTCGTGAAATCGATCGTCTCAGGTCGCGATGCCGTGGTAATCATGACAGGCAACTCGAGTACCCATCGCGCGATTTGCGATGCCATGGCCCCTACACCACCGGCGCCATTGATGATCAGAATACCGACCTTTTCTCCCTTTTTGATCTCCAGCCGATCCAATAAGGACTCGTAAGCGGTTCCGTATGTTAGTGGCATCGGGCAGCTTCAACAAAATCTAATGATTTTGGTTTATGCCTGACGGTAACCTCCGGCACTAATTGGTATTCACAATAGGCACCTTGTTTTGTAGGAGATGATACATAGAAAACTTCGTCACCGCTTCCCAAATGATGTTATGATGATGTTACCCAAAGCTTATTTATTTTCATCCTTATGGCTTTTACCGGTGGGCGACAATACGCAACTATTGACATGACGAATGTATAGAGTAAAGAAGAAAAAGAAGAAGGAAGAAGTAAATGAACATGGCAATGGCACGTATGCTCAATGTCGGCAGTTCTTCTGCACATCCAAAGGCGAAGTTCATCTGGCCAGGCCAGCAGTATACAGAGTATAGGGTCCGTGCTAGTGATTGAAGGGCGCACCAAGGTGACCAAATAGCTGTTAAGTCTGCCTAGTAGCTACCTATTTTTAGCTAGACAAGCGACTCGAGTGTGAAGTTCTACCATCTGACATTGATTGGCCAAAACATATTCTAGGGAAAGAATGACCTTTGAACCATGGCATAGCGCTAGCTACATTTGCTCTATAGATGGGTTGAAATGATAGTAAAACATGAAGTAGGTTTCGTGCGATAACATCTTGCATGCCAGTCTTATATACGTCAGAAGTGGACATTTGTCTTATGCCGCTTTCAGTGTTTTGGGTGTCCGCTTTGACGACTTGTTAACCGTAGAATGTTCCCATCCCTGAAGAAGAACACCGGTACAACGGCATATGGGTTCTCTAGTGACCATTTTCTTGAACAACTGCCTGTTCTCTAGTGGGCTTCACGGTAGGAACACTAGCACCAACGCTGCCCAAAGAATGATCGCTGACCGATATGCGGTCCATCTTATATTCTTTGACAAACACGCTTGTGAGTAACCCCAATCCTGCGAAACCGCACATAACAGCCCAAAGTGTAGCAAGAGCTTGGGCATAAGCTTGCTTGGTTGGATCCCGAAGATCAGCAGGCAAACCCTTGATAACCTCTGCTAAAGCTGAGGCGTCTTTAGCGTATTGATCAGCGATTCCCTTCGTTTGAGGATGGTTTCGTAATTGCGATTTCATGGAATTCTGGAACACGACGCCGCCAACAGCTACGCCGATCGCCTGTCCCGCGCTTCTGAAAAAATTCGTCATGGTCACAGCCATGGCCATATTATTTTCTGGAGCAGAAGCCTGAATAGCAAGCGTCAAAGAAGAAAACAGAATCCCCGTCCCGAGTCCAGGGACTATGTTTAAGAATATCCACTGAGGAATACTTGTTTCGACATGCAACAGATAAAGCAAACCAGTCCCGGTAGTAGTCAGAATCCAACCAATCCAAATCTCCCACCGATAGTGACCCCGAAGAGCAATGAGTATGCCAACTAAGCCGGATGCCGGGGCAACGGTAAACGTTTCTGGGAGCAATGCTACGGCCGATATAATTGGTTTATAACCTAGGACCGCTTGGTAGTAGAGCGGAAGGTAATAAAGCATTGACCACAACAACATGCCATGGAGGAAGCACCCCATATAGTTAAAGGAGGAGGACAGATCCTGAAAGATATGCAGCGGGATGAGCGGATTAACTGCAAAGAGCTTCTCATATGCGACGAATGCCGCTAGACCGCCCAAACCTAGTACTAGGGGCAATATTGTGTGCCATGAGTTCCACGTATACATCACTCCACCCCAGGTTAGCGGGAGAAGGACTGATGTCAGTGATGTGGTGAACAAAATACAACCAATGTAATCAGCCTTTGCCAGTTTTGGACGGATAGACGACCGAAAAAGGCCAATCTTCCATAGCATTGGGACCAGGAGAACACCAATGCCTGCAAAGGGCAGGTTAATCCAAAATATCCACCTCCACGTCACCAACTGTGCAAATACCCCCCCAAGGAGAGGCCCACAGACGCTTCCAACAGCCCAACTGGCCGATAGTATACTGAGCCACTTGCCTCGTTCTCGAAGTGGAACTAGATCCGTCAAGACTACCTCGGTCAAGGCAATAATTCCCCCCGCCCCAAGCCCTTGTAGCGAACGACCAGCAAGAAGAAGCTTAAAGCCACGAGATATACCGGCCAGGATAGCACCAAGCATGAAGAGTGCAATTGAGGCGAGAAGGGCCGCTCCGCGACCGAAAATATCAGATACGGAGCATATTATCGGCTGGAATACTGTCGAAGTCACTAGAAACGACGTTCCAGACCAGAATGCTTCAATAGCAGTTCCATTGAGCTCCTTAGCTATCCTCTGTGATACAATTAGGATATTTCTCGAAGAGTTGGAGACGGTATTGGCTTGCAAAAGTCGGACAATGCAAAACAGGAGGTCATACAGGAAGTGCGACTGAAAGAGATGTGGCATCCAGAGCAGCGGCTAGGTTCAAGATCGCAAGGATGATAAAGATAATAGTTTGCCTCTTCAGCTGAAAAGACATTGTGGGCATAATTTCTTCTTTTATCTGATTCCAGAGAAGGTTTGATCCTAGAAGATGGTGTTTGGGGATATGATCGTGCGATCATGTCATAGTCTTCAACGTAGGGCCGAAATTAATAGGGGATCCTCGAAATAAAAGCCCTTACCACATATGATCTAATATCCTTTGTTTCACTGGGTCTAGGGATCCAATGATACCGAAATTTTACGAGGACAACACGAAATATTACATAGGACAGATAACCATGAAAAATGCCATTCCTAGGAAAAGGCCAAGGGGCTGTGGTCGTACCAAGGCGAAGAGAAATAAATGGCGGGGAAGATGTATGTACATATACAATACGCATTGCTTACTGTTGAGACCTGCCCTAGTGGTGCTTTCCTAGTGTATTAATACACGATGTTTACATCAAGTAGAGCCTGATCGAGGAAGCGAAAAAAAAAGGGCGAGTTCGGGGCTGATCGCCTGCAATCCAATGCACCAATATAGCTTTAACCCCCTTCCATTTTTGGCGACTCATTTCCTTTTCTGGCGAAAGAAGTATCGTTGTGCAATGAAAAATGCTCCGCCTTATAGAAAGTAAATATTATTTCAATGTTGTACCAGACATTTGAGGTGAAGCAAGTAAGGGATAGTCTCAGGCAGATGCCGAAGAGATAGCTCGTGGGATCCTGCTTCTTTTCGGCTGGACTGACTCCTTGCATGAGAGGTGGGAAACTCCTTCGGTAAATGATAGGCTCCACTATGCATGATAGAGCCGGTGAGTAAGCCCGTAGAGGACTAATCAACAAATATAAAAGAGGGACTCGTCATTCGAACCTCAGGTGCGAGCCACATATCCTTCACTCTCTCTCAAATACATAGCTTTTGAGAATCACAAAGCTAAAGAACCGGGATCATTCAGATTATCAAGTTAGCGGCCTTACCTATTACCGAACAACACAATGCATACGAGTAACTTGAGCAATGTTCCATTCGAATCCGCTACTCATCCACTAAAGTGGAAAAACGAGAAACAGATCTGCGGATCACTGGCGCATATCCCTGTTTCAGCAGACTCAGCTTGCAACGCCTGTAGTGAGGCGAGTGAAATTCCAGGCTATACGGTTAAGCTCATGGGCCCAGATAATGCGAGCGACTGTCCCAAGGTCACCGCTCTCTTTGAGAAGACCTTCATCGAGCGGGAGCCACTGTCGCATGCGCTTGCCATCTCAGGCGCAGTGTCCAGAGACGCTTTTAGTGCATTCTGCCGATATATAACCGAAGCAACATTCGCCACTGGCATGACAAGCATCGCTACAATTGCTGATGGTTCGGTTATTGGTTTCATCATGGCGGCTCCATTGGACGTGAAGACTTTTCCAACTCTCACGCCTCGAGGGCTTGAGCCAATGTATGATATTGTTGATATCCTGGATGCTAGCCTCCAGGAGTATCTGCGAAATGATCCGAGCATGGCTCCTTCTCAGGTAGTCGAGATCACAATGGGAGGCGTTTGCCAGGACTTTGAAGGGGTCCACATCGCTGCTGATTTGGTTTGGGTGTTGCTTGTGGATGCTTATTTGAAAGGATTTCGTACAGCTGTGGTCAAAGCATCTAGCCGCTCGCAGATTGGATTTCAAGCGGCTGGCTTCGTGACGCTGGCTGAGGTTTCATACAAAGACTATCAATATGCTGGAAGCAAGCCCTTCTCCCATATCGAGCGCCCTCCTTCAGCTAAGTTGATGAAAGCAGACCTGGAAACCTATCTCCTGTCGACACCAGATCCTCGGTCGCGTCGACTGCTCTCTGGGAAACGCAATTGATGTTGAGTTTGGCGTGAACTGCGTTTCTATTGTCGGCAGACCTGTTGAGATACGCATCCTCAATAAAAAAAGAAAGGGCCTGGACAAACTACTTGAAAACGTATTGTGTATAGCTGTTCACATACTTAGTAATATCACAAAACCTTTGCTCTACGTGCTGCCAAAAGCTTAAGATGGTTTAGGGTTTGGGGGACCTGTGCGTAATGTTCTCGCAACCTGGCCTAGGCCCGGTGCCGTAGCAGGAATGAAGTGCAGAGCGCTTTATATCATTGTTCTTGGGGAAATTGTATATTTTGAAATGAGCGTGTTTGAATGGGGTAATTTGTATTGTCCCCATGTTCTGTAATTTAAGGATATCTAGAGATCCAGGACTGGCCACACGGCCGACTGCATCCTGTGTCCTTAACTGATGTAAGGATCTGGATAGCCAACGTTCATTGAATCGAGTGAGTATTTGAATTAAACCATAGTTGAGGTAACAGACACGCACAATATTGTCCCAATGGGCGAGCCAAGTCTTTAAATTGTGTTGGGAGCAATTGAATCTCTGCAGATAACACCACGGACCATATAGCGTATGAGGGCATACTCAAGTAGGTCATATACTACGGAGGACATGAGAATACTCGCTTCCAGATACCTTGCTTATATCGATATATCTGGTACAAATTGAACATGGAGAACAGTGGCAGGCCTATTGTTGAGATTTCCAACATTGTGCACATGCACTACAGTACATTGAAAAAAATCCCTTGATTAGCAAGTATTGGGTTTGAATCAATGCAAGGGAGGAATGCGCAGATGAAATTGAAGTATCGATTTTTCAGCAACAATCAGAAAGTTCAATGCTCAACCTAGCGAGGGAAAGTTACCACTGAGTCAATCGTGCATATTTAGAGCCGGTAGGTGTCCCATAGCATATTGTGGCGTTCGCAGCAAGTCCACCTTTTTCTTTATTATACGACAGAGGTATATAGACAATATTAACAGTGGATATTCGCCTTTGTCGAGATTGTTCTCCCTTCACTGACTCACTGAAAGGCATACCAACTACCTATTTTATACTGCGTGGCCAGTGGCAATATGACCAATTTGAAAGGAGTATCACAAGATGATACATTTAGTAAACCACCTCTAGGAGCTAGAGCGAGGATACTAATGCTTCACGGTCAGACCTATTTCATGAGCATTGTGCAACAGGACGCCTAACGTTTCATTCAGGGCATGGGCAGTCTGGTGAATTTTTCCGCTACAAAACTCGCTTTCTCAGCAAGCCAATCGAGGAAACATTATCACAAATTCCATTTGACGAGTTAACGGGACTTGCTCCTGCGGGTGTCGAGCTCGTTTATCTCAATGGTCCCCTCGCAGCAGACTGTAATCCTGACGGACACAGACGACAGTGGGGTTGTGGTGACTTCGATAATGGAGAAATCAGGGGCCTAGACCGATCAATCCAGCTAGTGCTGGAAGAAATAGAGAAGAACGGTCCGTTTATTGGTGTTATTGGGTTCTCCACTGGTGCCGCTCTCGCCGTAATAATAGCTTCTCTTCTGGAAGAACCTCGGTGCCGTCAGGGAACACAGCTGTCAGTATGTCTGCCCCACGGATAACACACCATAAGATCACTGTTACTTACAGTACTGACTGTTTGATAAAGAATGTGCAGGGACCATTCAAATTTGTTGTTGGGTTTAGCGGGTTCATGTTGGGACATCCCTCCTATCAATTCCTATACGATCCTCCACTACAAACGCCTATATTACATTTTATCGGACAGCTCGATACCATGGTTCCTGAATGCTCAACATTCAAATTGGTAGAAAGATGTGTGAATCCCTCCATCAAGCGCTTTTATGGCACACATCATATCCCTCGCGGCTCGGGCGATATACAAAGCATCATTGAATTCATCTCTAGGGTGTTAAAAGGGCCTAGGCATTCGGGGCCAAATGCCTTACGGTGATTTTCGTATTTTCTTCTGAAAAGAAAAGGAGGGGGAGGGTATACGCATACCTCCAATGGGTTTGTGTTTATATCAGAATGTGATCAGCTACATAGAATTGATCACCCTACAGCAGGATGTGGCAAGGCGAATCTCCCGGAAATGCATATTAAAATTGCGCATACCTTTGGAAGAAAAGAGTAAGGATGAACAAGAACTGTCCTTTGTGTCGATGTATACGCTGTTAAAAACTTGCAGTTCTGAACTGGCGATCAGTGCTGTGATATGTCAAATATTGAGACGAAAGTGGCCAAGGCGATTTGCCTCAACTTGCGTGTTTCTCAACTAGGAAGGTAGTCTTTGACTTGGCTAAAGCTCTCACCGTCTTTTATTAGGTTTTATATTAATAGAGGTTACTGTTTTAAGGAAGATAAAGCTCTCAGATTCCGAGTAATTAAGTGCCCGAGAATGCATAGTCCGAATAATATCGGATTAAAGTTTTTAGTACGAGAATTTATATGGGTCACTAGAGTCATCGGTGAGATTCTCACGCCCGACAGGATTTGTGGGAATGTATATGGGGCATCAAATTGGTCCCAATGAGTCTCGACTGGAGGAACATGATCGAGCTGTAAGGTGTAATATCAAACCCCTTACTTTATGCCGAGATCCGAAATTTCCTGGGCTTGAAATGCCATTCCATGTATGGTAGAAAGGGCAGCGCACTGCAAAGATCTACTACTAGTATTTTGGCATGGCGTGAAATGCATTATTTAGCTTGATACCCAACGCTTAATATGACGCAAGGATGGTAGTCACACATGACTATGATTATTAGCAACATAACCTACTATTATGCATTCCTGGACTGTTGGTTTAGAGTGATACCGTGTAGATACTTTCGTTAATACAAGGGCTGATTTCACATTCTCGACATCAGCCTGGCCTATATATCAGTGAACTGTCGGCTGGGAACCCATGAGAGCTACCCAAAAGGCAGTGTCATCTACTGCTAAACATTGTCCTGCGTACTCATCAACCGAATCCTCCAACCTTTTGTGCGGAATGGAAAGCAAATTCCCTGACGATGGGCATGACTCAGAGTTTAATCAAAGCCCAGGTAGTATTGTCAATGCCTTTCTCTCAGGACAGCACCAGTGGATGGATCAACCGATAATAAAGCGGTGGGCCTTACAACCTCCAGATATACTACAGAAGGTCAACACCTTATTCTGGCAATGGAAGCGGCAAACAATCGGGCCTTTCAGTCCTCTCTGCGACAAAATGTGGATGACCACGGCTGAAGCGCTGTGTCATGCCGGATTACCCTGGCATAGCAATAATGTGAACATGCCAAACGAGATTGACCCTACCTGGCCATTACATTTCAAACACTTTGAGCAACAGGTGGTCGGAGCTAAAGGCGCTCGTGTGGGTGACATGGAAGCCTTAGGGTATGTTTGTACCTGGGACGAAGCAACTCAGTATGCCATTAGGTCATTGCAACAGGAACTTCGTGGTCGGATAATGGATCGCAGGCCGTTGCTTCTTGGGGCTCGAATGGATCCAACCCTTCTCAACTCTACAGCACAGATGTTGGGGCTTGAATACCTGCACGTTTTGGATGACGACTGGCATGGAGCCAAGTATAGGTTATGCCGTGATTTTGGGGCTCAACACCCAGTCATTGTTGCCTCCACTCTCGGAAACATGAAGGGGCATTCCGACAATTTCGACGCAATATGCGAGTTCTTGGCTGAATATCCAGGCGTCCTCCACGTCGACGCTTCAAGAAACTTTGATTTTCTTACCACTCTAGCCGATGGTGAAAGAAAGAAAAAAGGAGTACGCCGGCTCGCTCTACGACGCCCCTGTCTGAAAAACAACCCCATAGAGGGAGACACCATCAATGCTGCTACTATCGTGGCTGGAGGCATGAATACTACATATCCACCATATGTTGTGGTCCTAAGACCCCAAACGCTAGGGTCTTTATATCGTCCATTAGTCGAGTATGTTAGGGGCACTGATAGCACAATTTCTGGCTCGAGGGACTCTATCCCCCCTCTTCTTGCTTACCTTCAAGAACTGCGGTTTGGCTCTTGCGGTATGCGCGAGATATATACTAGATGCGAGTTCAATCGACGCACTCTCTGTCAACTGCTGACTCAAATAGGAGTCACATTTGATAAACCTCCAGGGTTACTGGATATCGTGGTTCAAACAGAAACTAAGATATCAAACATGGAGCAACAAAGGTGGGGGTTACTATGGTTGGAGGATGGGAAATACCTGTTTACATTACAGCCAAGTGTCACACACGGTGATATGGTTGGTTTAGTCCGTACTTTATCTGGCCATTGCATAGAGTCTAAGATGGAATTTATGCCAGTTAAAGAGTCAGATTATCCACTCCCGCATCGCGTGTCACGGCAGATTCGCCAAATTGTTCGCAACTGGCGGGTGGTTTCAAAATTCTCTGGCGGCTACCCCCTAAACCATGCCACTTATTCTGTCCTGGGACCGGTTTTACGCCCCTTCTTTTCGGTGTGGATCCCCAGTGCCTGGTGGTCTAGAACTGCTGAAGAAATCTTAGAGGACCGAAAGCGCACTCTTTGCCTTCCTAATGTCGAGAGCCATGAGTTTACTGGCAGCTTCACTACTGGTAGCACAATGGGGAATCGAGTAGGCATTTATACCGCTCTAAACCATACCCCTGATGCTTTTATCTACTACTCGGAAGCGACACATTATAGTGTTAACAAGATTGTCCACGATAATGACATCTTGACGAATCGTTGGGGCAAGGAACGAAGACCGCGGTTTGCCGAGATTGCCTGCGACGACCTTGGTCATATGAGACCGGACGCTTTAGCACAAAGAGCAATCTCAGACAAACTGTATTGCGATTCCCGGGAAAGAGAGTATCAAGTTATACTTATAGTGAATGTCGGAACAACATTTACTGGTGCCCAAGATGATATTCTGTCACTACGACAGGTGCTTCGATCCGTCGGAGCAGACGCTGTTTATATTCATGCCGACGGAGCCCTGGACCTAGCACTGTCTCCCAATTCTGTGCGCCTGGGACCGCCCAACATTATGGCGAAAAATGGAACCCCGGTCGTTCAGGGCATAACGCTGAGTCATCATAAGGCCTATGGGGTCATGGTGTCAGGGGAGGTAGTTTGCTACACTCCCGCCAATGGACAACTCGCTACAGTTGGATCCAATACTGTTGACCCTCGCGCAGTCTTTGAAACGTGGCTATTTCAGCAAATGTATACTTCAGCCGATCTGATGAAAGTTAAGGGCTATTGCTTGAAGAATGCTACGCTGCTGAGGAAACTCCTCCGTTCGCTAGGGATACAGACCAAGTTCAACAAGGGCAGCCTTATTACCTTGCTACCACGGCCACCTCACTGGGTACTCCAAGAGTTCCATCTCGCACCAGAGGGCGACTGGGTCCACTTTATAACAATGCCACACATCACGCCAGATGCTGTAATGCACTTCGTTAAACGTGTTGCTGCAGTCAAGGCCGCCTTTCAGAGTACTTTTGATGATATTCTACCAGCACTAGAGGCCGCAACATCTCAAAACCTTACTTTAGTACGCATGGAATCAGTTGATCTTGGAATAATCTCGAAGGCATTGAGTGTAACTCAAGCATGGGGGGAAAAGTATCACGAGTTCCGCCACCTTGATGTGGCGGATTTTAAGCGCCGGTACATTTACAGTGGTCTGACTTTTGCTGCCCTAGATAAAAGCCACAAACCTTCGGTTATTTTTCTTGTGGGATCTCACACTGATGGTATAGCAACGCCTGGCCCTGTGCTGTATTCACCTGAAGTTTCATGTACACGGTCAGAGCTAGAACAACTTGCGTCAATTGCTTTCAATCATCTGTTACAGCGTTGCGATTCTATTAGGTAGAAATTGCCTCAAATTCACACCTGTCCTTTAAAAGCTGGCTCCCAAAGCTTCGTCATACTATTACTATCTTATTTGTGAAACAGATTCGAGAAATAGTCCAGTCTCAGTGATACCCACCATTAACACCCCGTTCCCCATCCAGCAGAACCTGGCAAGATCATATCGTCTTCCTTATAGACTAAGCCGCTAACTGCCCACGCCAGTGACGGGTAAAACGGGTGGTGTGCCTATTAATTCATATTCGAATTGCTCTTGTTGGGTCGGGGGTGGATGATGTATGGGCGTCCTATTTTAGTTTAGCGTATGATGAATCCTACTAGTGTCGATCCTTACCCCTTTGCTGTTTATTGGTCCGGGGTTTTTTTTGTACATACGCAAGGACAGTGGGAAGCTTTTTCGGATGACCTCGGCGTGGGGCTGGCAGATCTGGCATCATGCAGGTTCAAATATACCTGCATACTCCATGATTCCTTCATTCCATAGGAATGAAATGATCTACCTTCAGTAATGCCTCACCGTCTCAATATATTGATGTTTATTGATATGTTCTGCATCCAATACCAACTCTGCTGTAAAATAACAATGTTCTCGGTACCGTAACCAGCAAGCGAGCGTTCCACGCAAGCCAGCGTTCCAGCCCTGTATCCCATTTCAAACAGCCACTTTTATTTATGGGATATCTCAGCAACGAGAGGTCCGGAGACGCTATAACTGGCTCTAAGACTTTTAAACTAAATAACCTTCTAATAGAATAGATGCAAGTCTTTTAATTTCTGTGATTACCTAAGTATAGTAACTACAGTTGTGTTATTGTGTATTTTATTATATCTTAAGTTACAACACGCTAAAGTATATTGAAAAAGGTCGTTAAATCTCTAAGACCAAATATATGAAGTATATATTGTATATATTAATAGATTCCGAATTCAATATTTATTACTGTTAGGATATTTGGGTTAAAAAATGGCTATTTTATATGGGATATAGAGATGGAACGCTCTCTTGCCGGTTACGTTATAGCACAGCTTACTATCTTACTCACTACAGTCGTGTTAACAAGTATGCAAGAATTATTTGTTGACATTGTATCCTGCCTTACAGTTACAGGTTTGGAAGCGACTCCAAGTAAGGCTTGATCAAGAAGCCACTTCTCTTCATCTCATAGCCAACGACTCTTAATTTATTCACAGAGCCACGGGCCGATGGCTATGCTAAACGTTCAACCCTAGTCCATCCTACCATTAATACCGATCCCTCATCCTACTTACATTCTTCATATGCAAGGAATATGATATAGAGGTACGCTATTCACACGGGTCTTATTCAATACATCGGAGGAAAAAAAAATACAGTATCGCCTATCCTTCCTCTGTCAGAGACTCAGTCTTTGTCCTTGCAAATGCAAGGCAGTAGCTCGTCTATCAATAGCTGCCCTCTGCCACACGTATAAGTAAAAGTTCAAATTCCCTGTACTAACGCCAAGTCTATTCCTAACTCTATTTGGTGGTTAAATGTTTCTGTGGCTACTTTGCTCTAATAGCATATCGGCATACTCCGCAATGACAGTATATAGATGATTATGGTTTCCGAGGGTGTGATCTAAGACTTTATGAGCCGCTACGTAGTTGCCTATTTTGCTGAGTTTTGATAAAGTTTCGAACCTTTTGTTTAATATCTTCTTCTAACTCCAGAGCCCAGCTCGAAGGGTAATATAGTCACTGTCGGTTGCATCTTGTCGTACCCTGTAGGACTTATTGCCATACTATTCTATTATTGAAGTGACCAACGATGTTACTACTCTCCACAAGAGCAACTAGGGGATAAACTAGGTAGCAAAGCCGTCACTATAAAGTGATAAGCATGTGGGTAGGTGACAGGTGTCGTTTCGCGTTTTCCTGCTATATCTGGTGCCTGCCTCTATTCATGACTCCCAAGAATAATGACAACTCAAGTCCTTTAGGGAATGATATAATTATGTGCGTAACTACACGAGCATGTCTACTCCGACGTTTTATCGATACTTACCTACTAGGTAGTTAACAAACATCTAACACTGGTGGCCGACAACGTATCGCATCACGCCCTCAACTGACAAGGGCAAATGATAACTACACGTAAGCAGTGCCAAGTGGATGACCTCATAGTAACTCAAGCCCCTCGTAACACCGAACCATCACACGAGGGCTCTCAGTTGGCCAACGTTGTTTTACCACCTGCGCTTCCTGATAAATGCACCGAATTAGAAGAAAGTCTAGGTCCTGACGCAGGCCTTACGATGTGGAATTGCTATTTAAGAGTTCAGCTTCAACGGACATCAGAGGATCGAAAACAAAATTATAGAGATCTCCAAGAATGCTACCCCTGCTGCGTAAGCTGAAGGGTTTGAAAAGCAATTCACCATGGAGATTGAAGATCGGAGATCGGAGATTGGAGAGTTTTTGTCTGTCTAAAAACGTTTGGATCACGGAGGAACTTCCATCTGAACTAGTAAACTAGTATTGAACCTCTTCTGTGGGAGGAAGGCTTGATCTTAGCAGAGATACTTCCTGTATGGGTTCGGTGGGCAATGATAGAATGTTGCGTTGATCGGAAAATCACCACATTCGACTAGTTGACAAATGTCCGGACAATCATCGTGCCTTTATAGGGTAATTTGTTGTTATTTCAAGACAAGCGACAAATTAGTGGAACTGATGCATGATTCAGAGATATAGTTCTTGTGGCCAATATCAAGCACAACTTGTGAGAAACTTTCCGCTGTTTCCTGCTCAAGACACGCTCAAAACTCCATGTATCTGTCCTGAGCCGCTAAGCTGTTCCTATACAACGAGCTACAGGTCGGAAAGCGCTAATGAAACGCTAAACCTTGATCATCTGTTCGACTCCGGGTATTGATCAAATTCTTTGCCCAGGTGGAGGTGCTCATGGTTCGAAAAAGAAAGATACTCTATCAAAAGCAAGTGGTGTTACGCACGGGAACGTAGGTCGTCCGTCGAGCCCGTGGAGACATGTATAGAATTAGCATAACCAGATCATCAAGATGTACATCAAATGTCACTCAGATTCTCAGAAATCTCCCTGTCATTTCCTTGGTTGGTAAATTTCTTATAAGCCTTCTCCCCAACACAATACTACCCCCAATATATAGCATTCTATCAACTTTAGCTGGAGACAGGTGTTCTTAAGGCGGAAACAGGACGATCCCCCCCCCTTCTCTTTTTTCTTTCCCTTTGTTTTTATATACATATATAGAATATCTTCTCCAGATCTCTTGCTTCGGCCCTATATACGAAGGCTATCGCCCATTAGTTTCCATCCCTACTGTATACTCGATATCAATTCTTCCGTCACCGTCTTCTCCGTTTGGAGACGGCCCTTTGCCACGGAAGGCTGCTAAGTCTTCCGTACAAATAATTCTCTCTAACTAAAATGGTGGATGTTCCAGCCTATTCAACTGCCTGCCCTCTCCATATTGCACCTTCTCCTATCCATATCCACAAAATTGTTCTACGGCTGTGGTGTGGGAACCTTCGACTTCTGACGCGGGTTTGTAACACGGATCATTCATCTCTCAATGTAGCGTGTATGCCGTCCACTCTTTTCAACTCGGAATCCCCAACCCCTAGTCAACCGTTCATTGGATGAGGGGTATATAAACTCAGGCTCTGCTGTGCAATGTGGACCAGAGCTGGGAGCTAATATGCACCTGCTGACTGACTCACAATTCAACGGGTTGATTATTAAACCAGGGAGCCGTGCCCATATTTCCAATGACAACTTCGCCAACCTTGGTCTTAGCGATACGCGAGGTAACACCGCGTTCGAAGGAAATGCGGCTTTGAATCAAGGGCGTCTAGCAAGCGACCCTATAGTTGGCCCAAACCAGCTCCAACCCAGAGTTGGACAGTACAATATCAGCACGAACGTAGATGAAAGGTGCCGCTATCCTAGCTCTATACCAAGTGTCCATGGCGTTATACCTAACCGGATATAGTGACACGAATGCACGACCTATCCTACAATGCAGACGGGAGAGTTGCACCTATACACGATACTTCAACCTTGAGGCAGTGCTTGTGTGGCACATTAAGACTATTCATATCTCTCCTGGATCTGGTAAATGCGTTTCGGGAGTTGTTCGAAATCCTGCATTCGACAAGATAATCTGAAAGAGCACATGCGTAAGGTTCATCAGATATCGTATAGTGTTTAGGACTTTTCTCCTCTTATGTACATACTTGGGTTTGTTCGTTCTTTGTGCACGATTATGCGTTTTCGTTATTCAAGCTTTCGGGACTTTTACCCATTCCAGTTATCCATATGTCTCCGAGCATTGTCCTAGAAAATTTCACTTGTGCCTTTGTTATATTGAGCACACAGTCGTTGCGTTTCGATTCATGTATATCTCCCTTGTTACTTCCGAAATATCTGCATTGCCTTGTCTTCCTTTTATTTATCTTTCTCCTCTCCTTTATTAAGCCTAGAGCATCATAAGAGAAGATAGTACGCCATCGGTGCTACAATGCATCACAAGCCCAAAGCCGTACAATAGCCATCCATTCCTGTCATAAACATACCTGTGTCTCCAACTGAGGGTAACAATATCAGCACGAACTGGAAGTACTCTTCCGATAGATATACTAGTACCTATTTCCTCTGTTATTAGCAGATTTGAATAGAGTATAAATGGCTCTTATTGTAAATCTTTCTCTTACAATTGTTCTCCTGCTAGAAAATTGTGCAGATCTATAATACCCGACACAGTAAGATTGGAAGCCGGCATGTTGTCACAGCTGGGTATACTGCAGATGCTCAGGCGTTACTCTTTGATTTATTGCGGGTTTATGAAGTGTGGAATGTGTGAACAATTTCAATCTTGCAACGGGTTGTGCTGCCAAGTGTATGCCGTTCAAGGAATTCCAATTTTCACCACAACAGATGAAATCCCTCTTTCTCAAGGGGGGAGCAATGGAGACGAATATATGTTTATCTTGAGATTGTGTTGGAGAGGTACTTTGGCTGATATGATTCGGGAGTGTTTGGGTAGTGTGTATGCGCTGAGATTCTTGGAGCAGTTGCAGAGTGCAATTTTATCGCTTTTTCTAGATTCGTGGCGTCGATGCGAATCTGGAAACGCTCCGTGGAGATTGTGTAGTAGTTAGTGCGACGACCACTCGACTGAAAGCCAATTGACAGATGACCTTATCTTGCACCTCAATATATTCAACAATTTATACATAACAAAGTCCGGGCTTAGTTAGATACATTCTTCTCCATCCAATCCATGATCAAATCCGCAATCTGGAGATTATTCTTATCCTGCATCAGCATATGACTATTTCCGTAGATGCCCAGTTTAGGCAGCTCCGCCACAAACGCTTTTCCCCCGGCAGCGGTGAGTCGATCCACGAGAGCCTGGCAGCCCTGAAGTGACTGTGGCCAAAGTCTGCGCGAAACCTTAGCTTGATCAAGGTAGTCGCCATAAACAAACAATGTAGGGATTTTCGCTAGCACAGCTATCTCCTCATCGGTTGGCATGGAGCACTGTCCCTCGATCGAAACAATACCCTTGACAGCCGAAGGGTCATTCAGGGCTGCGCGGAAGGGGAAGAACGCTGATTCGGAGTGTCCAACCAACACCGCACCGTCTATCTGTTTAGCTAAGCTCGCCAGATTGGCGAATACGGGATTCGGATCCGGCAGGATTGTGTTCAAATCCGGGATCACTTGCTTGGAGAGTTGTTCCATGGCCTCCAGGGGAAATTGCTGGTCTGGGAAAACCTGGGGGTAGGAGTATCCGAAGCGAAAGAGATCCCAGGCGCGCTCACGCCCCGCGCTCTCGAGCCTCGGCAGGGCCGATGGGCCTGCCTCTCCAATTTTCACTTTGTTGAAAATGGTCGGGTCAAAACCAGAGCGAGCGCGAGACGTCTGATCGGGTACGTAGACGGGGTGGCCTTTCCGCACAAGATATTCGGCCCATCCCATGCGACCGTCGGGCGTATCCTTGTATGATTTCCCGCTGAGGCAGCAGCCGTGGACAAGAATGTATGGGAGGCCGTCGCCGCTCATCGGAATTTGGTATTCCACATACATTTGTTCCACGGAGATCCAGTCTTCCCGAGGATAATCATTTAACGGGTCTGAGGGATCTCCAATATTCACTAAAGCCTTCACTTCGCGACCGCCGACGAAGAAGTCGCCCGCATCTTGTAAGATAAGAGGTCCATTGCGGTGCCCTTTGATATGCAGGGACGTGGCCGCTGCTAGTGTCGCGGAAGCGACAACACACAAAAATGACAACATACGTATGCTTTGCGAGACTATTATATAACTTCTGATGAGCATTTCACATGACCGAAGAGATTGGAAAAGCCAGGTCTTCCGCTTGGTGCTGCATAGAATATGGACACCGACCTTTACGTAGTGAACCAGTAGGTGTCGTAACATCCACTCGATAACCACCAGACAGCGTATTACACTACTAAAGAAAGAAAGAATGTCCAGTGCGTCCGACACGCCAGGTTCCTTGGAGGGAATATGAGCCTCATCAACTCCGCGGGTCTATTCGATTCTTCCTGCGACCGAGTTCTATTTTTATCATAGCTGGGGGCCAAATGCGACAAGACCCCGCTCGGCTGCATATCAAGGAGGCTGGGCTGAGTACCCCTTTGGGCACTGGACCCTGGTAGCCCCTTGTCAGTCCGTCAACAGACTCGAACTTTGAGTAAATAGTCTGATCTTAGTACGTGTGATAATGCATGTGGTTGTTTCCATTAGTTAGTTGCCAAGGCCATCACAGCTATCATGTGCTGACACGGCAAGCCTGCTCCAATCAATCTGTCGGTCTTCAGATCGTGCTGATTGAGATCTGCAGTACTGACTTTGGGATCTCAGCTATATCCTTCACTGGATATACCACAAACGATAAAAGGAAATTCGTAAAGTAAAACCATCATTTAGATAGAGAATTATGGTGCAATATCTCACTTGGGATGCATCTGTCGGTCTATTCAGCACAATTTTACAGGCGGCCAGTGAGGGTTGGTTTCGACACGTGAGGTTAACAATTCTGTTTCACTGTCATAGCCCGCAATTTCGATGGAATAAAATATACTCGACAAAGGACTATGGTGTCATACGCTAGTGATCAAGAGCGATCTACGGAGTACTCCATACAAAATCATGCATATCGAACATTGCTTATTTTTGGTCCCTCCCCGGGCTGCATAGTCACGGCCGTAGTTCGTGCCAGACCAGCATACAGCTCCTGAGCTGCTTCGGTGGACCCTCATTTCGCGGGATACTACATTGCGAAAGCATGACCCTAAGAAAAAGAAAAGCCCGCAAGACACCGCAAGGGACCTGGGAAACCCCTAAATTCCACATCTCGCTGTTCTTTCCCAAGATTTTCAATCCATCTCGGCCAGCCTTCACTCTTGGTTGAATCCCGTGAAAATATTTGACAACGTCGACAAGACAAAATGAAAATACTCTGTCTCCATGGCTTCGGGACAAACCCAGGTATCATGAAACGCCAGATGTCGGCACTGATCAAGCACTGCGACCCTAGATGGCAATTTGACTTCCTGGCAGGCAATGTAGAATGCCCAGGAGCGCCAGGTTAGTCAAATATACCGTGTCAGTAGTATCTACCTGAGCATGAATCTGATCCCTAGTAAATTTCCACAGGCGTTGAGGCCTTTCCTGGGCCCTATCTCTGCTGGAGTTTAGACTATGGTCCACTCAGCATCCGAGCAGCCCTTGATCTAATTGATGAAACTTTTCAGAGTGAAGGCCCTTTCGATGGGGTCTTCGGGTTCTGCCAAGGGGCCGCCATAATAGCCGCCTATCTCCTTGAGCAAGCGGATTTATATCCGGGCAGACCTTTGCCAGTCCGGTTTGGGATCTTCTGTTGTTCAACGCCAATCCTCACCGCGGATCCAGACTATATTTACAATCTATATGGCACGCTGTCTGACGAGGATATCCGACGCCTCCGCTCAGGCGAGGCTGATCAAATAGCTCAACTTCCAGACTCAGTCCGGCCTGCGGCAATCGTGCTAGTGGAGGGATTAGCTGCCATGGCACCCGTCCATGGTGATTCACTCTCGTACTTTCTCAATCGTCCCTTTTCTGAGATCCCAGGTGTGGTTCTTCCTGATCAGTATAAGCCGCGTCTTTCCATCCCGACGCTCCATATTTACGGAAAGGATGATCCGGTATCACTGAAAGAAGCATGTATATTTAACGCGGCTTTTTGCGACCCCAGGTGGCGAAAGCTTTACAGGCATAGCACCATCCACAATATTCCTCGCTCACCAACGGATGTGAAGGAAGTGGTATCGCTCATGGAGTCGATGACTTCACATAGTCAACGATCGCGGCTATGACCGCCAGGGGAATTACTCTGGCGGGTGTGATCTGGAATACCCTCTGTTTGTTTGATTTGCGAATATGACTCAGATTACAAGTAATACATTGAAGAGTACAAGTGATAAGTGGAAGCTACAGGTTCTATCCAGAGAATCGCGAACGATAAAAGTACACGGTCTAACTCTGATAAAACAACACCTACCAATGGCTTATTAAATACAATAGTATACGGAGATTTATCTATTACATGTTTCATTTAGGCTCAGCTCTTTCTATTGGTGAAAGGTCATCCAGGAAAGAGAAAGTTTTCGGTCTTCTAGGGATTAGACGCATTTGAACCGAAACAGGTGGCCAGAATGGTTCATCCCACTGCTTTGACAAAATATCTGGGAGCGTTTTGGGGAATTCATTCAGCATTAAATCCTGAACTAGTACGTTCCATCTTCAGGCCAGATCCTAAGGACGGTAAATAGACCATGAATATATGGCGGGGGTATAGCTAAGCAGCTGTTCGTACGTGGTAATGTGAGCGACATATAAACAAAAAAGAGTCTGTTTAGATTCTACATATTAGGCAATTAAACAAGGCCCCTAGTGCTATTCAGATAATTGAGAACAGTTTACTCTGGTTAACTATATCCATGTATGCTTGCGTAGCCTGCATTTCAACTGGGTAACGAAGCTCTGAATGCCCCCAGGTCTAAACGACACGAGCTACACGGCATATATAGAAGCTATCGCAAATCTGACCTCAGAGCACGGAAAAGTATGTCACGCACAACACTTGCGTCTCCTATCGTCTCAAGAATAGTCTGAAGGTTAGGACCGCTACCGGTGCTGGCAACCGTGGCTAGGTCAATCTTGCCAAAGTAATCGGCGAACAGATAAGTCTCCTTGTCACTTTTCAAGACCTTTCGAAAGTCCATCACTAACTTTTCGTCAAAAATGCCATTGTCTCTGAGCTTGTTCAGATGAACTATGGCGTTATTTCGGGCTTGGTGCGATGACTCAGCGAAGGAATCTCCAAACTCTTTGATCTTGTCCTCGGTTGTGACTTGGAGTAGAGAAGCAAATACTCTGCGAGCTTCCTCTTCCCGTTGAGCCGCAAGGAAATTCGAGAATTCATTGTGTTTTGCTTCCCGAGCAAGATGCTCGGCATAATCCTTCAGGAGGCGTGCAATAGCTTCCTCAATAGGCAGCTGAGGGAACTTGTCAGTGATGTCCTAGGGAAATTGCGGATAGTTGATATGTTTTGCAACAAGAGATTTTCTAACCTTCTCAGCCAGGACGTCCGTCAGTGAGCGCGCTTGCTCACGGGACAGCGAGAGGCGGGCCTCGATGTCGATAATATTATATGAGGACTGGTCCATTACGTATGCGGCGAGGCTTTTAGCCACAATGTCGGACACCTCATTGATAATGGCAGCCGAAGGCTGTCCACCTGCTCCTGCTTCATAGCTTTCTTTGATCACGCTCTGTAGCTTAGATTCGAAGCCAGGGTGGAAGAAAGGCGCTTTGGTAGAGTTGTTGAATTCACGCTTTGGACCAGTGTCTAAGGTATTTTTGATATAATGTTCCGGCATTTGCGCCGTGACGCCGCCATATTTCCAGTTCCCCACCTTAGAATAGTAAAATCAAGCAAGAGAGGGCAAGCGGAGAATTTAATGTTGTTTTGAACACGAGGAGTTTAACGCATGGAATAATGGTAGGGCTCTTCAGGTAACTATGGGAACTTTTGCCTTACTTATACTTACATCCCAAGATTCCCGAGCCCGGTGATCCCTCGAGATCTCGAATTAAGACGGCGGCTCTGTCGGATGCTGCATTGCGACATGGCCATGTAACATACACAACTTATTTGACTCTTGATCCATGGTAAGTACAAGGTTCAATGAGATATTGGGACTAGATTCATCGAACCTGGCAGGGCCTCTTGTGATGTGTCCCAATGTGTCTTTGATGCATGAGATCATGATGTAAAGTTTATTGTATATGACAGACTATGGAGAAAGATAACCACAGAAGAGATAAAGTTAAAAGAATTTACAAGAGCGAATCGTAAGGAGATGCCACAAGATGAAAGCAAGTCTACAACATATTGGCAACTGAAATGATTCGACGCAAACGGCAAGGGAATGCATGCATATACATTCGGTGAGTCAGTGCCCCACAATGTTCACAGGTTGATAGCCGCGCACCATGGTTCGAACCTCAATATGACATTATGTGTCACAATACAAGATGGTTTAGATTAAACAGTATATCATATACGATGACATAGCATGGAAACCTTTGATTTGGGAAACTATACAAAGAAAGTAGAGAAATAGCTTACTACTTGGTATATCACCCTTTTGCCACAAGAACCGTAAGATAGGAGCAGTGTAGCTATATATTTTAGCTTTAAAATCACCCTTCAGGCGGATGAGATTCATGAGCTCATTGCAGTAATTACTCTAAATAGCTGCCCAGACCATTGCATGGATAGCCTTTCCTTTCGTATATGATTGAACATATCTCTTTTTCCATGTATCACCATGCATATTGAGTCGAAATATGTATCGATGACGATGACCAGAACCTAATAATAACACAGATTGGCCGCATCTGGTGTCAATTTAGGATGCTTTTGAGCACGCCATTTATACTCTGACCCTTCAAGTATGCGGTATAGTATAGCATGTGAAACTGAAATGTAGGATTTATTGGCCCTCTTGGCAGGTAATAGTAGGATTTTGTTTAATCAATTGCATCAGGAGTAGAATTAAAGATATTCTATTAACATTTCTCCTCACATCTTAAACCATCATATCTATCGCAAACTATAGTAAACTCTTGTCGACTATGTGGGGATCATTCATTCAATTTTCTTACCATCTGGGTGTCCCTTCTTGCGCTCATCTGCAAGGAAAGCAACGATCAGGAACTCTAGTAAACCGGTCAGCATTTTTCAGCATCCATAGTAACCGAAGGACCTTACCTCCAAGACTTAGTCTGTTGTCTCCGCTAAGCTCCGATTTGCGGAATACCTCTTCAAGATCTTTGAAACTCTTTTCATCGGTGGGGTTATAAGCTTGCATCAATTCCTGTAGCGAGACATGTCCTACGCAACCGTTATTATAATGGAGACGGAACGGTATAATCTCTTAGCTCCTCACCATCTAGATCCTTGTCCTGTAGATAGTTCAGAACGCTGAAGTCAACTAGCTAGTCATAACCAATCATTAAACTTACTGCGGTATAGAAAAGCTTCATCATTTCCTTGAAAAAATTGATCGAGTAGTATAGATCCTGGTCAGGTAGTCAGCCAAAAGGAAAGAGAACGAGAGAAAGGAAAAAGCCAGTGATGGGTTCATTACGTCTGGATCCTTTTCATCCAACTCCCTCAGGATTGCTGTCCGAAGTTGACGTCTCTGCTCGAGTTCATACTCATCCCTTGTCGGTGGTTGTCTATATCTTCCCTCCTGCGCCCCTTTCAACGCCTTGTGCATACTAAGATACATGGTTTTGCCTGGAATAGAAATGGAAACGAATCAACTAAAGCCTGGGGAAAAAATGCTACTAGCACCAGCAGAGTTAAGTTATGTAAATAAACTAAAACTGGAAACTGGGGAGCTGAGGCCTCTTAAATATTGATGGGCGGGGCTGAGTCAACTGACTGCTCCCAAAGAGGGCCCTCTTGACAGGTGCCAAACAGATATGAGCCCGAAATGCTAAATCTGAATACAGTATGTGTGCATCTGAGAGCTGTGGATTGACTGTAACCTTGTTCTGCGACATTACTCGCAGTGGCCTAGAGTCGATTTTTCATTGCATCTCTAGGACCTGCTGTTTCGTTCTTGTCACCCCACTTGGTGTCATGCAATGTCGAGGTTGCATCTGTCATGCTGGGGTTTGAAAGGAGAGCGCTGTACTCGAACGGATTGACTGCCAGTTCATTGAAGCATGCGGAAGAGACTTGTGTATGCAACCAGCACTGGGTAGAATCTGTAGGATCACATTTTGAAATTTTCTCTTGCTCGCGCTACAATTTCTGAATTTAATCATGTTATAAACAATGGAAGACGTCTGGAATCGATAGATAGTTAAAGGGTGACTCAATTACGAGGTAATTTGCTACTTTCTGTGGTTGACACCCGGACCATAATGTTCTGCCTCAGGCATCAAGTCCAGGCAAACACATCGAAATCCCTCAAACAACAAGCCTTTAGATAATTCGGCACCCTGAGGGCTATATAATGTTATAGCGACGAATGAAATAACTCAGTTGGTTGAGATATGTTGATTCGTGGTGTTTCCACCGATGACATCTTCCCAATTGGGCACCAGATGAGCCTATAGCCAACACGATAGCTCCCTACGCCCTATTACCCCTGGCATTTCACAATAGTATGCGCCTTTTGCAGCTCCTTTATGGTTACCAGAGGGCACATCTATCCTTTAACTGGGCTTACGCAGTTGGCTTGAGTACACCTGACTGGACGGGAAGTCTTGTTCTCCACATCTATGGTCGTATGTACTGATTAGACGATTAAGCATGGGCTGTGTGGAAGGACTACCTCGGTGAGTTACATAATAGGGTATTGCTAAGCGGCGAGAATCATAGATTGTTTGTTTCTATTTCGTGTCTATATTATATCACAAGTTTGTATTACTGAATAGCCTTTTCCACTGCAATGAAGCCTCGTAAGGCCGCCCGCCACGCGCCCCTAAGTCTACTGCAACTTTTCTAGAAAAGCATGAACTGCATCAGAAACCCCCTCAACATCTTCAAATAAATGCCAATGTCCTACAGTCTCCAGCACTTGGACTTCACAACTTTTAATGATTTTCCCGTAAGAAAAGCATAAATTCGGTGGACTGACAGTATCGTGTTCGCCCGTGAGGATAAACGTCGGACAATTTAAGCTTGCAGTATCAAGCGTCTCAGTGGCAGACTTTGCCAGAGCGGTGCATGCTTTCGCATATCCTTCTGGGTCTTGCCCAAGCAATGACATGCGTGTAGCTGCGACTGCTAAAGGATTTCCCTCCCTTGCTTTTGGAGACAATCCTGCGTTAACAACAGCGTCGACAACCGCCACCATACCCTTATTGCGGACCAATTCGGCGCGCGCAAAGCATCCAGCACTGCTGGCTTCGGGCAACGGCGAGGGGGGTGGTCCCATCAGAATTAGAGAGGAGACTAGTTCTGAGTTTTCGAGGGCAAGCTCCATGGCAACGAGGCAGCCCATCGAATGAGCGATGACTGTTGCTGGTTTGCGATCGAGACGAGCGTTGTGGTATACATCGCGGATATCGGAGGCGAGTGATGCGATGGTGATTTCGCTGAGCGCGTTTGTTGGGGAAAGGCCGTGGCCTTCCAAATCACTTAGATAAAGTGCATGCGTGGACGATAGTTTCGTGACAAGTGGACTGAAACACGTTGATGAGCCGCCGAGACCGTGTATGAAGATGACCGGCGGTCCTTCGGTTTGTCCTTGGACTTGCGTGAAGAGCTCTTTGGTGCCAATCTTAACGAGTCCTTCATGACCTCGGGCCTTTTGGTTGGCTACGGGAATTGAGGATTGGGATTTCACGCGCTCAACGGTTGGGTTGATGGCATCGGTGGCTGCCATGTAGTTTGTGAGAGTCCCCAGTCCGGTTACCGAAACTTTGACTTCGTCTCCAGCTTGAAGGAATTTCATGGGTCGGAAGCCGAATCCGACGCCGTAGGGTGTGCCAGTTGCAAGGGTATCTCCGGGTTTTAGTGTTTGTCCCTGGGATAAGCAGGAGACAAGCGTTGGGATACTAAAGATTAGCTGGTCGAGTGTGGCCTCCTGCCTCTTCTCTCCGTTGACGAACGTTTGCAATTGGAGATTCGTGGGAAGATGCTCCTTCGGAACCGCAATGGGTCCAATAGGACAGAATGTATCCGGAGACTTGCCGATGTAGAATTGTTTGTGGTCTCGCTGCTTTTCCCGAGCAGTGAAATCATTTATGATGGTGTAGCCCCAGACATAATCCATTGCTTCGGACTCGGGGATCTTGTGTCCGGCCTTGCCGATGATCACTCCAATCTCGCCTTCATAGTCTGGTGTTTCGGTGAAGCCAGTATGAAGGAGGACCTGGTCTCCATGTGCGATGATAGACGTTGCGCGTTTGGTGAAGATCACTGGGAAAGTCGGTTGGTCGTTTTTGTCTGATGAATCAAATCCGGAAGAATTGAACTCTTTCGCATGCTCAACATAGTTCTTCCCGACTGCCAGGATATCCCGGCCAGATATCGGCGGCAGCAGTTTAACCTGAGATAACGGAATGGAGTCCTCTCTTCCTAGCTGGATATTCTCCCCTCCCGCTTCGATCACCTGGTACAAATCGGAAATCCGAGTGCCGGATAGGAAAACAAGAGGGTGAATCTGCTCTGTCGCCAGGTCAAGATGGCCAATTCGATGCTGCCCGGAGTTGGGGTCGATGTAAGCGCAGTAATTGGTAGAGGGTGATGTCGCCATGTTGGTTTGATAGGCTACTTCGACACGGGATTGTAATTGTCTTTAAATAGCACGAGAGAGTCAATGGGTTCTACCGCAACTATTTATTTGAAGACATGCGTGACGGTGAAAGGCGGAGATCCGCTTTTCCCCGCGGTCACGCCAAATCCCACCAATTGATACCGCAAGAGTACGGTATCTCCACATATCGTCGTGGGGGTAAACAAAGGCACTAGAATCCGCGAGCTTAAACTATGTTGTGATCCGCAAGCTTTTACCTCGCTTCGTGCTCAAAAACTGATTTCGAAGGATCCTTCGTGTAGAATAACAGACGCAAGGGAAACTACTCGGTACGGATACAGTATGATGTATCGCATAAATTCGACAATAACCGATGTTCTGTGCTTGCTGGAAGATAACGTAGCTAGTTTTCTTCTTCCACTGTAAAGGATAGAGCAACATATCATTGACCTCTATTCTCTGGATTTTGGGTGTAAGGGAATGTATGTACAGGGTGATAGTCCGGTAATATATGCCTCTATCCATATATGTTACATGTAGACCTCTGAGTATGTCACCGATAGATAGCTTCCGAAATTCTTTAAGAATAAAACCAGTTTAAGAATAAAACAGCAGAGGATTATACCTGGGACTATCCACTACTAATCGTCCCCCAAAGTACTCAGTCCTACATATCGCGGGCGTTTGTATAAAGCGATTTTGAATCCCACTCGTCCGTCCGGTACGAAGGGGTCTCCCATAATCTCGCAAATGCCCTCGATCATGGAATCGCTAAAACTGCCACGAGCAGTCTTGGCCGACGAAGGGTTGAATGACATCGACACCACCGGGGTGTTCTTGCTGAAAGTTGGTGCAATCATAGACCACACTATCAATAAAAATCCAAACATGGAGATCATTTCGGGTTGCGTCCGAGCTTGAGCGCCACTGTTGCTCCACTCGGGACACTATGTTCGGGTCGATATAGGGTAAGTCGGAGTTAGGTGTTGACGATTCTTGGAATTGAAAATTTTCTGTCGGAGAAAATTAGGGCACCAACGTGGTTGCAGGGGCCATGTCTATTGGGTTGTCGCTATAAGTGCCGATCTTATAGGAGATTAGCACTGTTCACCAAATACTGTCACATCGGCACGCTGGTGGAGGCTCAACCACCCCATGATGGAATGAAAACATTAGTAATAGCGCATTTCTTAAAAATCCGACTACTAACGGCGCCGGAAGCATTGGGGATGATCAAGAAGTGACATGTGATCGGCGTTTTAGCAGATATGGCAGAGCGGAGAAGAGCGGCGTTCAGCGGAGGGTCTACAGAAACCAGTAGATGATTATTGGTGCCCGCAGAGATCCCTGCCAAACAACAGCTAATAACATTGCGAGATCAGAAAGGATTACGCTGCAATTTTACTGAGAAGGATTGAGGAGGGGATGCTTGCTTCTCTAGTGCGTGGCACTATCTTTCATAGCTGCAGCCGTGGCATGATGCTTGGTCTATATATATTCAATGACGGCCCCAGTTGCTGCCCAGACACTACGTGTAAGAAGAAGATAGTATGGCCGCAGTACAAGTACCATGGACATCACCGGAGCATGTACCAGAGGTTTATAAAGGACCTCCGAGGAACATTGAATCCTTGAACAATCTAAAGTTCAATGAGAAGCTTCAACCCAAGGAGTACTCCATTGCGGGAACACATCCCACGTCGAAAGTCCTTATCACCGATGTTCAGATTATAGAGGCTACCGGGAAAAGTCCGTACCGTGGGGACGTCCTCATTGTCGGTAGGTATATCCGTAAGCTGCATAAAGATAGGCTCTGACCGGGTACCAGGGGAACGATTTGCACACGTGGGCGAAGTACCGGGAAAAACGGACTTGCTCAAAACCCCAAGTGTGAGAGTGTTCTATGGGAATGGACGAACTTTGATACCCGGCCTCGGAGATGCCCACACACATCTGAGTTGGAATGGCGGTGACCTTGGCCGCCTGGGCGAGCTAGGAATCGAAGAGCACACTCTTTTGACCGCCAGGAGTGCGCGTTGTTATCTTGATTCGGGCTACACTATGTACTTTGTTCCCCACGTAGATGGTGTACCTCGGTAATAGCTTGCTAACTGTCGCTGTAGGTGCTTTGGGGCAGCGTCAGCCAAAAAACGCCTCGATGTTGTTGTCCGTGATGCGATCAACATGGGCGATATTCCGGGACCTCGTTACCTCGCAAATAGTCAAGAAATAGCTCGTCGAGATGGGGACCTTGTACCTGGTATCACTGCATATGCCGACGGGCCTGAAGAAATGCGTAAAGTGTATGTGCACTCAACTTGTTAAAAGGCAGCGTTTGGATTCCTAACTACCTATCTGCAGAGTGCGGGAACATGCTGAATTGGGTGTGGATCAAGTGAAACTGTCCATGTCAGGAGAATCGGTATAGTCTGTTGAACCTCAGTAGCTTCCGTGATACTCATGGCCACCTAGATTACCGAGATTCGAGATGCGCAGGACTGCTACTTCTCTGACGAGGAAACGAAGGCATGTGTGGATGAAGCACACAAGCATGGAATCCGATTATGCGCCCATGCTCGGGCACGCGGCTCTGTCAGACAGTGCATTGATCATGGAGTTGAGGTTATCTACCATGCGTCGTATATCGACGAGGAATGTGAGTAGCACATGAAGAAACTGTGCGAAGATTTCATACTGATTATCATGTACAGCTATGGATCTGCTGGAGCAAAAGAAAACGCAGCATGTCGTCGCGCCCGGTTTGAACTGGCTGGTGGCAACACTCTACGAAGCGAACGCTTTTGGATATGCTACGGCAACAGCTGAAAAGGTAGGATATAAGAAGGAACTCGAGGCTGCTATTCAGGGACTTCGAGAGATGCATAGACGAGGAATTGTAGTGCTACCAGGAGGGTGAGTATGGAGCCTAGTAATCTAGTCTATCCCCATCAACTAATACTTCAACCGTGTAGAGACTATGGCTTTGCCTGGACTCCACATGGCACATACGCTCGAGACCTTGAGCACTTTACGAAGCTTCTTGGGTTTACTGCCCATGAAGCCATTATCGCAGCAACTTATGGAGTCGCAAAACTGTTCATGAGGTCGCATGAGATGGGTCAGATCAAGGCAGGTAACTATGCCGACTGTGTTGTCGTTGATGGGGACCCGTTGAAGGATATCACGGTACTACAAGATCATAGTAAATTGGACATCATCATGATCAATGGGCGGGTGCATAAAGCAGGCCGGAAGGAACTGCTCGTCCCAGGGAGTTCGGAGATATATGACATCCACCAGATCCGTCAGGCGATCGAGGAGGTTGAGATTAAGGTCCCGATGCAGAAGGCCTATTGATGGCATGTATTTTATTAGGATGGTATATTGATGATAGAACCTCTATCCATTGCCCAAGTTCTTCTGATGACAGTTGTGCTTCTTCCAGCATGGGTATATTGGCGATACCGATCCTGGTGGGCATGCAAATCTTTTAGTATGTGCATTCGAATCAGAGTTCCTCTATAGGATGAGGTGATTGTTGATCTCACATCGACATACACTATTTTCCGTAGCCTGGAATGCTGAATGACTTGGGAATGAAAGTAGGGAAATGTTAGGTGCATTGCTGTTAATGTGTATTGTACGTCTATCTTCCAGTTTTGATCACTATGTATCCTGATGCTTATGTAAGGCCAAGCTATCGTGGTTTCTATTCTGCCTGAGGCACCGTAATTCATAACCCCGTCTCGACAGTGGTATGGTTAATCATAGGGCGGGGATGGTATTCCTTGGCAACTTCGTACGTATCGATACTGTTTGAGCAAAAAGCTTGAGAGAGCCATGTCCGAACTTCGATATGTTAGCCCTACAAGGAGATTACGGATGACATCAGGTATCCACCAAAAGAGAACCAATCCAAATTAAAGGATATATTTTTGGAACATTTCACTACAGGCCGAAAACGAGCAAACAAAAAAAATACCCGAAGACACTAAGGCTAAAACCAAACCGGGCTAGTGCAAAGGACCCATTCTAGAAATGTCGAAGGGAGAAAAAAAGAAAAATGCCAGCTCATCGTCCAAGACTGCCCCACTACCAATCATCCACCGGAGGGGAATAAGAGCGCTCCTCAGGAGGCTCATCGTAGTGGTGGTAAATGTGCTGCTCCACGATCTTGTGCTCGACTTCTTCTTCTTCTTCTTCTTCCTTCTCAGAATCGGAGCTGCTGTCGCCACCTGTTTTGTGTTAGTTTTTGTTTCGGAAATATTTCGCTGTCTGGAAGGGATGTGGTAGAACGTAAACATACCAAATTCATGGTTAAGAACAGCTCCGGCAATACCACCAACCGCCAAACCTCCCATGGCTCCCATGAGCATCTTCTTCCTATCACTCTTCTTTCGCTCTTCCTCGGTCTCGCCCTGAGGAGGAGGGTAGTAGCCTCCCTCCTGGGGAGGGGGGCCGCCGTAGTAGCCACCGGGGGGAGGGCTAATCGGGCCGGAAGGAGGGGGGCTCATGATAGGGGGAGGGCCCCCGGGAGGACCCATGTCACGCGAGCTATCGCCAAGAGGCTGTTCCCACTGGGAGTTTCCCGTGGCTACCTCAACCCAGAAGGCGCGGCGGGCGTTGGGCTCCCACTCCTGGACCCAGCCCATGGGAAGAGGTGGTGGGGGGAATTGAGGAGGACGGGCAGAAGGTGGTGCAGAAGAATAGGGAGGGCGAGAGTCGAAGGAACGGTCTGAATCGTATGGTGGTCTGTCATAGGGGGGACGCTGGTCTTGAGGGGGCTGCCCATATGGCGGGCGCTCGTATGGCGAACGGTCGCCGGGAGGAGGCTGTTCGTATGGGGGGCGCTCGTACGGTGGACGCTCACCAGAGGGAGGCCGGTCATATGGGGGGCGCTCATATGGCGGACGCTCGCCAGAAGGAGTCTGTTCGTATGGAGGGCGGTCTTGGGGGGGCTGTCCGTATGGCGGGCGGTTATCATACGGGGGGCGGTCATAGCCTCCGGGAGCCTGCCCGTATGGAGGCTGTCCATATGGCTGGCCATACGGGGCTTGAGGGGGAGCACCGTAGTACGACATGGTATAGACAGACAGTTGGTGCAAAAAGAAATATGGGAGAGAGGGATAAGAACTGTGAGGTAGAATGAAAGCAAGCAGGTTGGGCAGGTTTAAATATATCGCTCAATCTGGTGAGGAGGGGAAAGAGCAGCCCTAATCAGGTCTCAATTCACCACACCCCTGTATGGAGTCTCCAGACGCTAAGTTAATGACAATGAGACCTCAGGAGCCTCCGCGGGCGCCGGAGGCTTGAAAACCATTCGCTAGCAGTGAGATACATATCACTAGAGTATCCACTACATTACTGGTTGCATGGGGAAGTGTCAATAGTCTGGCGGGTGGTGGTGCTGCAGATCTGGCCTCTCAGATGCAAAATTAGGCAGATACATATTGGATGGCCGAATTTCATCCATACCCCTGATTGTTTCCAATCCCACAGCGCTAAATGAAGCACAGAAACCGACCTCAGAATCCAATGGGAGAGGGACGTGCTTCATCCTCCCGCCACAGGTTCGACCTGCCACTCTGAGGTCTCTGGCCGTTGAGAGCCGTGTTCATTTGTCTCCCCGTTGAACCACCAGAGAGGGATAGTATGACATGTTCGATCATGGGCATCAACCCCACCATACCCTACAAAAACGCTGCCTGTGGAGGGTCCCTTGGCGCCACTAAAGGGAATATCTGACTTACGATGACACATCCAATCGGAGTCCCTTTTCTCTAGGCATCAGCCACACCGGCGTATCACCATTGAACCCCTCCAATGATCCTTGCTGAGTTGTGACAAGCCACAAATCCCGCATCCATGGATAATGGAGGGGTTCTCCATCCTCACTCAAATTGACGCCGAGTCCTTGCACCCTATAATTTCAAAATGACCATAGGTCACATGCTGTCAGAAAATTGTCATGTCCATAATATCGTGAGGAAGAGAAAAGAATCCGATAGTACGTCGTATTGTAGTTGCTAGAATTACGAATAAATTGGACCAACAGGGGTCATGCAAGAGTTCCCCCGGCATTGTCGGCATCAAAACATGAGCGACGTGAGCAAAAGACTGGAGACTCGCCACGTGTGACTCAGCCAGTGGCTGTGGCTAGCGCCCAGCCACAGCCCGTTCCGGAAGATTCCTTCAAAGTGGATCGAATGTGGCCTTGTGTCTCCTTTTTCTTCTTGCTGGCATCGTGTTTCCATTGTGGGATCTTGGCGTTGAGGCCGTCTCCCCAGCAACTGCGACTGTTCAATATTAAAGCGGAGCATCCTTAATTGGGCGGATATAGGAAGGTGGACTCTTCAATATGAGGATCTCATTTTGATAAACTGCCCCGTATTTATGGTAATTTAAATTATTTGATTTCATGAACGGAGGTATCCTAGCCATTCATGATATGCCAGTACATATTAGCTATTGCACCGAGCGCCTGTAACTCAATGGTGGTCTGCAATATAGTTGGTAAGGATATACAAGGTTCAAATTAGCATGTAACCTGAACAAGGTGTCAAGGACGTGTAGTTGACGGCCATAAGGCGTGTTTATACCTGCCGTCGCTTTGTTGTTACTTTCTCTGAGATAAACTGTCTAGTCGAGATATCATACCTAGTAGCATGATGGTATTCCCGTCGTGGCTGGTAATATATTTTTCTATGCTTGAGGAGGGCTGTTTTATATATATCGAGAGACTTCACAGTGATTCTAGGATAAGTTCCTTCTGCGACCGTCAAAGTTCGTAAATACTATTCTGGCATTCAATGTGGAACTATGTACAAGGAACTATTCTCCCGGTCTCTCCCATCTTAAGGGTCGGGAATCTCAAATATAAGTGTACCCAGGACTCCCTTGCGATATAGTGCATGATAACGCCAATCTGAACGTCCTGTCGCAGGTCGTATAGAGAGTACTCGTCGGTGATATTAATCTAATAAACACAGGAACTCATTATTCCTCAAGGTCGTATGCACTTTTAAACTTATCATATATAATATTGCATCCTGTTGAAGGAACTGCTAGATTGAAAAGACAGATCACTTTCGGCACAAAATCTCACCATGCAGCATTCCAAACCAGCCCTGCTCCGCATCCACAAACTCCTTCCATCCCTCGGAGATGCTTTCTAATTCGGCCTTGGTCGCAAATCCCTCCTCGAGAGCCGTCGTCGCAAACCCAGACGACCTCGCTCTGGCTCCCATTGATCCACCCCAGTATTGTCTCTCCTCGGGGGTACTAAAGCACCACGAGCCAGTGCTTTTCTGAATTTCAGACTGCTCGAATCCGGCCTCCTCAGCCCAAACATGAATAATCCGCCCCGGATGTGGATTGCCCCCTTTAGCCTTTGCCATTCGTGCAGTGATATCAAGCCATGCCTCAATGCCCTTGTTTTCCGGATACCAAGTCATAACCGATGATTCTCGTGCTGCGACGAGTCCACCGGGTTTCACCACACGTCGCATTTCCCGCAAGGCTTTGACTGGGTCTGCAATATGCTGTAGCACCTGATGGACGTGGACGATATCGAAGGTATTATCGGGGAAATCGAGGGAGTGGATATCCCCCACTTGGAATTCAATGTTCGTCACGCCTTTTGATGATGCCAGCTCGCGGGCCTGATCCAGGGGGTCAGGTACATATTCAATTCCAGTAACATGACCTTGGGGTGCACGGCTTGCGAAGTCAACGCTAATTGAGCCAGGGCCGCAGCCGATGTCGAGAATCTTGGAGGTAGTGGTTATATGTGGGAGAAGGTAGGCAGTGGAATTGGACGCAGTGCGCCAATTGTGAGTCTGAAGAACAGAGGTTGAGTGATCGGTTGTATAGACTCCCATTGTGATTGTTGTAATAGATTGTCTGACTTTGTTACTATTAAGGTTGATCAATGTTAGGATAAAGGTAGAACTTGGGCGCGTTTATATAGTAGACCAGCTCGGGAGGGGCCTGGTGGAGAACTGAGGACTCCGAGACGGAATTCCGATGGTGACGTGCCGCCTCGGCATTTCCGCATCAACAACCATGGATATGGACACAGACTCCAAATATCATCATTCCGAACTCATCCGCCGACTGTACCCATCGCTCGATTCTTTCCCTGCGCTCAGCTGAGCCCGTCTCCGCTGATCTCCATAATTCCGAGATCTCCAACATCCCATCCTCCCACCGTAAGAGGTGTCTATCATATTCCCTGCTCCAGGTTTCTCGGTCTTCGGCTTCCCATAGTGCCTTGTTGCCCGGTGCATACACTCCTCTCATTTCATCTGCCACAAAATTCGGCAGTAGCCTGTCCGCGTTGTACACGCTGCTAAAAAGGTACATAGTGAAAACAGCGCGACGCTTGGCGGCGACCACAATCCAGGACTCCCACGTCGGCCGAGCATGGGCTAATTCTGCGGCGCAGAAGAGGCCATTCCGGGCAGTCCGGAAGGCCATCTCCATGAGGGTGATCATTATCTTATCATTGACAAGGGATGAACCACCTCGTGGGGAGAAGTATAGCATAATTGTATACAGCAAGTAGGCTTGGAAAGCTGCGAGGAGCTCGTAGTCATTTTCAGAATGCTGGAACTATTAGCTTCCCACAATGTCACAAAGAGCGTTTCAACGTGTAGAGATACCTCTTCAGCCAGTCGTTCCATTTCCTTTTCCAGCGTACTCATTACCATCATCTCACTTCCTGGTACCGCCTGTTCCCACATTCGTACCAGACTGTAGCAGTTTGCAAGTGATCGAGGTAATTCTTTCCTTTCAATCTGTGAGCGATGAATTATAGGAGGAACATCCTTGTCTTTCAGCATAAATCGCGGATAAGTGCTCAATATCCGCGAAATGTACTGCAACGTGTAAGGGTGGTAAACCTTGGGTATCTCGTCTTGCCCCAAGGGCGGTAGAATATAAGGTCTCAACCAGCGATCTCGAATATCCTCCGCATTAGCGCTCGGTACTAAATCAACCGTTCCAAAATCAAGTCCATCTCCGTCTCTCCAGCCACTGGCAGCTTGTCTCCTTACATGAAGATGACTAGACGGGCTCCAGGCCGTGCTCGAAGGAGTACTAGCAAAAGGCAGGGGAATGGGCATGGCGGACACTGAATCAAAACGAGGTGTCGAATATACTGCCGAGCTGGTATATGCAGCCCCAGCGTCTTCTGTAAGACTCCCTTCTCCAGGAGGGGAGTCTTGTGTCAACGCCGAGGCAGAATATTCGCAGACACGACCCGTCGACCTACACCGCGAACAGGCAGGTTTTTCGAGACTGCAACGAACTTTCGATTTCGTGCAGCTATTGCAAGCCTTCTTGCGGGGAGGACGCCGCTTGGGATGATGGCTTTCTGATGTGGGCATGGTTTGCGATACACTTGGGTAGACTTTGGTAATGATGTTGTCCTCGGGCAAGTTCGGAATTCCGATATTCTTCGTGGCATTGCCCGACTACAGGCGGGTATATGGACCTAGTATGTATTTCTTAATCAGCTTCTTCAGTATTTGCCGAGGTCTAATTTCTCCTACTACTAACGCTGTTTTTCTGCGCAAAACATTGAACGACTTTCCATGTCACTTAGCAGGGAATTTCCCTTTCTATTTGGCTCAGTGCTTGATCTTGAAGTATAGAGTAGGAAGAACGTGTAACTGAGCGCTCCGTGAGTATAAAGAAAGTGTACCAGAGGTCCAGAGCAATCCAAAAGAAATCCCAGAGTAGTATTCGATTACTTGCTGAGAATATTTACTGATACGTGATGCCACTGTCATTCGCTCGACCCGCAGAATACTCTGTCTTTACATACACGCAGCCCTATTGGAATGGACTTAAGCAATTTTCGTCCACACAATATTTTAAACGCTGCGAAGCTCCGTACCACCACCTGCAACCACATTTAATCAGGGTCACAGAAGATGATATCGGAATCTTCCGAAAATAGCCATACAATTTCATTCTGTCCATCATTAGCTAAATTCCGACAATATGGTAACTCATACTCACACCATACAATATATCAAGGAACACTATATCTCTTTCAAGGGGAGTAGTGCGTGGCAGCGCTTTAACCCGAATAAGACTCAACTGATTGTCAGTGTAGGTTAAGTAAAATCGTAGAACATTATCATTCTGGAAGAATATCTCTTCTATATCCGGCTGTATCCGCGTACTCTCGTACCATCGACCTAGGATGCGTATTGCATCATCGTTGTAATAAAGAAGGATTCCTGTACAACGAGAATTCATATAGCAAGCTTTGATTATGCGAATGTTTCTAAACGAGGCTCGTGAGGAGAACCGAAGGTATATATCAGTTTACAAGAGATCCACCACAGGAGAAGCCTGTCTCATTTGTGGTTGAAGATCGTGTTTTGATTCCATTGGGGACTTAAGTGGCTGACAGATTGTTCCCAAGCTCGTGAAGCTAGGTAGGCCAGGAGACACATCATAGTAAAGGCCAAGAATTTCTCCATCTTCTGGACCATATATTTTCTGCATCCTGGTTTTCGAAGGCGTAAAAGAAGGCCCGAGAAAGTATTGTCTGTCTTTGCTAGTTGTAATCTAGGTAAGATTAGCATGTGTTTCCACAGAATTGGCTATACATACAGCAAGATAACGATTGTACAACGAATCACTTTGATGCCAGTAGACATAAATCGACGTTATAGTATCTGAGCAGTCAAATTGAATATGGATAGGGCAGCCGTGCTGTTCGCCATACCACGATACCGTAGAAGGCTGCTCTCTAGGTTCTGTAGAACGATGGTGGGTTCCCAAACCAACAAGTCCTTTATCGGAGCAAAATGCGGTGATTCCGTACAGCAGCTGATTCTTTCGTAGAGGTATGTATGTCATATATCGCCGAGACTGGGTTGCGAAATCGAAATGACGCGGCCAATCGTAGAATAGCTCCGGAGAGAGCCAGTGCAGCTTGCTGCAAGGTACCGGAGATAGCCAAAAGAAGTCATGTCCGAATGTCGACTTATCGTGAGAGCTAGCCATAGAAATTTTCCAGACCTAGATTGATATCAGCCTCAAGCACTATTCTCATATGAAAGGCTTCATACATCCCAATCAATGTCCACGCAGACGGGCCTTGTTCTTCGACACGAAACAACATGAAAGAGCTTGCTACTTTCTAAATCGTCCACATTGCTCGAACTGGCTTCAGTCTCCGTTAAGAACTTCAGCTTCTGGAGTCCGTAAGTGCCCAAGCTGAAGACACAGGCAGTACTAGAAGCTGGTACTGAAATCAGAAGCGAAGAATTGCCCATGTGGCCGTAAAGTATGTGCCCTTGACGAATGCCGCATATATATGTCCCCTTCAGGATATTTGTGAAATAAACCACCAGCTCCCCATGTAAAGAGATAGTCGCACGTCCAGTTGAATGGGGAAGACATGACCAAATACTCTTTGTGGCATTCAGTGCAAGTAAGCACCGGATAGCACTGGGGTTAAGGAAATCCCATATAATGACACCCAGCTCGACTGGCAGATTTCCGCATCTTCCTAACAATTCCAAAAGCATGCCGTCATCATTTTTGCGGCGAGGATCTTTAAACAAGGCGGCTATTGCGTTAGAATAGAAGGCATATGTTCTATAAATCTCTTGCGGAATCCCAGTCCATACGAGTGGTGTTGTTGCAATGGTAAGATTTGAAAGGGTGCGAGGGATTGGAAGATCCACTACAGCTGCTTTGCAAAGACTGTGGATAGCAGGAGTATAGATTGCTCTCCTTCGCAGCTGACTGTAAACTTGAATGGATAGTCCCTCCAAGTAGATCACTTGAGTACCTTCGAAGCTTATAGCTTGAGTCACAACTGGATCCTTGCGTGTAGGAAACGATAAAACTTTATGGATCAGCGCACAGTTTGATTAACATTAGACCTCAGATACCTAAATAGCAGGGGATATTCCCACTAATTTTCTGTCCACAGAGTACGCAATGAGGCAGCCTTACATACTGGCAAGGCTTTTGCGCGGGAAGTCCCATTATATGACGTGCGAGATGGAAATACTGAGAAACTCAAATAGGTCGTCGATAATACGAAGCGGCATTATCTGTGATTTATGGACCTTGAGAGCGGTCTACAAATGTACACAGCGAATGATAATCGGTCTGCTACTCACCGTCTTTCTCTACCTTGCATCCCCCGAGAAAGTTAAACTACAAGATTTGATCACATTATATACAATAAGGTGGCATTTGGCAGCAAGTGAAGAGTGGAATATCATATCACTGAATTACTGGAGATAACGCTTATCTACCGCGCACTAGGGCAAGCCAGAATGGCATACGATTTGTAGTTAAAAAGAAAGGGGTCCGTCAACGAGCCCAAAAAGCAACAATCCCATCAAAGTCTTTCATCGTCAAGCTTTTCACATCTCGAACCTCCTGGGTGATTTCCTTCCTCAAACGACAGGCAACCCTTAAGCTGATAGATGCTTTCTGCATTTTGCCCATTGTTTCGAAAATCTTGCCCTTGAGAAAAGTACTGCGAGCGATCTCATTTTTGTGTGCAGTCGGATCAACAGACCAAATGTCCAACGCCAGGTTGAGCATAGATCTAAAAGAAGTTAGGGATTTTTCAGCAGTCCGAGGAGAATTATTACACCTACATCGCCTCTTTGCACCGGCCCAAGCGGGCAAAGTGCTCGGCCACCTTATGGGCAACATTTGCAGTATAGAAATCTTTATCGCCAACCGTGGCGCGCATGTGGTCCAACGCTCGGTGATGGAATTCCAAACTTTCATCCAATTGGCTTTGTGCAGCACGGAGATTACCAAGTACAGAAAGAATCAGCCCAGTGCGGACAGATTCTCGATCATTTTTGCCCAAAGCCTTTTCTCTGCCGGCCAAGCTATCCAGCAGGAGCGTGTTGCACTCTTCAAGCTTGCCCTGCGCGAGAAGAGCCCAGCTCAGATTGGCCTCACCTGACCGGGGAACGTAATTTCCGAGATCTTTGTGGATCTGCAGCGCCTTTTTGAGATTAGCTTCGCCCTCTTTGTACCGTCCGTCCTGGATGCGTGAGATCCCTCGTTCTGCGTAGGCGAGGTACAACCTCTCGTCCGCAGTTCCCAGCTCCTTGAAGATACTGGAAACCAAAGGAAAGCTGTTTAAACACGCGGCTTCCATTGAAATCATTAGTGTCCATGGCAATAGACCCTAAGCAGAAGTATATATCTGCAAGCAGCGAATCCCGATCTGGGTGTGCGGACGACTCGCAAATACCGCGAGCAGTTTCGAAGCCATCGAAATGCTTTGTTCGTTCACGCTCCTTCTGGTACCTGGTAATATTAGCCAAGTGCTAAAGAAAATATCTGGGTTTTGTACACGCACCATGCAGCCTCAGTCAGTAATTTTGCAAAGAGCAAATTGGTGGCCTCTGATGGATTTGGAATCGCTGACCAGAGCTGATGTATCTTTAAAAACATGGGGATAGATCTCTGTACAAACGGGCCATCTTCCAACGCTCAATCTGCCACCAGCTGATCTGGGATGGGGTAACTGTGGCTCTTTTGATGGCTTCGGCATAGCCGATGGCCATCTCATCCAAAGGATTCGTACAAGCTGGTCGCACTTCAACCGTTTCTTCGTAGCGTCCATTGTTGCCAAGATTACATCTTGTACAATGCGACGGACAGATATCTGCCGGTTTTGCTTATCCCTTCGTATCAGAGATGACTGTAAAAGATCAGTTCGTGCCTCAATGTAGTTACTCCTCTTGAACTGTGCCCCCTCTGAGATTAATTCTACTGATGCCTGTATCAAGAAATCATCCTTAATGAGGTCTGGATCGAGAAATGAAATTAGCTCCAGCAACTGTTTAGCTTGGGGCTTCAGCTTCTCAAATGCCCAGACAGTAGATAGACTATGGCTATATGTAACCAAGTCTGTGTTGAACTTCGTCTCGTAGAGCCTAGTGTGCTCTTCATAATCCGTATAGAGTTCGAAGAACTCAGATAAGGTGAGGTCCTGTTGACGAATGATCCCAGCCATCTGGGAGATAGCTAGAGGGAACCCACCAAACGTACTGGAGATTTGTCTGGTTATATTATCTTCAGGCTCATTGCAAATCATAGTGAGATGGTTCAAAAGAGCTAGGCTGTCATGATGGGAAAGTGGGCCGAGATCCAAGCCTAAAGGCCTTCTTGTGAACATACTTTTGGCCAATGGATCGCGGCTGGTGACAAAAATTGATTCACTCCCCTGAGGCCAGTAGTCTGCCAACATCATTGGGTCATCTGCGTTGTCAAATATGAGAAGCCAATTCATCAATTGAGCCCGAACGAGCAGGCGGTGGTTCAAGAGACCTTGCGAAAGCGTCTTGTTCTTGTTCACTTTTACTACTCTGCGTTGACCATGAACCAGATACCGGATCACTTTGATGCGCTCAGGAGTGAAAATTTAATGCTGCGTACAAAGCTATTTAAACGTGCTGGGGCACCGTGGGAAGGAGGCTCGTTGTCTCTTAAGTAGTACGCCATACTTCAAGCATATATGAATTGGCCTATGGGTATCGATGACATACCCCCTTCAATGTCGGCTAATTGTCCAGTGCGGTTCACTGAACTGTGGTTCAGAGTATCATGAAAGATCATGATCGTGAACAAGAAAAAATGGAAGAGTTGTCCTGAAATGAGAGACATGATAGGCATATATGCAATTGGCTGGGTTCCTCATGAAAGGCAGCTCCAAAGATCAAAGGAGGTTATACAACAAATCAAGGCAGGCTTAATGGAGCACTCCAACACTGAAACTAAAATGACTGCGTTGCTAGCTCATTTCCCTTTCGATGATCATGATAAAGACGTATAGGACAGCTAATGTAGCTAACCATATTGATTGTTAATGGAGTTCCGTTTCGTATTTGACCATCGACGTAGCAAATAATGTCACGGTTCTCCAGGCGCTCTCTATAGTCAATTAGCACCAAGAAAACAGAATACCCCGAATTGATTTACGTCGGCAGACGGTACAGCCTGTAAAGTGTCCACTGGTACTCCGTAGAGTGGTACGGCTCGACCCGAACCCGCCCCGAACCCACTGATTTCTGGGGGCGGGTTTGGAAGGCAAAATTCGCTACCTCTAGTACAGCGCTAGTACTCATAAGTCAAGAGTGCCAGGCGGCAAATGCCGGCAGTTTCGGTTTCGGGAAAAGCGCGGCCTCGCGTTATGCAAGACAGCCTGAGGCACACGCGTCGTTGGTTTGCGTTCGACTGCGTTCGAAAGGATGATAAGAACAATCTTTTCAAGAGCCTTGTCGAGACAACATTCGATACGCATATATCAATCGTCAATACGCTATGGATCGTGTGCCATTCCCAAACACCAGTACCATACGTCGCAGAATACTAAAGAGCTCGACCCGCTTAGTCGACGAAGCCGTACAAGGAGCGTCCAGTATGCCTTCGACCCAGTCAACATTACGGCCGCGAATCGACCATCCAATCTATTCTCCTTCCTACACCCTGACAGCGTTTCGCTCCCCATCTTCCAGCACGCGAATTCCATCGTCCCGTCCAGCCTTTGTGTCCCATGGCCCACCTCGTTCCCTTCCTGCTTACAGTCGAAATACTGGGTAGAAATGGAGGAGACGGCAAGGGCATATACCGAAGAACTTCTAGCCCAACAACCGGAAAGGTATCAAGCGAAATATATTGAGGCAATGATCGATGCGGCAGTCTCGCTACCGGTAATTGCGGCTCCAATGGGCAACTTGACGAGGATGAAGGTCCTCGCAAAGCTCTACGTCTTAGTCTTTATGAGTGATGGTGATTGAACGTGTGGATATTGGTTGATTGATTTTAGCTAAATTTTCGGCAGATCTGGTTGATTCCGGAAATGTATGCTCCGTCCACGCCGATTCGGGTTGTTGAAGCGGAAGGTTGACCTAGACACCGCAGCGATTGACGATGATACCCAATCATATCGAGGGGAAAGCGGAACAAGGTCCAGAGTATACATTCTACAATATGTTGGCTAAAGAGATCCTCTCGGAAGATATTGTCAAGGGGAAACGACTGCTGGAAAGTTGCATATCCTGGATATCGGCGACCCAACAAACGCCCCCTGAGACGTTTCCCACATTAGAGGATTATATGGCGTATCGGGCGGATGATGCGGGAGGATAGTACGTCCGATGACTGATTTACAGCGAGCAACACTAACCCTGCCAGTACCGTGTTCCGCAGTATGGAATTCGCTTGCGATGTTTCCTTTTCCGACACTGATTTCGAAGCCGTCGCGCGTCTCAGATCGCTCTGTGAAAAGCATTTCTTACTAACCAATGACCTGTACTCCTATGCCAAAGAAGCAGTCGCAGCACAGAAGCATGACACTTCTGTCCTCAACGCCGTTAGAGTCGTTCAGCGCTTGATGAATATCTCTGAAGATTCGGCAAAAACGAGTGTTCGCCAACTTATCTGGGATTTAGAACGCCAGATGAACGAGGAATATCAACGTCTGCTTCCGGGCGCACCACAGTCGCAGCTAACATACGCTCAGGGTTTGATTGTCTGCGTTGCAGGGAACATGTTCTTCTCAGCGACTTGTGCTCGCTACGCGCGAGTCGTTGAGGGTTCGAGATTGCATACATAGATCCATTGTAGACGTCATTGCACATATTGACCCTTGTTCGACAGTCTATACAGTTAAAGTATATATCAATCCGTGAAGCAAACCAATTTCAGTAGTGTACAGACTACCATAAACCCAAACACCAAACGACCATTCTATGCAAACAGGTATCCCCGAGGAAAAATAACAAAAGTAAAGAAGGATGGAGGGGAAAGGCTAAAACTTATATACCTGTCCCTTCTCAAACCCGAGTCTACTCAAAATCCCGCTCTTCCCAACCAACGACTCCTCCATGGCAGGCGGCCCACAAACAAACACCTTCGCACCCTCTCCCTTCCCACCAACAACCCCCTTCAAAAGCTCCTCGGTCACATATCCCTTCCTCAATCCCTCCTTCTCCCCATCCAACCGACTAACCGTGTAAACATACTCAAACCGTTCAGGAAACCGCTTCTTATACTCTTCCAGTTCCTCCCTGAGCAGCAAATCCTGCTCGCTATTCACCCCGAACACGAGCTTGATCTTTGTCTTATCATTCGGGTTATCCAAAATCCCCCGGATAAGCTGGTAGATGGGGGTTATGCCGGCTCCGCCGGCTATAGCGTAGATCTGGGGGTATTGGTTCGGAACCCAGGAGAAACCCTTGAGGGCTGTGAGGAAGGTGAGAGTGTCCCCGGGGACAAGGGAGTGGATGTGTGTGCTTGCTTTCCCGTTGGGGTATTGTTTTACCATTAGTTCCAGGGAACCTTGTTGGTCTGTTTCTTGTTTAGCTGTTGTCTAGTCTAGTATGGACGTAGATACTGGAGGAATCGAATCACTCACTCAGATCACCGATTGGGGTGTATGGTCTGATAACGGGTAGCCACCGGCCAGTTGGTCGGGAGAGGGTAAGTAGTGCCGCTGGTATACATTAGCAATTATCATATAGTCTCTCTCCCATTATGCAGAGAGAGAAACTCCCAAAGAGAACATACAAGTCAACGACAACCCACTCCTGGCATTCTTGTCTGGAAACTCAAACACAAGCCGCTTCGTATTATGATTCACAGCCTTGACACTCTGCACGCGCAGAGTCGTAAACCCGAACCCGGAGAACATAACGGGCGACTCGTCCGATTCCGCGTGAGCCTGGGGAAGGAGATAGGATCGAGCGCAATATACGCCAATGCCGAAGACAGCAAGCGTGGAGAACAGAGTAGTTTTTGTCGTTAGGGACGGGGGAAGTCGTCTGATTTGAGCCATACTCTTTATAAGTAGTAGAGATTGATGGTCCACTGAGCATGTACCCTAGAAACAGTTATATATAGGTCGAGGTACGCACATAGTGTCTATTTATACGTGACCTCTCTGCCCGACCGATAAGTACCGGACGCTACGGGCCCCGATCACCGACGGTTACACGAACTGAATTGTCCATCGGGAACTATTCCGTACGACACGGAATACTCTGTAGTTATTCGAGCAATCAAGTTTAGCTGTTGCGTGTCTCACGGGCTCAATCCGGCGTTCGGTGGTCGTAAAGGCCGATGGATGTTTATCGGCTGCTGCGGTCATTCTCGGCTTTTGTCGGGTTTTGGAAATGGGTGCATATAGCTTACCTTGGAAATGCAATTATGGCACCACATTGTGGGTAGTTTTCTTAGCCACATCATGTCAGAAGTGGCAATGTGAGGGATAAACCGGCCAGAGGTCTAATAATACACCCTTTTAGCAGTTTATCTGATTCCCTACATAGGGTGTGAAGTGTTCAAAATATACGCCGCGTCTCGCAGTCCACCACATGGAGGTCGCAATAAGCTCCAGAGCCTTAAGCATATTGCTGATAAACATATTGCTCTTTAGCCTTGCTCTAGCCCATGCGTCTATCGGCTTGAGTGGATTAAGAGAGCAGTATGAAAATCCCGCAAATAAGGCGTTCGACGACATGCTAGCCACAGTATATATTGTGAGCCTATGACCTGTGGCCGTCTTATTATGTATCATGCTAACGGCTTTCCTACGTTTCTCTGTAAAAGACTAGCTAGTAATTCCATGCCAAAGTTAACACAGTGGGATATGATCCTCTTATTGGGGAAATGAATCCTAAGAGCAAGTTCTCTCCCTTAGTTAGGACGCGGAGAGTTCAGCGAGAGACAAATAAGGAATGCCAAGACTTCCGCTGCCAAGGGCCCTAAATGAAAGTGGTTAAGTCCTCACATGACGGGCCTGGTATAAATTCCTCCCCCGCACGTTGCGAATTTCCCCGCGTTTTCCTCTTTCTTGTTTTACCCGGCAAATGGGGAAGACCATCTGCTTTAATGTGAGCAGTTCTTCTACCATAAAATCGCAACTTCAATACAAAAAAATGTCGGACTCGTAGACTGGTCGCCAGCGATCCAGGCCTTCACATCTCAGGGTATTAAACCCCAGCCGCGACAAGTCCCCCATGGCCAATCATCCATGTGCGAGCGTCGTTAGCTGTCTGCCTCTAAGTACCCAAAGCAATGGATACCAATAACCATGTTGGCGTTTGCCTACGAGCGACTCGCATTGTCTCTCGATGATCTTGTCGTGCGTCAGCATGAAACTCGTTATCCTACATTCTTAAAATACATTGTAAACCTGGTAGAGGATGCTGGTGCTAGCAGCCAGCTTGGTAACGAGATATTGTGCTCTGGTCACCACAGCCCGCGTCTCTGCGGACCTGCGTCTTCGATGTCATTATATATTCTCCCAGAATGCTTTTTCTATAAACATAATCACAGAGGATTAGATGAATAGGCCAGAGAAGACGGACCGTTTATAGCTCTCTTGGTTATTCCAATAGGTGGTGTCATGCTGTACCTCGGGTCCAGTGGCTCCAAACTCCCATCTAAGCTTGATCTTCGTCCACTGCATGAGATGGCTGGCAACTTTCAGATGACCGACATCCGTTGGATGGCCGCCCGGAGAGATATCATTGTGCTGGAGAATGCCCTTTGTGTCGAAGTAATGCACGTATCCATCCTTTTCGAAATGCTGGTATACCTTCTGAACTTCGGATTCATAGATGGGTTTCTGCACCCAGGTTGAGCTGGACTTGACGAAATTACCCCAGAGGGACTACTGATATCAGCAAAACCGATCACTAGACGAGAATGGGGGCGTACCATGAGGACAATCTGTGCATCAGGCCAAACGCTATGCACTTTCTCCACCATTTTAACGTAACTCTGATAGTAATTGTCGCTAGGAATATTGTTCTTGGCCCTGCCGTCATTCGTGCCCAGGTTGATTATCACTAGGTCGGCTGCACGATGAGCGGTGAAATTCCATGATTCAGGCTTATCACCGAAGGCCGCATTCGCACGGTCGCCTACATCTGAAGCGTGGGACCATTGATACGTCTGCGGGGGATGGTCAATAATAATCATTTCGTGGTGAGCGGGTCGTATACCATGCCGCGAGCATCGCCGCCATAACATTGCTTGTCTACCAAGCATATTCCGGGGTACGCCTTTCGCAGTTAGAATGATGGTAGTATGTTAAATAAGAGGAACACATACCGTTATTGTATATTCAGCATTGCCCAAACCAGCCGCGAAGTTAAAACCCCACGAGGCAAGACCCTCGTAAGTAGCGTACTGCCCTGATGCGAGCCTTCCAGTCGATAGTCAGTAAAACCTTTAGGTCTTGTCCAGAGAATTTTGCAAACTAACGAATCTCCAATTATTTCCACCGTCCTATTGAACTCTGCGGCTTTTACCAACCGCGCGTCCGAAGCAACAGACACGCCGTCAATCTGAACTGTGTGGATTGTAAGCAACGAGCATGAAGGTTGAGCCGATAAAACTTATCCATAGCCCCAGTTCGTGACTAAGTCGATCAGTATGTGCACGTTTGATGTTCAATTGTGTTAAAATACCTCGCATTTCAAATGTCTTGTCATCCGCATACTCTGTTTCATTCAGTGCCGACGATCCAGGCTTGACGAACTGATAGGCTGAATTGGCCGTAACGTTCGAGAACTCCCAGTCAAGCCCACCAATCCTATAAAGTCAGAAAATCAGAAACAGTCCCACAAATAACCCAGGCTCACGCGTACCGATAAGCGACAAGCACATTCTTTGACGTATTTTCACCAAAGCTCACGGCCAGCTATTGATGCCTGTCAGCCACCGATAGAGATCAAACTCCAAGCAGCAGTACAACTCTACCTTATCGCCCGTAAATCCAAACTTGACACCAGGAACACTGAAGTAATTAGCTATCGTCATCAGGAAAGAATAGCCAAACATACGACCACCCTAAAAAAACATATTAGCGTCAATCCTAGAAGAGCATGTATTCCCATCACTCACAAGAAGTATAAGTACTATCCCACCGCCCCTTATATGAGATCTCCGACGCGCCAGCCTCGTATATCTTCCAAGAGTCATCAATAGAAACCTCCTCCGCTTGTCCAGGATAAGGATTCAGCCTCGCCTGCCCATTCTCCAAGATCGTAGCAGCAGCCTGGATCGCCAAAGCTAACGCCAACAGCGAAAACCGCATTTTAAACACCAAGATGCAATTGTGTCCCTCAGATCAGACACAAAGAGACGAGAACCAAATAAGAAAACTACACCATCGAGCAAAGACCATCAGATTTTAAATCCAGACTAGCGTCATGCAAGGGAATGCACTCCTGTCTTATCTCATTTGTGTAGAAAACCTGAAATCGTTCGGTGGCTGGGATGACTTTTACTGAACAAATCCTCAATTTATTCAGCAGTGCGATAGCGCGCCAGCTTTCTCCATTTTTGCGCTGCGTAGCTGATTAAATGCCGAGTTGGGTTGTCAATCACTTCCTTTCTGAGGGGCTTATTTGCTTTCGGTGTGGGTCGCGAAGAAATAGATCACAGAATGGGGTCAATGGGTGGGCTGGAGGTTCTGCTTTACGTTCAATGTCGATCAGGGGTTTGGTCTCAGGTTTTGGCATCCTGGAATATGATCTGATATCAACAGGAGCAAGGGATGGAGAATTCCACAGTCTAGGGCAGACACGTGACGTCATGGATACATGTGCTTGGGAAATTAGAAGTGACTAAGCTGTTGAGACTTGGATGTTCAGATAGTAGTCATTAGCCCGGTTTTTTATGAATATAATCTCAAAGATTTTGTAGTCATATGTAAATCTGGTGAGCCGCTGGGTTAGATCAGCGGATTGATCTGGTAGCCAACTTGCATCATGTCATACAATGCAGGTATAATATATCACATATGCATCTCGGTGAATGGATCATCCTCTGTGGTACTGCTGGCAGAAAGGGTATGAGCAAGAGTAGGAAGGATCTCGACCGTCTACTTTGTGCATATAATTAGGTTTAACATGTGAATCGAAAAGGTCATTCAATTCGATCGATCACAAGGGTCCCTTTTGCGATCTCATTACCGATCCCAAGGAATATATTGGTGTTGCAATAAATTCGCTGATTAGGCAAAGCAGTTAATGAGATAACTTGTCTTTTAGTGTGCACTGAAGGAAGTACAAACATACGGCTGGATTGAATACAAACTGCCTTTGAAAACACTGCCTTCTCTCTCTCCTTTCCTTCTATCCGTCCATCTTTCTTGTTTGCTTCAAGAACTCATTGGGCCACACTTTTGAATCCCAGCTCATCGAAGTGAAAATTCAACCGATATGTGGACCTCCAGTAAACGACTCATGTCTCATAGCTAATCATCACGAGCCAATGCCAGTCATCACCGACGCAGTCCTGACGACAGTTTAGGTGACTGCTCAGGCGCGAGCTTAGATAAATGGGCATTGACCGAAGTGTTGCAACTTCCCTAAGATGCCGAGTGTCAATCATTTGATGTTTTGTATGAGGTACTTTGGAGAACATCCTGAGCTGGAATTCGTCTACGCGTTCAACGTAATTAGGTAACATAAGGTAGAGAATGGCAAGCCTGTACAATTGGACACAGGCTGGAAGGGTGGTACGAGCCGTGTCCCGCAAATCTACCTATCTCCGGCTTACCCCCGTGGAGAGTAATGTGATATTGTCCAGCCGCAACTGGTAATGCGTGGGGAATATTGCGCAGAAAGCTGAACAAGTGAGTTATATGTGCTTACACCATCTTACCACTGGGGTAAGCAGAACCAAGTCATATACATGATATGATGAGAATTTTCAACCTGGAGAGTTCAACCTTTTGTGTTATGTTGGGTGGGGAGGAGTAAACTGCCACACTCCTGGCCCAGTGCGAATGAAAGGATATTCTCATGAGGTTATTCCCCTTTCACCTTATATCGATGGTTGAGCCTAAGAAGGCAAGATCTATCCCATGAATCACCATCAAGGCCGGTCTTTGTTCAATGGCGCTGTGTTTCACCACCCATACAGCATACTATCGTTGTACTCTAGCTGGAAACGGAACGCTCTTTGAATTAAAACCATAATGGCTTACAAGGAAAATGGGCCTGGGGATTGCAGATACCGGGATACAGCACAGGGCGTCAAATCAACCCCGTTATGGAAAGCCTCGAGGATCTCAAAAAATCTTCGTGCAGTGTTTTCTAGCACCAGGACAGAAAACCGGCCGATGATACTTACGAAAAGGAAATACCAGGAGCTAAAGGAAAAGTTCAAGAACTTACGAGTACATTATAACCTTGGGATTCAGAAATTGCAAGTCTAAGCCACTGTCATCGAACAGCAAGAGCGTGTGATCCGATATCTTCAAGATATAGAGAATAACGATTCTCTACCTAGTCAGTTGGAACCAACTACGTTATTCAAGTTTCAATTCTACTAAGGTACTTTCCCCGCTTACGACGAATCCAGAAGAAGAATTCTATCCCCTTATCCGTTTATCGGGGAGGATAATCGGGAGACGGGCCCTTTCCTGGATAAAGATTAGGATGCCAATGACCTGGTATAACCAGGTTTTCTTTTCGGAGAGATAATGCGGCGCCTTATATAATATTCATTAGTTACCAAATAGTTTCTAGTTCCGTCCTCGTTGACCTTGTTCTTAGTTTATCACATACATCGATAGCCTTCACGACGTGATCCACGATTCAGTCTACAAATTCATACGTGACAATACCTATATACTGACATTATCAACTGGAATGCGAAGAGTTTGTTCCAGCACTCAGACGTCATTTACCGTAATGAACCACCGCGTGGCAAGGCAGATGTAGGAATACAATATAATTACTACAACGGTCTTCTACACAAGTAGGATGTATCCTCTTACTAGGATTATACAGTGACTATGACATATCGTATTCTAGAACTACTCCATATCTAATAGCTGCGAAAGAGAACGGAAGGCCCATATTGCCAAAATATTTCCATGGGTACAATCACCCGTTTAAATTCGGGACCTGGCTTCAAATCCACCGGTAAAAGTAGAAGTCTTAATATCCGGTGGCATTTGCAGGATCTCTTTAATTGCCTTCCCAAATTCCTTGAAGGCTACTGACTGAGCGTGGCTTTTCAGTGCATTTTCACTCGCATATCTTTTCCGATTGACGTCAGAATCCTTGATAACTCGTACGAGACGGGTGATTCACTTACTTCTCGACAATTACCAGTTGGTCCTTGCCCTTTGGTTGAACAGCGTAGTAGAGGAGCGTTTCAGGTTCGTGAGTCTGGACATATTGGGACAATTTGTTGAAGGCTTGAGCCAACTGCGAAATTGTTAGCGGCGGGTGAACTGGGGAAGGATACAGGGGCGGAAACTTTGCCCGGGTGTATTGGTGTTTTACGTACGTCGGTGAGCTTCCCATCTTGAGGAACAAGGGTCACGATATTGTGAATAGCTTCCGAAGGCATGGTATAACTTAAACAGAATTTGTAGCTGCTATGGAAGAATGCAATCGGTACTTAGGGGCAAGAAATCACACCACAAAAAGAGTCTGATTCAAAGCTTATGTATGCGTGAAAGGTAGTATAATGGAACTGAGAGTGAGTGGTGATGTGATCTGTGCCTCGGCGAGATGGTCTTTTGTTCTTATAAACTTGACTGCTCTATTGTAATCATAGTTCTGATCGGCGTTCGGATATTGTAATCAAGAGGAAATTGAAGAATATCCAAAGGTACTACCGGGTATAGAATAGGGAATCCATGGATTCTTGCGTGTCGATATTATAATCAAAGAATCAAACACTGAGGAGCACATGAGAGTAGGCTGCCTCGGTTAGTAAATGCACTCATATGAAGTATAACCGTAGCTTCGTATAACTGTAGCATGTTATTCCTTTCCTACGATGTTTAATGTCTCCCATCATCCTTTTGTTAACAAGATGAGCGACAACAATCAAGAAAAGAAGCCATACGACCATGACACTATCATCATCGGAGCAGGCATATCGGGGATCAACACCGCATACCGCGTTCAACAGGAGCTACCAAACTTCAGCTATGCGATACTCGAAGCCCGAGATGCATTAGGTGGAACTTGGGATCTCTTTCGATATCCAGGTATTCGGTCTGATTCTGACTTATTCACATTTGGCTTTTCATGGTACCCCTGGACCGCTTCTAGCCAGATTGCTGATGGCTCTGCGATACGGGAGTATATGCGGGAAGCAGCTGCTACCCATGGCATTGACAAAGCTATAATGTACAATCACAGAGTTGATACTGCTTCCTGGTCTTCCCCAGATCAACTCTGGACCCTTGATATCACGCATAATGGCAACAAGAAGACCCTCCGAGCCCGATTCCTTGTTTTCGGTACTGGATACTACGACTACCATCAACCTCTTTCCGCCAGCATTCCAGGCTTAACGAGTTTCCGAGGATTGACCATCCACCCGCAATTTTGGCCGGAGGACTGCGATTACGATGGCAAGAGAGTGGTTATCATCGGCAGTGGTGCAACTGCTATAACTCTCCTCCCGAAGCTCTCTGAGACCGCAGCAAAGGTTACCATGTTGCAGCGCAGTCCATCTTACATCATGTCGATCCCGAGCCAGACAAAGCGAACCTGGTTGACACGTCTCCTGCCCACTAGCATGTTTCTCAAGCTGAACCGTGTCCTTAAGATCGTATTATCTAGACTGTTCTTTCTCTTCTGTCGCTCATTTCCGACCACGGCGCGATCGGTCCTTCGACGCCGAACCCTGCAACAATTACCAGAGGGAATACCGCACGACCCCCACTTCAAGCCTAGATACAATCCCTGGGACCAACGGCTATGTATCTGTCCCGACGGAGATTTCTACAAGAGCCTGCACACAGGAAGAGCAGACATAAAGACCGACACAATCAAGCTGATAACCGAGTCAGGAATCCAATTGGGCTCCGGTGAATTTCTCGATGCCGATATCATCATAACGGCTACGGGGCTTAAACTCCAAATCGGAGCCGGGATCAACATTACTATTGATCAGCAGCCCTACAAGATACCTGAAAAGTTCCTGTGGCATGGAATCCTGATTGAGGATCTTCCAAATGCCGCCTTGGTAATTGGATATGCCAATATTTCGTGGACATTAGGGGCTGATGTGACAGGGAGAATACTCTGCCGTCTTTTGAACCACATGGAAAGAGGGGGCTTTGGTGCGGTTATTCCGAGAGTACAGAGCGGGCTGGCTCTGCAGCGCCGTAGGCTGTTGAATTTGAGTTCGACATATGTTACTGAGGCGGAAAAGGACCTGCCAAAGGTGGGTGATAGAGGTCCTTGGAAGGCTAGGAGTAACTATCTTTCTGATCTTATCTTCGCCAAATACGGGAAGCTCAACGAGTCGTTGGAGTTTATTAGGAAGTCGGTTTGTGACATTGAGAACGATTGTACTTAGTCTACTATATGGTGTCTTGGTTTGTATGCTGCGAACTCCTTGGGCTCTTCGCTGAGATAACTATTATGCAATTCTCCGAGTGAAGTATATGATATACTCTCATAATAATAGCCACTCACGCTATATGAGACATGGTCAATGCTTATCTCATTATTTGAGATGAATCTTGGTATCACTAGATGGGAATCATCTTTGCGCATATGTTGCTTGACGTCCGTTCTTTTATACTCTCGCTCCAATATCTATTGCCATTCTTGCTCGTTCCCCTACTGAAGCCGGTGATTTCTTCCACCATAATAGAAGACTGTTATTTTCGATATGTCATGTACAGAGTAGTCCATTTCTGAAGGATCACAGAGTGAAATGATCCTACGTCACCTGCCTTGATGTCTAATATCTCATTACTGCTATTGCTCGCCAAATAGAGGCAGGAAAAGCTTCGGCTGGTACTACCGGCGATATGCACTATTACATGTCTCCAAGATAGCGGGTAAATACTGTCTTGTGTAGTGCTTAGCTTGAGAATTTGTGCTGAGCATGCTCAACCGATGGACCTTGGCTACCGGATAATCTTTGATTACAATACCACCAGTATCAACATATCTCAGATCCTCGGTCTGTAAATTTTGAGCCCAGCAATTTCGGGTGCAATAATATCTAGCCAGCTTACTTACTTACACCTAGACTCTTCCTATGTTCCGTGTCCCAGTGCCCAGGTCAAAATCGGTGTAATGATAGCTTGCCGACTTTTGTCACCAAGACCTACAGCACAATATCTACCAGTTATGGGGCTACAACTGGCGCTCCACCACCCCCGAACCTTATGAATTTGTCTTGAAGGGCTACACACGCAGTCATGTCCCATCGCCGTCGTGTTCCTAACTCGCCACTGACCTCGAGGCTCACCGAGTCGGCAGTTTGGCACGTTCCCGATGGTATAGCTCGAGCCTCCAATTACTTTCAACGAACAATACACCCATATAAGGACTCCATGGAACAATTTCTCCTTCAACTACTTTCAGTCATTTGCATTACCCATCGATCAATATAACCGACACAATGAGTCAATCCAGCATTCTGGACCGACTTTCATCGCTCGACACCAATACCGTGTCGGATGCCTTAGATTTCCTCGGCCTCAAAGGAGCTACATACGGCCTACGACCACTCTGGGACTGCCCGAAGATTGTTGGACGTGCTAGCACAGTGAAAGTAGGGCCTAAAACGTATGCTGCACCCACAACACATCTTCTCACCCCGGTCATCGATGCGGTAACGACCGATGATCGCATTCTTGTCATATCTGGCGGCATAGATGGTGTCTCATGCTGGGGCGACATCATCGCCAATGCATCGAAGCAGAAGCGTATCCGTGGAACCATTATCGATGGCATGAGTCGTGACATCGACGGCAGCCGCGACGTCGGTTATCCCGTCTACGGCCGTGGGGTCACCATGATCAGCGCGCGCAACCGCTTGGTGCAGGTGGACTCCGGCACGCCGCTGCAGGTGCGAGGCGTCACGGTCCACCAGGACGACTATGTAATTGCCGATCGATGCGGGACAGTTTTCGTCCCAGCTCAGCGCATTGAGGAAGTCCTAGAGCTTGGTGAGCGGATCGATCGTCGCCAGACCCGGATGGTTGAGGCCGTTCGAGCCGGCCAGCCTGTGTCTGAGGTCATGCACGACAAGCAATTCGAAGCGATTCGCGAAGGTACACCGTCCCAGACCGCCGCACTACCCAACAACCGAAATCCCAAGCAACCTAGTGCCGAGGATCAAGAGTTGGTAGCCCTGTTCGCAGACTCAGACACCCCTGGGGTCTCTGATGCACTTGATAAACTTGGCATTCCTGGACAGGCGTTCGGTGTCATGCCTTTGGCCGATTACAAAAAGGTGACCGTCGGGCCGGCCTTCACTGTTCGTTACGTGCCCGCCAGCGACCCGCCAGGGAGTGTGGGTGATTTCATTGACGAGGTGGCCATAGGCGATGTCGTAGTCATTGACAACGGTGGTCGCACGGATTGTACTGTCTGGGGTGATATAATGACTCAGTACGCTGGCTTACGAGACATCGCTGGAACTGTTATTGACGGTGTGTGCCGCGATGTGAACCGTGCGATTGACGACGACTACCCACTCTTCACCGCTGGACGTTGGATGCGAACCGGCAAGGATCGGGTTCAAGTCGGGGGTGTCAACGAGTCGGTCGGCATCGGTAGGGTACGGGTCAACCCTCGCGACATCGTTGTCGCCGATGCCAACGGTGTTGTTATTGTCCCGCGAGATCGAGCCCGTGAGGTGGCGGAAGTCGCACGAAAGATCGAGAAGAGTGAAGCCGGCATTCGGGAAATGATCACTGGTGGTGCTACAATCGCCGAAGCGCGAGAGAAGCTAGGCTATCACACCCTGCAGCGCAAGGGATAAGTGGTAGCTGAATACAAGGTTTTGCAAGCTGTTGAAGACGAGGCCACATGCTCGGTATATGCTAGTTTAATAGAGAGTACCACAGACAGTCCTCATCAAACTGATTCCACTAGCCGTATGAACGGTAGATAGACCAAAACTCTAATCGTGAGATGGAGTGGCTTTAAAGAATCTAGTATTAAGACGTCAATCCCCGTATATAGTTTTCTGGAGGTGGAGTTCATCCACGATCAAAGATGAGGAATATATTCATATTCGAGTGGTAGAAGTGTCGAGTAATTAACCAGGAATCCCTGTTTCATTCAATCGATTGCTAGATCATATTTAAGAATAAGAACTATAAAAAGGAGGCCGACGCATTAATTAATACAGTCATAACTTCATAGTCAACTCGACAAAATATCCCACCTCGTCGACCTAAAACCAACTTCTGCCCTACACTCTCGCAGAGAGATTCATATGCGCTTGTTCATTGATTATATTATAGCTATAGTATTGGGAGGAGGAGTTCGTTAGTACTTGAACTTCGTGCCGAATTCGCCACTTTGAGTATGACTATCGAGTTCCCGCATTGGAAATTTAAATAGATATACACCAAATGAAAGTACAGTCAGAAGCCATATGCCTAGAGGAGATAGATGCCGTAAGACAAATTATGGCTAAGTATTGCAAAAATTACATTTATGCTCCCATAGACCATCTTTGGGGGCTTTTGCCGAAACCGTGACTGAGAGAGCGGGGTCTTTTGGTTTCGCCGTCGGCATATATCTATTTTACCGATACTGGATAACTTGACTACTCTCGGATACCCTCAATGCGACTACTTTTAGATGTATTTCCAATTTCGTCTCGATATTCATAAAGCTGTCTATTATGCTATCAACTTTCATCCCTCCTTTAATTGTATTCCAGCTCTATCTTCTCTAGACGTCTTCATAACGCTTTTAGGGCTTCAGTCGATCTTTCACAGAACACTCATACATAACACAAAATGTCATACGCACCAGCCCTAACAACCGCCGTTCACAACCCGCGGTTACGCCTGCTCAATGCTCTTCGAGCCAACTCAAAGCCTATAATGACCTTTTTAGGGCTTCCATCCTTTCGCACAGCCCAGATTGTAGCTCAGATCGGTGTTGATGTCAGCAATTCCCCATTCTAGTAATTGTTATTCCGCACTGATAACCGTAAAGGGCATCATCATCGACTGTGAGCATGGCCATATAAGCGACGATTCCATGCACAGCTCGACTGCCGCTATCGCAGCTTTAGGGGTATCGCCGCTCGTTCGGCTAAGGATGACTCACGCGGATTTGATCAAAAGAGCTTTGGATGCTGGTGCACAGTAAGTGAGAAGTCACATCTTACCATTCCAGTACTAAAGAAGATCATAAGTGGCATCGTTGTACCTCAAATTAATACAGCTGAAGAAGCTAGGGCTGTTGTCTCTCATGCCAAATTTCCTCCCCAGGGACTTCGAGGGCAAGGCTCTGCGTTTCCAGCTATCGCTCACGACATCGACATTCCGACATACATGAAAACGGCGAACGAGATGCTCATCACCTGTGTTCAAATTGAATCGAGAGCTGGGGTCGAGAATGTTGACGCCATCTGTGCTGTCCCTGGTGTCGGTTAGTGCTTGACCCACGTATCCTCAAGATAGCATTACTAACTACCATAAAGATATGGTCTTTATTGGGCCAAATGACCTTGCACTATCGCTCCTTGGCTATGTTCCTGCAAAAGGCAACGAGCCGGAGTTTGTCGACGCTATCGACAAGATCATAGCGGCAGCCAGAAAGCATGGCAAATGGGTCAGCCGATTATCAAACAACGGGGCTTTGTGCAAGGAACATCTGAAAGTCTTCGATACCGTGGCACTGAGTTATGATGTTCTGGCAATTCAAACCTGGTACACAGCTGAGTTGCAAGCTGCGCGCTCGTGAGCCCTTGCTGGGTAGGAGAGAAATGCAAGCTTTCGCATTTCAATCACTGGGTGTTCTATGTTCTAGCTCTTTCTTCAATAGATACTGGCTTGATGAAGAAAGGACACGGAGCTATTCTATATTGGGAACGGCATATCATTGCAATTTTTAATCTACCGCTGGGATAAGGACATATGATATGACCTTTAAGGAGGTCAATTTATGCAAGTACCCATGAAGAATCTGTAACGCAAACCCGCCACGAATTCGGAGCGGATGTGGATCCTCGAATTGAGATCGACAGTGTATATGTGTGATACAAAAAAGCTAAATAGAGGCTTTAAATGATTTATTTAGGTTGGGTGTGTGTAATCTGTAGTCCGTAGGTAGTATTAAAATCGCCTCACATTACATGTAGCTGGCCTGGTACCATGACGATCACACAACACGAAACTCCATACCGTGTAGATTCTAGACTGACCATTTATACTGTACTCTACCTATGCTAAAAAATATAAGTTCAGCTGTTCTTCTAGAAAGCCTAATAATTAGTAATAACCATAATTCAATTAGCCGGTGGCCAAAAATGACGTCCTACATATCCAAGTCCTTTCGCGTATCCCGCGGAGTAACGTAGGAATTTAGACTCAACCACTTATATTAATACACCCACCGGAGTACACGAGATTATCATATCCCTCTCGATTGGACGGGTTGTATGGAGCTAGTATACGTAGTGGGCACCGGTGAAGGTCAATAACTGGGGCGGCGGGATTTTTTTTTTTTTTCCTCCCCGCGGACCCGCACTTTTCCCAGGCAATTGACCTCCATAGCTGTTCGAGAATTGAGTCGTAATCCAGCAACATATTAACTTCTTCGTGATATCATTGAAAAATGCCTGACAAGGACGCTGGTACACCCCGCGTCTTCCTCTACCGACACGGTATGTTCGAATAGAGTGGAGATAATCACTGTAGGGCCTGATACTGACCCCTATCCCAGGTCAGACGGAGTGGTCTAAGAACGGCCGGTACACCGGTGTCACTGAATTGGAGCTCACGGAAGATGGCGAGAAACAAGTCCTCGCGTCTGGCAAGATGATTGTTGGGTCGGGGAAATTGATTGACCCGGCCCACCTGGCGCATGTCTATATCAGTCCTCGCAAGCGGGCGATGCAGACTTTCGAGATTGCTTTCTCTGATGCTGCCAAGCAGGAGCTGAGAGACGCAAACAAAGTCAGCGAGACTGACAGACTGGCCGAGTGGGGCTATGGTCTGTACGAGGGCCTGGTGACGAAGGAAATCCGGGCCTTGCGAAAGGAGCACGGTCTGGATACCGAGCAGCCATGGGATATCTGGCGCGATGGCTGCGAGGATGGAGAGTAAGTCCCTCTATCAGGCGACTCGAGTAACCGGTTCTCCATCTGCCATTAACACGTTTAACCGGATTTATTAGGTCTCCTCAAGAAGTCACGGACCGCATTGACGATCTTATTAAAGAGATTCGTGCGCTCCACAAAGACAACATGCACGGTGAAAAGCATTGTGACGTGGTACTGGTTGCACATGGCCACTTGCTTCGCGCCTTTACCAAGCGTTGGCTTGGGTACCCCATGGAGTTCCCTCTTTCCCTGATGCTTGACCCTGGCGCTGTCGGTGTCTTGAGGTAGGACATTCCCTTTCAACTCCCGTTGTCCTTCCGCTTCATATTTTCTGACAATCGTATAGCTACCAACACCATAGCATTGATGAGCCTGCCCTGATGGTTGGATATGGATTCCCATTGGAAGGATGATGGGAGATATTTAGATTGTATAGACCTCACAGTATAGAGAAATAAACTACATAACACAAATTTCGCCTACCGGAGGTTTCCTAGTGTATACTGTGTAGTTCCCCTGGTCTTATTTGAACCTGCTAATCTGCGGCCCGAGAGACGTGACAGCACGCCATGCCGAGATTTATGAATAGAAAAATGGATACCATCGCGATCAAACTACATGCAGCGGACATGTAATAAAGACGAGTCTCTATCCGAAATCACATTAAAGGCTAGAATCGTAGCAGTCTTCATAGTTTGTTACCTTCGAAATTCATACCCACACACCTATAAATCACTAATAATCAATCATCACCACACAGATGGCACAGCCTTTGTGGACAGTTTGGAAAGCCTCTCTTCACTGAACCTGAAACATTCAGGCAGACCTGTATCGTCCCACTCCTTTCCAAGCATGATTTTGGCAATACCTGGTGCACAAGTAAATATACGTGCCATTCCTGTTTATCTCAGCCTTAAATACGTTTCGACAAGAGGCAGAGTTAAAGCTTACCATGTCCATTAAACCCAGCACAAATATATTGCCCTGGCAGGGATTCGATTGCCCCAACGAAGGGTACGGAATCGGTCGTCATGGCGATAATCCCAGTCCACGCGTGATCCAGACCCTCTCCATGCATGGTATTCGCGCTGTCAAAGTCGGGAAATATCTTGCCGAAGCTTTGCAGGGCATCTCGGACAATCTCTTCGTTATAGAACGTATCATCTGTACTATAGACACTAGCTCTTGTCTGCTCACTGAGGGTAGGGTTTGATCGCGATACACCCAGCACCAATGTACCATCATTCTGCCTTTGGATTAAGGAGTAGAAATGGTGTAGACTATAACGCAGGGAGAAGGTATTCTGAAGGACTTTCTCTGCGGCGAACGAAGGTGTTGGGGTCAGACTATGCGCCTGAGCGCGGTTCGGCTGGATATACGACTCTAGGTGTGGTAGCAAAAGTGCAGCATGAGCGTTCGTACAGTGGACCACCCGCTCCGTTGTGACCACTCCCCGCGGAGTATGCACATCCCAGAGCCCTGGCTCCGACTCGTTACGCCTTAGCTCAGTAGCTGGACAAAACGTGAACAACCTCCCCCCGCGTGATACAACCGCCTGGATGAGAAACTGTGCGAGCTTCGCTGGATGACTGGATCCAGCTGGCCACTCATATGCTGCGACAGCGCCCTTCACTTTTGTCCTTGTTTGCGCGTCTTGGCCTTCATAGAACTTGATGTGTGAAACGTCGCCTCCTGCGGTTTTGTACGCTTCAAAGCTTTCGGCCTCATACGCTGCAAATTCCGGGGTCATGCATACGTCGAATGTTGTAGTGAGGTTGAAGTCGCACTGGACGCCGTGTTTCTTGGTAAACTCGTCTACTTTTTCGAGTACCAAGCGCTCGTTGGCAATTACCTTTAAAGCTTGGTCCTCCCCATGAACTTTTGCATATGCACTGAATCCTCGGAATGCATCTATTCGTTGATTAATAATTCAATAGATAGAATGAGAACACAGGCCAGATGCGTACCTGGTCGTACATGTCCAGCATTTCGGGAGCTGGCACCGCTTGCTGCCTCTCGCGCCTCTAGTATTATGATATCCTCCCCTTTGACGCCAGCCTCAATAAGCTCGAACGCTGTAAGGCCGCCAGAGATCCCGGAGCCAATCACTACATACTTCGACGTAGAAGGGACTGGTGTGTTTTGATTCGCATGTAGCAGGGGAAATGCACGGGTAGTTCGCTGTCAGAAACTCAGGCAGGGGCTTTTGGTAGGTAAGCTTCTGCTAGAGCCATCTCGAGACGAGGAGGGCATGTTTGCGTGAATGTTGATGAGGGTAAATCGCAGTATATATTATGCCGAGGCTGTGCGAAGCTTGAGATATGCTTAACCAAGAGTGGTTCCGAGCGTGGTAGCTTGGCGGATATATACGTAGTAGCAACCTCGGAGATACTCCGTATTGCGATAACGGCCGCAACTAGTGGTCGATGACTACTACTGTCTCGTCATCGTGTAGAGTACGTGTTAAAGTTGGGATTAAACTCGAAAGCTCGCTGATCGGGTCGGCTATCGCTTGGACCTGCAATGTGCTCCGTGCACGCTGATAGAAGCGACTTGAGCGGGGTATTTCAAGGAACTTAAGTTGTTCAAGTAGTCTTGGCCATGGAATCCTGCCGAGATAATACGGGGTATTCAGCCACCAGCCTCGCCATTGGTGGCTATCGCCGTCTCTTATCACGCTTAATCCTTTGATTCTTCCCTGGAGGTCACACGTCCAAAAGCGGCATTTGCTCATGCAAGGGGATCGGCAACTGATATGAGTCGTCTTGGTGGAGCTTCCTATCGCAACTGCACCACGTGGATCATGAAGGTAGCCAGCAATAAATAGGAGAACTTTTCTCTCTGACGTGGCCGTTCATTGCTTTCGCCGACTTTTGTTTCCTTTAAACTAGCAATGGTGTCCTTTAAGTTTGGTCGCACGGCGTTGGCAAGGCATCATGTTCGCTCCCCAGATGAGAAGGCGCTGGTCCGACGACTGGACATTTTCCTGCTAACCTTTGGTTGTATTTCTCAAGGTATGCAATAGGGATAATATCGGATAGCACAGGACTAAAAACAACATACAGTTATCAAATACTTGGACCAGCAGAACATCAACAATGCCTACGTTTCCGGCATGAAGGAAGACCTCAATCTCCTGGGAAATGAGCTGAATCTGTGTGTAAAATGGGTGATCACGATGCTCGAACGGCAGCTAATTTCTTCAGCTTCACGACATACTTCAATGCCGCCTACTGCGTTATGCTCATCCCCTCTCAGATCATTCTGACCTACGTACGACCCAGTTTCTGGCTGCCTGGTCTAGAGATCGCCTGGGGGGTTCTAACCGGATTGATCGCCATGTGCAACAGTGCGAAACAAATATATGTTCTGCGAGTCTTTCTCGGTCTCTGTGAAAGTAGCGCCTGGCCTGGAATGATGACCTTATTTAGTAGGTCCACCCATTTCCCATTTTCGTGATCTCGGCCATGCAGTGATAGGCCAAGGCCAACAAGTTATAGTGTACTGGTACACCCCCACCGAGCTTGCGAAACGCATGGGATTTTATCATTCGTGTCAAGCCGCCGGACAGATGATGTCTGGTGCTTTACAAACTGCCATCACCAACACCATGGAGGGACACCATGGACTGGCCGGGTGGCGATGGTTGTTCGTTATTAACGCCATTATCACGGTGGTGTGGGGATTCTTAGGATTTTTCATGATTCCCGATCTGCCAAATAAGCCAAACCCCCGTGCGTTTTGGTTTAAGAAAGTGCATGCCGAACTCTCCATGGAGAGACTAGCACGGAATGGCCGCGCGGAGCCGAAGAAGATGACATGGGCTGGTGTCAAGCGCACATTTTCTGGCTGGGTGGTCTACTTCATCGCGGTCTTGTATATCGCAACCGTACTAGGGACGTACGGCTACGTCTATTTTTCGCTCTTCCTGAAATCTCTCAAACGACCGGACGGCAGTCTAAGATGGAGTGTCTCCCAGGTGAACGCAATCCCCATCGGCGGCTCAGCCATCAACGTGGTCTTCGTATGGGTGTGGGCCTTACTCTCCGACTTTCTGGAGACGAGATGGACACTCATCGTCCTGCAAGGCATCATTGGAATCATCCCGTGTATCATCATGAGCATCTGGACGCGACATCCTACATCGGTCGACGTATCCGCCGCATACGCGTCTTATTTCATCGCACACACCTGTCTCGGTACGGCCCCGCTCATCTTCGCCTGGCTTGCGGATCTCATCCCACAAGACCCTGAAGCGCGCACGCTCGTCGTCGGTGTTGCAGTGGCCGGATACTATGCGATTTCGGCGTGGTCACAAGTCCTGGTTTGGCCGGCGTCTCAAGCCCCCTATTATAGATACGGTTGGCAGAGTGCTCTTGCGTTGTTGGTTCTTGTCATCGTCATGACTTGTATTCTGCGCTTTATCGATGTGCGATACTTGTTGCCGAAGCGTTTGGCTTTTCAAAATGCTCTAGATGCCGAGGTAGTGGCTGGTAGCTCACTGAAGAATGATGAAGAACGGCCAAGGGATGCGGACTGGAAGAAGACTCCGACGACGAGGGTGGATGAGTGAAGATAAACCTACCGTAACCATTCATAGTCATGTCATACATGTGTATAAAAGTAATTATTTAGCCCTCACTGTACTGACGGTATTTCAAATTTAGACTAGACTAGCATTTGGCCAGGTTAGGTTAGGTTAATGGGGTCAGTTATACCTAACTGCTAGGTTATGGCTAGATTAATAGAAGTGTATGGGGTTGCGTTGCGCGTTGGGCTAGTTTCCTCAAGTAGGATTTGTACACCAGGGGAGAGTCTACAAGACGTTAGGGGCTTTTATAACTGTGCTAGATATTGTCTTACAGTAATGTAAATGAGAATGAGTGATTCTACAGATCAACCTGAGCTTGTACCTGATATACTGGGATCTGACTAAGGCTCCTTCCTCCCTTTTACCATAGTAAAACACCCACCCAATTTCACGCCTTACTACCATCCACTAGTTTTCCGTCTCTCCACTAATGATGTACTAGCAATAAATTCTTGGTATCACCAATCTGTGTTGTCTTCAATCGGTTGAACGCCATACGACTCCGTATACATCTTGACCTTGCCTTGGACATACTTGACATGGCAACATATCTGTTGTCCAGTGGTTTTGATGTATCGACTGACGTTTGCCTCTTCGTCAATATCCATTTCGAATATCTCACGCATTAATAATCTGTACTCGTCGTATTGGCGAGACCCCTTATCAAAAAAGTTTCCGGCTTTCATCACCACCAATACCACATAGAGCCTGGTGCATGCCGTCATCATGTCGATTCTAGTGTTGGCGGCTTCCACTAGAAAAAAGACGCTTAGCTAGCTCAATGACCGGTACCGACATCTTGGTAGTGGATTGATCACTCACAGGCAGACAGCATGCCTCTTTCGCGGCTTTTTCCACAAGCTTTCTCGCTGTGGTAGATGAAGCTCCCAATGGCGAGGAAACCCAAAGGAGGGGCAACTGAGGTAAGAAAAATGCATGCCCAGGAAGCGATCGTTATGATTTCACCTGTCTTATCTTCATCCTTCAATTGTTCTAGGATAGTCCCCACGGCCCCGGGAAACGACACCATACATCCCTTTACCCCTAGCAGTACCCTTGATAGCTGCTCCATCTCGCTATCCGGAATGTAAGTATCCCCTATGTATCGGCTCAATCAGTGGGGATATACTATTATAATTGGTATTCTATCTTATCTTACCGATTCCTTCAATAATGACACTTAACACTCTCCCGAAAGTGAGAACAGGCTTGAATGTATGCTGCACAAGTTCGACTTTCTCCCGCATATCGATGTGTTTGAACTTCTCTGTATATAACTAATAGAGAACGATATCAGCCGCCGGTAATGGTACCATTATTTAAGCTTATAAATACCTCCCACCTTATTGTCCTTGTCAGATTTATCCTTACACGCGTTCAGTATAGCCAGAAGGATATTCGCTATCATCTCTAGCTTGGGATTTCCGAGAACACCAGATAGTTCCAGGATCTGCTCATTTGTCAGAAACTCTGAGACCGTTTCAAAACCATCAGTGAACGTCTTTAGCGCCAGTAAGACATGTCTCCTGCAAATGTGTCAGTAATCAGAACGTCAACATCTCTATATATCAGTATCTTACATCCAGTCAATTCCTGACCATTCTGCGTCATTGTTCCTACTCGTCGTGACCCCCTCGTGGAATGACTTGAGATGCATCAATATCAAACTGCCGCCAAACACTTTATCGACGTCGCCTGGCACCTCTCTGGCGTACGAAGGAAGGATTCGGATGCTCTGCCCGCTGATTGTATGTGTACCGAGTAATGTGGCGGAGAGGACACGAATCGGCATTTCCCTCATGGGACTCTCGTGCTGCATCGTCTTGTGTTGAAGTCGTACCTACAGTGTGATCAAATGCAGTCGTTAATGCCAAGCTCTATGAATGTCTCTTCGAACAAGAGGGGCCAATATGCCTTGAAAGCCTCCCTAGCTGGACCTTGATAGCGGTTGAACCGCACACAGGATATGCAAGTCCACTCGCTCTCCCCGTCCCTAAATTGCCTTTCTAGGAACGCATCGATATCCGCAGGAGTTAGTGAACAATCGGGCGATTGGCTCAAGAAAGTTGCATGGAGCGTCAAGGGGCTCAACGATGGTTTAATCCACAGACTGTATAGAAGGGTAAGCAGGCTTGCGAGAGTGAAATCGCGGGTTCCAATAAAAATAGTGCCGAATCCTACTAGAGCGTCCATGGCGGGCTCCTCAGTGGGATGATGGAAAGGTCAAGCAGGATTGGAACAGTGTTAGTCGGAACCAGAATGGGATTGAGATTGAAAAAGTTGTCAAACGTTGTGATCAGGATGAATATAGGCTGCTGTAAACCGCGGAGAGATGATTTCTTTTTTCTTTTAGCGCCTCTACTTTGAAGGAGGCGATCCAGCCTTGTTTATCCAAGCGCCGACATTACCTCTGGTGGTCTTGACATGGCGCGCAAGGCTGAGATGCCGTGACCTATTGGATATTCGATCCATAGTTGGAATCCAAGAGACCCAGAATTTCCTGATTTGACGTAGAGATATGCCTTGGCGATAACATAATAGGCTTACAGAGCCGCCCACTCCTTTGTCCTAAATATATATTGGGTTCATTCTCATGCGGGCATCTCATTTCTTTGTAATAACTTTGAATGCAATTGTTACTGGTAAGGGATACTGACTGCTCTCCCCAACAGGATATTTACTCTAGTGAGCATTCTGCATATTGAAAAACTACTTAGTTGCACCTGCGAGGCAGAACGTGCTTCACTTCACCGTAAACCCAACCTTGCCCTAGAAAGAGGTATTTGAGTATATTTGCTCTCCTCGCTACTCATGTAAGCCCCCGCAACCAACGCGGCTGATATGTCCCAGCAGAATCATACATCAAGGTATAAAAGAGCAGTGGCTGCGAAATAAAAGTCAGAGTCCTCAACAAACTTATGATCTCTCGTCCCAAACCCAGCCTTTCATCTGTAGTACGTGACTATGCGTCATCAACACGGGTTCATAACTGAGAAAGTTGATGTTTATAACATACCTATTGTGGGCCAATGATTTAGTACACTATGTTTAACATATTCCTTTCGCTAACTCCACCGCTTTGCGAGTATCTTCTGATTCTGCGGCAGATATAGTGCCCAACTGCTGTCCAGTTGAAGGGTTTTTAACTGCAAGAGTAATACTTGTTGACGACGGCACAAATTCGTTGTTTATAAATAGACCAGTTGGGATTATTTCTGTAAGTGAGATAGACTTTTATCGCTAGAGACGAATCGAGTATCTGTTATTCTACGGCCATCTATGCCGACAACTGTCAGTGTCGATGTTATAGCGTCCATGTTGAAGGGGAAATGAAGTAAACATGAATGTTAGCACTATAAGGCTTGCTATATTCAAGTGCAGGAGAGCGGAATATATGTCTCTTCACTCTATCTAAGCAGGATATACTTCTCTATACAGGCCCATTCCTTCCTCTCTCCTCTTTGTCGGCGGCACTGATGCATAGCATATGCATGTGGCTGTGGTCACCTACTGGGAAGGAGCAACTCTCTTGATCTCGAATCCTTTTCCTCCTATCAAGTTGACTGGGTCGTAGTGTATGCAGATAGACTTAATCTTATTATATTTTAGATATTTGGCTTTGTAGATATTATATTCTAAGTTATTAATACTATAGCTATTATCAGCGTACTATGTGTGCATGACCAGATAGTACTAGTAACAGTCTCATTTTCTATCTTAGATATGGATTGATTGACCGCAGTCCCCTTTTTCTAGATAAAAATTAAAAATAGTAGGACTGTATTGTTCCAGCTTTTCGACAGCTTTGGTTTGTTGGCTATTATATTTGGGGCTGTCCGCCCTGTCAGCGGGTGTGTCTGTCGGTAGACGGAAGGGGATCTAGAATAGCAGATAGCAAGGGAATTTTGATATCTTCTATAAATGTAACCTGTTAAAGAATAATATTATGGTCCCTACTATACTTTAGAACAGAAAAAGCAGGAAGGGAACAAAGAGAGATAATATTGGTGGGGAGCCTATAGTAGAGATAAAGAGTAAAGAGAGAATTTTTCTTGCAGCGAGGACTAGCTGATAACAGCTTCCCCACGTATCTGGGACGGGTATCAAAAGCGAAAAGTACATAGACAGGCACTGGGCCTATAAAACCCCTAAATGGTGAGGAGAAAGTGTGATAAGGGTCTCGCTAGACTGCGGAGAACGCTGGGCGGGTAGGTGGACGGCACGGAGAGAGGCATCAACCCTAATCAACTGTTGTCTTGATGTGATTTGTCCAAGATCGAACAACCGGCGGGCATAGGCAACGGAATTGGCGATCCCAGTATATCTTGTTGAGGAGTTAGTCTCTACTGTAGATGGCATTCTGGCAGTTCATGAGTGCTTTTAGGGTTTATAAAAGTCCCTGTGACCATTTTGGTGAAGTGATGTTTACGTATTATATTTTCTTGCAAGCGTAGGAGTGTCCCAGCTTGGTTGCTAATCCGTATATTTTTACAAATCAACCCTTTTGGGTAGCTGAATATCTAATTAAATGCTCAGCTGCCCAGCGTGCCATGCTTGTCTTAGGGCATTTTGACGGGCGTAACTAGCGAATCCCAGCTGTTGCATGTGTTTTTACTTTTTTATGCCGATTGTAGCTGCAGGAGTGGCTGGCTAAAATACGTGGGTGGGTCGAGATTGGGAGGCCGTCCCAAGGGCTATCGATCGGTGGAACCGCGCAGATCGCACTAAACTCGGAGATAAGATGCATGAGGTGGGAATAATTCGAAACTCTCCGATTTGGTTGGATACTACCTAGTATTTGCGTTGTTAAAGAGATCTCATGTTGTAGATCTTGACCATGCTTGTGGTGATTGTAGAATTCTGGAACCTACAAACCCAAACAATATACCCAGACACACCTATCTTACAATGGCCAACCTAATAAATGAGCTACACATGATTTTACAAGTCAATATGTTTCTGCTAGTGGTCAAAAGATCGTGGCACTACCGCGTCTTCATATTTGCTGAGCCTTCCAATTTTCTCAGCTCATAAACCAAACTCGGAAGTGCGATTTCCGAGCTGATGGAAAGCCGTGCTAGTATTGATTAACAAACTTCAGACACTTGTACTCCGGAGTACAGCGGACTATATCGGCTTGCATTAGTCGGGTTTGTTGTCAACTCCACCGAAGCTCGTCCATGCAAAGCTGGGCCTGTGGAGAAAGCCACGTCACAACTTTATCGGCGGATCTCGGCTTCCTTCGCTCAGTTGCATTTGATCTGCTTTTTTTTTTTTTTTTTTTTTTTTTTTTTTTTTTTTTTTTTTTTTTTTTTTTTTTTTTTTTTTTTTTTTTTAATTCCGTTAAATTCTGTAACGGATGAGACAAATCGCCTCTGACTAGCATTACCAAAATCCTAACAAAGAGCACGAGATTGGCGCTTGCCGTGTATACATTGCGTAGCTGTATCAACGAAGGAGAGTGACTGGAGTCTGGGGTATGGTGCCTGTTACCTAGCCATACGTAGAGCCGGCTGGTCAAAGCGTACTGTATATGCCCCTCTCGTATCTACTGTGCCAGAAAATCCCTCAAAGCTGAAAGTTGCATGGAAGGGCAACAGGCGGTGTCGCTAACCACGGTAAGGAGGGAAGGGAGCTGATTCTATGGTTAGAGTCAACGACTACTCCAAACTCGGTTGTAGTAGCTGGGGTTCATCAGGCAGTCATGCAGCCTATGGGCCCCACTTATTTATGTAGTGGTCTCTGGTTGTAGGCAAGTTTAAAAACCCGGCTGTCTTCATCTCCTAGTGACTTCAACTCCAGATTGTATTCTATTTATCTGAGATCCAGTACATTGACTGGCAAAAAACACCCCGTCACAATGACAGCTACAGAGGAAGCGTCGACTGAAGCTCCGCCACCCCAGACGCGCAAGCTCGCGGATGAAAGTAAATTTATCCTAACTGTCTACAAGTATGACCCGCGGACGAAGGAGACACGGACAGCTGCGACTGTCCCTGCATCAAAAGACCTCAAGGGAAAAACCCTGCAGGAGATCCGATACTGGCTGATTAATACAGGAGCCTTGAACAAAAACCTGTAAGTTAACCCCATTAACGCGTCAGCGTTTATATTGAAGGATTTGGATATGGAAAACACGTCTGCTCAGACATAACTAACTTATAAAATCAAAATAGGGCAAAAAGAGCACTCTGTACCTCAAATGGAGGGGAGGTACCAGATAGCACCACGTTAACTGACTACTTTGCTATGAATGGTATAGCTGCGGATGCAGTAAGCTCACGATGCGATATATGAATATTAATTTAGAGTGTCGATCTTACAGCTTCAATACTACAGGCCTCCGGTACCGTCTACATAAAGTCAGGCGGGAGCGAAGAACTTGACGAGTCCATGCAGTCATGGCTGAGCAAGGGATTAGATCTTAGTGGTGTAAGAAACCCTCGTGCTTCCTACAACGTGTCCAAAAAGAATATTGAATTTACAGTCCTAATTACAATCCACCCAGAAAAATGCCCCAACGCTAGCTAGTATTCAAGCTGCGACTCTCTCCAGCAGCTACTCACACGGTGCGTGGAAGGCAAGCGAAGGCAACGGCCAAGTGGTGTAAGTGGAACTGAAATATACCCAGGAATCTATTCTCGATGCCAATTTTACGTAGGCATCCATCCGACTTGTCCGAAAAACAGTGGGCAACTGTGTTGCGGAACAATGATATGCTATGCGGTCACTATCTGAAGGCTGGTCGCGCAGAAGAAGAGCTAGTATTCACTGGCCTTGAACCTCGATACTACCCAGGTGAGCTCACAACCTCTCTATTGACCCTCTACGTCTTGATATACTGATGCAGCAAATCTCAAGCCTTTGCTATCGCGAAAAGGCAGATACCAGACTATGACATTCCCGCAGGTGCAGCAGAGGGAGATTTCAAAGCGCCATCTGTTAGTTGCCTCTTCAAACAAGCCTATGGAGGATCATGAGCTCATATGTCACTTGGTAGATGGATTTCCGTATCCCCCGTTTCCGCATCACCGATAAGGCACGCGTAGATGTGCTCGAATTGAAGAGCTCTCTGCAGGTCTCTATGGCAGAAAGTGCATTTAGCCAAACGACTGTTGAGGCCTCCATGTATGTCACTACCCCTCCTGTCCAGCCTTTCAACTGCAGTTAATTTACAAACACCTGGATTTGAGGCACTGACTAGCGGCACTCTAGTGGAGGTTCCTTTTGTGGTGTGAGCGCGGGAGTCAAGGCAGGGTACAGTGGAAGCGACGAGAGTAACTCTGCTTCTTCCACATCCAGCTCCCAAGAGTTTATGTACATCTCTTATGATGTATGTCTCTAGCTCTATACAGCTCGCAAAGGTGCCGGCTGACATAGGATACAGTTCCCCCGAGTTGAGGTATACCTTGACCAGGAAAGCCTTGAGGTGTCGGCCGAATGCAAAAGGGACCTGGATATCCTACGGCAAATGCGCACCAAAGAGGAACTAGAGCGATTCTATAAAAAATATGGTCCGTTCATGTCTTATATTGGTATCCTCGCGCATACGTTATGTTTATCTAATATGAATAATAGGGCATGTCTTTGTTCCCCAGGTCCAACTTGGAGGCCGCCTCTACTCCATTGAGAGCTCTCAGAGCTTTGGATCAGCGACCAAGGAACAGAGAACTCAAATGATGAAGGCCTCTGCGAGTGCGTCATTCTCTGGTTATGGGGCTAAAGCAGAGGTCAGCGCGAGTCACGAAAAGAACACCGCACAAGAGAAGACTAGCACTAGCAGTACATACAACCATTCCATTACGTGGCATGCAGACGGAGGGGACACCTTACTGTGCAACAAGTGAGTCTTCTCGTCTGTATAACTAGATGTGAACTTGACGTTTCTTACTTGATATGCATAGTCCACCATCTTGGTGTCCAACTGTCGCCAATTATCAGAACTGGCGTATCATGAAGGTAAGGTGGCTTTCATTTCCCAGTTATAGTTGCGACTAATCCTCTGCAGAGGAACGAGGGGGTGGACCTTATCGAGATGATTGGCAAAATCGATGGTTTTAAAGACATCCCCAGGTTGGTTCAATATATCGACGACGTGTTTGTCGGGTTTAAAGTTCGAAACACCGTGAACCATAACGACGTGCGCTCACTGGGAATAGCTATACAACAGCGCAAGTGATATCTGCTTGACTTTTAAGGAAGAATCAAACTAATAGGTATTTAGCGAACGAGCTGGCAAACAAAGCCGTGTACCACTACCAGACTGCATACGAGAGATACCCCATCGTCAACTACCCCGAAGGGAGGCCCAAGTTCTCTTTTGTTCTTCAAGCTGCTGCTAAAAAGACACAAGTTTATTGGGATCATGGTATCCCAAGGGTGAGTGATTATTGAATTTATTCTACATCTATGGTACATTGCTGACGTGAGCAGATGAAATACGGAGTTTCCTATCGCCCATGTATTTACCACGAGGGAAATTGGTACGGCATTCGCCGGACCACTAAAGCCGATCACTTCGGTAGAGAAGGGATATTGTACGCTGGGAGGGATGAAGACTCAAACATTAGTATGACTCTCATCTCCAACGATGGAAAGAAAAAGCCTGAAGACACGGTCGGCACATATGACAATGTCCTCCTGGCTTTTCACGACATGAAGGGTGAATATATTGGGAGTGTCGAGGTTGAGGATGATATGATATTCCTAGGCAGCAAAAATATGCTGAACTTTGAGTTGCATTGCGTCTAAGCCTAGGGTAAGACCTGTGTTGACAAAGAAAAGATCGAGTTTTGTTCGATTCACTGTGACCTGCTTACCTCTCTTCGTGAAGACAGAAAGGTTATAATTCTCTATTGCTTATATAGTTCAGGGAAATTGTCTGTATCAGCCCTAAATTGTCATTCAAATACAGCTTGTTTTGTTGCTTCTGGTAATGGAAGTTCTAACGACCGTGAGTTTTGAGCCGTGCACAGAAAGAGTATAGACATCTATGGTGATTATTATAAGGCTGTATAGCTATATAATATAATCTAGCCAACACCTCTTTTCTTAAGGAATGTATCGAGGAGCTTCTCCAGCACTATAAAAAGTCTATCCTAATTATCGACAATACACCTATTTCCTAGTCTGAGCGGATAGAGTAAGTATACTTCGAAGCGAATCAACTAGTGTACTGATTGCTATACTCACTAAACATAAATCCTAGTAAAAGGCTTTCAGTCAGCCAAAGCCTTTATTTAGCAGCACTAGACATTGTACAAAGATACCGCTAATCAAGGATTTGATACCTTCCTTGAATAGTGCATCGACATTGTAAGGATCAGGAAGCAAAAGTACAAAAGGACATTTCCAGGACACAGGTCTGACCATTAAAGAATCGTAATACACGCACAAATGTTTTGACGTGACTTAGGCATTTTTTGTATACATCCTTTCATTCTTCTCAGCCATAGCTAAAAGTTACTACCTGTTTAGGAATGGTCAGGAATGGTCTGTTGGCTACTGAACAGCCCTTACAATCGCTCTGGTGCGGAGGCTAGATACAGGATAGTATTATAGATGCTTAGAGATAAAAGAGACTCGAGCCATAGTGTTAATACAGGAAGGGAGACGCTAATTCAGAGATAGTTCATACATGTCAACCACCACCTATTTGAACGTCAGGGACATTTACGATTAGTTACCTTAGACCTGGCCCTTGGCAGTATCCCTGTACAATTGTAAATTACAGCTTAAAAATAGCTTCCGTAGTAAGTTTGGTCTTAAGAGTTTCTAGGACGCTGATCCTGCAAACGGATCTACCTTATCAGTCTAGCTACCTGGCTAGGGACCTGCATTGTGGCCTGACCCCTCTCAATACATTTCAGCCAGTCTTCCCAAAAGTCTTTCCGATCTCCCAACATAACCTCCAGCTATGTCTTTTGGCAGCTGTTCTGGGGGTAATACCTTGTCGATAAACCAAATCAAAAGATAGGACACAAGAACAGTAGACTCAGAGTAAAACCGACATCCCAAGTCTCCAAAGTCTCAATAGTAGACCAACCCATTGTGAGAAAACAAAAGGAGAAAGACAGATGGCTGAAAGTTGTGGAAAAGAAAAGAGTGCAGTATAGGAGAAGCTATACTCAGGGAATAGTCTGATGATGCTAATTTAGAAGACAGGAACATGCAGAGTATCATTGCCTTCTTAAATAACCTTTGTCACGGAATATCCTTTGTTCACCGCTACTTGTAGTGAATTCGCCATACACAGGACGACTTGAGAACCATTTAGTTATATCGAATCGGAAGAACGACGGAGCAGCCAGTGTCTACGAGAAAATCGGTAAAGACCAATCGTAGTGCGTCTATAAGGGAATATGATACGTCATGGTAAACTATGAAGATAAGACCCTTCTCTCTATTAGCACGTCACAATCGGATCTGCACATGCAGGTCTTGAAGATTGATAAGATTCAAATCAAGCGAGTACGGTGGCAGATATACCAACTTTGGGTACTTCTGCGTTGCTGCACAATTCTTCTATTCGATCAGAGGGATGAAAGAATACGTTGTCCATAACGAAGACGGACTTTTGTTCAGGCCACCTTCCGCAATGCCGGGGAAGCTGATCAATGAAGTCCTCGAATAGGGTAGCGTCCGTAGAGCTCTAGAATACACTAAACAGCGCGATTCCGTCTGGCCAATATGCAGGTAGTAACTGGTAACGCTGGTCGCGATGGAAATTCTGGGTCAGGTAAATCTGTTCCTACTAGCCCTACCCCACCTACATGCAGTATCTTTACTCCGTACTGACCAGGGCAGGGATAACATCTAGGATATTACAAAGCTGCAAACTTAGCTAGGTGGTGAAGACGTATCTAGGAGGGGGAGCGTTCAGCTTCAGCCCCACCATGGAACTTAGTAATAAGGAATTGTTATTTGGAGAAGACGCTATACCATAATATTAAAGAATTTACTTGGTTTAAGTTATATTGGCAGTAATTTTATTTTAATCTCTGAGACCCTGGCTGCTGGGCGAAATCATGTGCGAATTGGAGTCTCGCCCCATCATTCAGCTCGGAATTTCCCGTCAGATATTGTTCATTGATAAGCCGTTCTTGGGACAGATGTGGACACATGTTGACTACTAGTGCGGCACGCATCTTACGGTGGCGACGGTATACCATAGTGGTACGTTCCTATCGAAGCCGCCGCAGGCAAATTAAGCACAGCAAGTACGACACAAGGTCGTGACATGGTTATCTGGCCCAACAGCACATGGACACACTTCGTCTGTTTTTCGCATCGGAATACTGCGCCGCATATTGGGTCATGACCTATTATACTCAAGACCATCCCGTACTGATATTGCAGAGTGAAACAGGATCCTTGCCGTTGGTAGCCTTCTTTGCTGGCCGATATTTTATCCGCATAGATAGTCTTCGCGCTTTCCCTCACCGTTCTCCAGATACCTGAGTTTGTTTTCCCTCAAGACCCATCGGTTTGCGTCTACTCCCTCCAACATTGGTTAATGCGGACATGGATGACGGCTTGCCAATCCCTATATCTCAAAGAGTTTCTGACGATCCCAGCATGTGTATGAATCGTTGCGGGTACTTAGCAAAAGCTTAAGTATGCCCTCCAGTAGGTAAACTCTAAGCGTCCTTGAACCGGTAGATCTCGGTATTCGACAGTGTTCGTCGCGGACGGGCATTCGACACTTCCTGTTTCAAGGTTCGTCATACCAATTGTATTCCCTGGGTACTTGTTTACCAGTTAGGGCTAATCCCTGGCTATGTCTTGCCCTGTTAACGCGTAGTATCCCTTATATATTAGGATCTACTGTTTGTCAAATGCAGTTGCGATAATAGGCTGTCCTTTAGGTAAGTGAGTGACTTTGATATTTCCGTTTGACTCGAATTCGGCAGGCCATTTTTCTGCATCGTTGCAAGGGAACCATACATATCTATGGGCATCCTAGCAGGGCTTTTGAGTTTGCACCAGGATCCTCACTAGACCTCTTCCAGCATGATGATGCCATGTGCTTTCTTGCGTGGCCTTTTCCTTCTCACAGGCATTTCAAAAAAGACCTACCGATAAGAGATCCACCCGCTAGAGATTTAGAATCATGGGTTGTACAACAGCAAAGACTAGTTTTGATCGGTCAGTAAATTGATGCACAAAGTTCCTTAAAATCCTTTTCAGATTGTTGATAGTTATCCTGCCCTTCCGAAATAATCATCTGGTGCTCCTGAAACATAACCAGAAAAGGTTTAGAAATAGAGTATTAAATTTTGACTGGGGGTGCATTGGGGGGAATACGCTAAAAACTTGTTCACAAGCTCACACAAAATGATCATTGTAGCAAGTTCATAGCTCTTTCCAATCGCTGACCGCTAAGATAGAGCGTAGTACCTCTATCTACTCATAGCTATGTATCTTGGTGGGGCAGCATATAGCTCATCTAGGGGGTGTGGAGGTGACAGACTCTGCCGCTTTGGCCAGGCGACTTCTAATTGATGCTGAGCGTGCGCACTTTCGGGCTATCGATCATCAAATGAGCGGGAAGCGAAGATGGAGTGAAATTACGCTTTCAACTAGTGGGGAAACCTATTATATATTGAAATAGCGTGGAGCTATGCGTTAATTCGAGTGGTAGTGAAGTCTGTAGCATAACATATCCATATATATAAGGAATTGAGAGAAGAGAAACACAGAGAGTGACTGTGCGCGAAGAGTAGAGGGGTTTTACAGGTGGTTCTGGGTCGAACCGTCCTCCCAATGGTGATACCTCGCGCGACTCGATTCAAGACCACTGATTCACATATTTCTTCCTCTGTGAATGAGGGCAGATCCAATAGCCATATCCAATGCCCCATACAGGTCTCGCATAAAGTCCTTTAATGGCAGGTGAATCATGTTTTGATGGGAATACTGAAGTGGACATGGTCACTGTAGGGTATCCTATGCGCGATATGATATCACTTATTGACATATTGGGCTATAGTGAAAGTAGATCCCGCCCGTTGTCTGGGAGGCTACTTGTATTCTTTTTAGAAATCCGACTCTTTACATGGTTTTTATGTGTTGTTATCCCCAGTAGTTCTGATTGGCGGTGTGAACACCCAAGAGATCTCAAGCTCTGCCGCTGCACGAGAAGCGATAAGCCTAGCTGCCAAGCATATGCCCAAAGTTAATCTAAATCGAAGGCCAAGTGAGATACTTGATTGACATATCTTGACTTGACATCATTGAGAATAGACACAGTAGACAACCTGGAGTACGAAAAATCAACTGGCAGGGCAAATGCCTCTCCAGAAATAGAATTGACATCTCCATTGTTCTGCCTTCAAAGAACCAGAGCGTCGGAGATATGCGTTAACTGAAAGGCCATAAAGAATTGTCAGGATCATGAGAAACCCATTGAGAGATATAATACATAAGTGACAAAGAACAACATGTTACTCCGTGCAAACCTCGGCCATTACTGATTATCGAATTAATCGTATGTATCATGCGCCATGCATCGTATACTGTACAGTGAGGATCTGTACCAGCGGTTAGCCCCATGATACAACTATGCCCTAGTATTTAGCATCATACTGACAATACTTTGTTTTTGCTTTTTCTGGCTTTGCTTCCTCTGGTTTCGGATCAGATCAATGCTCGTGGCCCGGCTTTCGCAGGCGAGGATAATAGAACAAAAAGAAGACAATCACAGCCAACAACACGACCAGCGTGGGTAAAAACATAAAGGTAAACAGTAGCAGACTCAAGCCGAAGGCGGCACTCTGGCCAGGAAAGAAACGACGAGCCATGACTTCACAAGTGTCCCAGAACATTGAGAGGATGTTGTTGAGAGAAAGGCGGCAATGGCCGTGGGCGGTCGGGAAACAGCGGCGCTAGAGCTCTTTTCGGTCGAGGGCGATGCGATCAACTCTGGGGATGATTGACGGTTGGTGAAAGATGTGGACAGCGAGAGGATATATTCGATACGAAGGTCGCAATGAGCGAGTATCGGAAGATAGGAGAGGCAATAGGTAAATTTATTGAACCGCTCATGGAAGGGGTTCCAACACATGCAGATGGGGATGAAGGGGAGGGAAATGAAGGTATACATTAGGTCGTACAGTTTGAGAGTCCACATCGACCGCTTACTAAGAACATTGTTGTTCTTCAATGCTGGGAAGGAAAATGGGTATATCGAAGAAGATAAATTACCGACTTCTGTACTCATTACCATGGGTACAAACAGCGTCTATTTCGCAAATCATAATTTACACCGTTACAGAGTACACCATGATCATTGCTGGAAGAATAGGGATTCGACACGGATGAGGAGCGTATCCGCGGGCCCCCGTAAGGATCCCTCCACGATGGACCAACGATTGGTTCGCAATCGTAAGACCCACCGAACTCCACCGAACTACCGGCGGCTAAAAGTAGTTGAGGGAGGCACTAGACTGAATTCGGGTCATGACGCCAGAAGTAAGGCATTGCTTTTTGCGCAGGCAGCAGCATTCCCAAAATAAGAATTACGATTCCTCTTTCCTGGTAACGTACCGTTTTGGTATGAAACGAACCCCTTCCCTCGCCCAGGGCGTGTTCTAAAGAAGTGACACTATATATGGAAATGGTACAGAGACCGAGTGGAGACAAAAACCGTCTGGTCTGCATTTATTTCCCCTCTGAGGCACAAAAGCGATCATGTGGGTAGGTGGAGGGATCCAGATCAGAGACCAAAACCCCGGGGGGAACCATCGCTCCTCTAGGCAACCACATACCAATTAAATGAAGTCACTTGGAGGATCGGTTGCCATACAGGGTATACAGAAATTACTGTGTAGTACCAGTGGCGTGGACAATGACCACCCCTTCCGAATGAAGTCGGCGACTTTTGTTGAGTCTTTGGTCGCAACACTTTTGTTCCATTTCTTTGCAGGATGCAGAGAAGATCATCAATGGGCTTATCGCTGACGAGTCCTTGGGAAATATTCCGAGGTTTATCCATGGCTCGCTCCATTCCCGAAATTTTCTTTTTCCAGAATACGCGAGGCCAAGGGGCAACTGGCAGAGCGCATGAAAAGAAGTTCCATACTTTGCCAGCTGAGAGCCAATTGCCTTGTAGGGCTGAAAGCTTGGCACGGATCCTCGGTTGACATTTCGTTACTTCCACGGATACCAACCAGGAGAACAAAACCACTGCTATTAATACTCACCAGGTATTAATTCTGCTGATGTGGATTCATTACCTTCAAGGAATGTGGTGGAAGATCGACAACAATACTTAAAATGTCCGTGGGGCGCATCCCTTGCACCCAGACGAACCCTGATTCACCACTTGATCTCTCTCTGCCTTTCTGTTCTCGTCCCTTACCCTTTCCCTTTCCACGCCTGTCTTTCTGCAGGAACTTTTCCCTCGACCGAACCGCGGATATGCGGACGACCCTTCACCGCCTCCCCATCGCACCTTAAATCCCCTCTGATGAATTTATTACTGTACCTTCTGGCACAACATCCCTCAGTCGACATGGGTCTGCTTACGGGAAGCCGCCAACTCGATGCGGCCGATGCCAACAACTTTGGTGTGGATTGGATCATCCACTACCGGTTTGAAGACACGGGTATGTTGTCCTTCCAATCCATTTGATCATTGAGTGAAAGTCCCTCTCGCTAAAATGTTCTCCCTTCTCTAGAGATGCTGAAAGCCATCGAAGAATTCCGGGCCCTCATCAAAGATCTGCAGGAAGCGAAATTGCAAGTACAAGTCCGCCCAGGCTATGGCGCTTCCTTGTTACTCTGCATCCGTGTCCCCCGCGACCACTTGGGAAATATGGTCTATAAATCTCGGTAAGACGAATCGCTTTCCCGACCCCGCTTTCACCCGATTCTAAGACCGTCTAGAGTGAAGGACTGGCTGTATGGGATCATCCACGAACTCCCCATCGGCGACGAGCATACCTCAATCGACTCCGAAACACCCGCCGAAGAACTCCGATCGGTATACCACGCCGTCACTTGGTCCAAGGCACTCGGCGGTGCGGGCGTCACCGCGCAATTGGGCCAGTGGAAGAATGTGGCCAGCACCTTTCCGTTGCATGATCCGACCGCCAACGCCACCTTGTTGCGCAAGTGGAGTCAGACGTTACTGCTAAATGCAGAGGATTTGGATGCGATTCGGGCTTTGTATGGCGAGAAGGTATCTCCGGACAACCTCCTCCCAGTGAATGACGTTAACATACCATCGTTCTAGGTGGCCTACTATTTCGCCTTCATCCAATGCTACTCAACATTTTTGGTCTTCCCCGCTGCGTGGGGCATCTTTACATGGCTCTACCTCGGACCGTACTCGATCACGTCCGCGGTGGTCAACTGCCTCTGGTGCATCGTGTTTGTCGAATATTGGAAAATCCGAGAAACCGACCTCAGCCTCCGATGGAACGTCCGGGGCGTGGGTGCCTTGAAAGTGAATCGCCCGCAGTATGTATGGGACAAGGAAGTACGCGACTCCGTGACGGGTGAGACCGTCCGTGTCTTCCCGGCGCACAAACAATTCTTCCGCCAGCTATTGCTTCTACCATTTGCCTCGATTGCCAGTCTTGCTTTGGGCTCATTGATCGTGGTGACATTCGCCATGGAAATCTTGATCGGGGAGGTTTATACAGGACCATTCAAGGAATACCTCGAATTCCTTCCGACCATCCTTTTCTCCCTATCACTCCCATGGATCAACAACACCTTGACGGACATGGCCACCAAGCTAACCGATTACGAAAACTATCGCACTCAGGACCAGTATGATATTGCACAGACCACAAAAACCTTCGTGATGAACTTCATCACCTCCTTCCTCCCCACGATTCTCACTGCCTTTGTCTATGTCCCATTTGGCGCCCGAGTGCTGCCGTATCTCGACGTGATCCGCGTTGGAAAGCTGGCAACGGCGTTCGACACCCGCCGAGTTCATATTGACCCCTCCCGGTTGCAACAGGAGGTCATTTATCTCTCGGTGACGGGGCAGGTTCTGAGCTTTGGTGAGGAGATTCTGCTGCCCTATGTGAAACGAGTGGTCATGCAGAAGTGGCGCGACTATCGACAAAAGAATCTGCCGGCCGGACAAGGGCGTCGTTATTCCTACCGAACCGACCAGCTGTTGAATGACATCCCGGGCGAGGCATCCTTCCTGTCAAGAGTCCGGAACGAGACTGAAGCCGATGAATACAACGTTCATGACGATACTCTGGAGATGTGTGTGCAGTACGGGTATCTGGCACTCTTCGGCGCGTCATGGCCCCTGGTCCCGCTCGGCTTTCTTCTCAATAACTGGCTGGAGCTGCGGGGAGATTTCTTCAAGTTGAGCCTCGAATGCCAGCGGCCGCCGCCCATCCGAGCCGATTCCATTGGGCCGTCGCTCCAAGGCTTGGAGGTCCTCACATGGCTCGGAACCTTGTCCACCGCAGCCATCGTTTACCTATATCGTGGTGGCATGGCTGACGTGCGTCTATCCACGCTCCTGCTGATCCTCCTTGGAGCGGAATGGGCATATCTGGGGCTCCGCTTCGTCGTACGAACGGCTTTAGAGAAGATTGCTACAGGCTCACTGCGCAAGGAGGCCGCCAAACGCTACGCGCTTCGCAAGAACTATTTGGACTCACTCACACGAAGCACGTCTCCTAAGGGTCGACAACGCGTCCGCTTCGAAGACCGTGTCAATGTCTATACCACGGGAACGGATGTCAAAACCAAGTCTCAAGAGTTCTTGCACCCCGGTCATCATGAGACATCAAGTGAGGAGCGATTCTGGTCTTGTCCCGCCCAGGATTCTGCGGACGCCGGCGTTCGGTTGATCAAAGCCCTATGCATGGGCGATCGGATACAAGCACAGAGTAAGTCCGAGAAGATGAAAAAGGGTGCATAGAGTGTTCCTTTCCAGCCCATATTCGATGATAGATTTTTCCCCTTTGCATTTCCTACATTATACAGTAGACCTGTAACCATCGCTGGTGATGATAACCTCCCTGCTGTGCAGGATCTCTCTCAATGTCTGCACCCGAGGCATATTGCCTCGGCTACCATGGATTTGAAATCCAGTTCACTGATAACGATAGCGCTACCATTCCAGGAATGCGCAGATAGCTCGGATCTTGTACATATATACTTTCTTTTCCGTCTCCGTTTCCTTGGGTCACGTGTCTCTAGTGTTTTCTGCACAAATCACCTTAGTCGGTATCAACTATTTAATACACATCAGGTCTATGCAACACATTTCTATGCGTATTAGTCCTTGTAGTGAGCGTTTTTAGTGTAAGGAAATAGGGGGGAAGCAACCTCTGCAATGATTCATACTTGCCGAGGTTTGAGACCTCAGGTTCTTGGCCCCACCCTTTGATCAAATTGCTGACAGTTCCCTGGTTAATATCTTAGATCTTAGTCTTAAACTAGAAAGTGATAATTTACTGCAGGAGGATAGAAAGCAAGGGAAACGATGGCTTAAGAAAAGGTGTTAGTCACAACGCTGATCCATGGTGAGGAAATATATGTTTGTCACGCCCGCAAGCGGTGAACGGAGCACGATTATCCATCCGTCCTTTCTCGGACAGACGACATGTAACACAACAGCCTGCATGGGTCACATGGCTTATATTCTACGTCGAGCGAGTCCACGTGCCTTGACTGGGAAAGGGCGTGCGCTCTCAATCACTCCCCTCCTCCTGTGAAAAGCCATTTCCCACATGGATACCGTTCCCCTAACATCAGATCCAACCACGCTTTGCTACGTATCCTCAGTACGTAACTGAGACTTTGACAGGCAGAGTGGACCCTTCGGAAAGACGGAACGGTATGAGATCCCCTCATTTCGTGAAATAGGTCATCTCCGAAATGGGTCAACTCCACGGTAGGGCTGAGACATGGGATTGGTGAAGGATCTGGATTCTAGCGGGACACGGGTGGTTTGGAAACCGAGGCTTACGCAGCTTATGATAGATACGTCAGTCGTCGGCCTGTTGCGCATGCTTCCTGCAGTATAGAGCTGATACGTGGATTGGGTAGGGATGGGCATGGATGCAGATGCTTGTTCATGTAGTTGAGGGATGTGTTGGGAAGGTGATGAGCGGTCAAGGGAGGTATGCATGCCACCGGTGATCAAGATCGCAAGGAGGACCGAGGGGAATTGTCGAATCCTTCTAGTTCTTCAGGATCGCCCAGATGGAGGAAGACTAGTTTAGAAGACGGAAAGACTACTAGTGGCAGTCCACTTTCAGCCCTACAAGGCAACGCCAAGTTCAGCGAAAAGTCAATCAGTCATCCGTGGTTGACCAATGGCGGACCTCGGCCGGGTTCCCCCAGTTCATTGCTTGCAGCTCTTTTCGTCCAGGTCCGTGACCGACATTCCATTCTTATTAGTCGTCCTGCTCCCCTTTCCCTTTCATTTTTTTATCGTTACCCGTTCCGTTCAATCAGGGTGTCACCCTTCTTTCTTTCCCCCCTTCCCCTCTCTTTCCTCTCTCTTGTTTCTCACACACCAATCTCGTCTTTCCTCTTCGACTTTCCTCCCGCCCCCTCTTTGACTTCGCTCTTCTGGAGGAGCGAGTCTCCTCCGGTCGCCCAATGTGTCCCCCCTCCGCATCGAAAACCGAGCTCTTTCTCCAGGAAGAGAATGAACCGGGAAAGATCGTCCCTATGGTGACTGTTGTCCGTCGGCGCGGACGATTGCATTTGGTCCACCCTCACTGGTACCGGAACAGTTTATTGGCGAGCACGGGATTTCTCGAGTTCGCCAATGCCGGGGATTTCGCGGCCAACGTGTGGAATGAGATTCCCGTACCCCGACATGCAATGATCCTGATGGCCATTGGAGGACCAATCGCTTTGATGATGAGTATTGTCGCCCTCCGCGACTTTATTCTCAGTTGGCGGAATGTCAAACTGCTCCATGCTGAACGCCGATATCTACAATCGCTGAAACACGAGTACCTCGCATCCTCCAACCCCGACCCGGATTTGATCCGGCTGATCGACAGCCGCCTTGGCCTTGGCTGGCGCGAATTGGGCACAGAGCTGATTGACCGTGTTGCCATGGACGTTTTCCTCGGTCTGGGCGCCCTTCTGGTCGGTACCGGTACGATCATGGCCATTTGGGGAGCCCACCCGAAAGTCTTCCATGCCAGTAACCTCCTGTCGGGGTTCGTGGGAAACTCCTTCGCAGCAGCGTTCGGTGTCGTCAACGCGGTCTGGTCTGTATATCTTGCCCGTCGATTCCACCGCTACGATAGACTATGTGCGCGCACCCCGGCCCTGTCCCCGTTCCGCGACCGTCTACATCTCCGCTTCAGCAAATTCAAGTGGCACGCAGTCGTTTCCGGGCTCACTGGACTCATCGCCGGTGCTGCTTCCATGGTCACAGCCAAAATGTGGTGGGGATACGTGGTGCTAGCGCCCTGTATGGTACTGCAGCTGCTATGCAACCGGTTCTGGCGAACCCAGCTGGGCTACGACCGCCCGATTGTCAGCGACTACGATCAACGGGGTATCCTCCTCCGCGAGACGCAAGAAATCCGCGACGAAGAAAAGGATGGACCACTACTGGATAGTCTCGCCTCTACAGTCACCCTGTACAACGCACTCGGTGCCCTCCCCTCGCCGAGCGAGGCCCTTGACTGGACGAGTCTGGACTCGCTTGTCCAATTCATGATCACGAATGACCTCTTCGATTCCCTCTGCGACTGGCTCGTACGTGATAAATCCGTTCCTTCCGACGTCCGTGGCGCCATCTTCCGTCACCCGTCTTCCTCTTCAGAGCACACCGAGATCACAGTGTCTGCCGACCACCTCCTCCGCGTTCCTGTCCAGATGCAGACCCAACTGCGCGATCTTTGTCGGCAGTATCTCCAACAGGACGGGCGGAAGGTTTTGCTCTATCGGGAGCGGTATCTGTTAGAGATGATGGGGTCGATGCTCTCCAGGGAGAGTCAGTAATGTAGCACGTCCTGTATACTATTATGTACATCGCATCTGGTGGATGGTGACATCGATTGGGACACTCTGTGCCGGCACATAAGCAGTAGATCTGCAAGTATAGTTATTAATGTTGTTATCTTAATCAATAGAGAAGCTTATTTAATGGAGCATTTTATTGGCTCTTGAATAGGACAGTAAAGCCATACGTGACCATTCCCAAGACACGTCCAGAATATCTATTTTATTTTAAACCCACCCCAAAGCAAGAAAGCTAAAAGCTAAACAAGCCACTCCTCCTCTTCCCCAACGGATACACCACCAAAGCAGCCACAAACAGCCCAACCGTAATCCCAATAGCAACCTGCACCATTCCAAACCCGAGATCCTGGACGGACTTCTGCTGTCCCGCCCCAGCAGACTGAGCACTCCCATGAGTCGCATTCCGGGTGACATTCGACCGAATAGCATCCGCCGACTCCACGCCCGCAATCAACGATCCGGACGCCGCAAGACCAGACGGCACGAGGACAAATATCCCCGGTAAAATGGCGGTGGCTGCGTGTCCGTGCCACAGTCGACTGTACAGGTTTCCCATGACGCCTATGGCGAATGCGCCGACGGTGTTGGCGACCTGGGTGTTTGTGCCGAGACGCTTGGTTACGAAGTAATTAGTCACGTAGCCTGTGAAGGCGATGATGACCATTACGGGGCCCTGTTTCCATTTCCCCTGGTTGATGATCAGGAGGCAGATGGAGAAGGCGACGACGAAGGGGAAGCGGGCCACGTAGGGGTTTTTGAAGCCGAGGATGTTGGGGCAGGTTGTGTTGGATGTTGCGGAGCAGTCGATGAGCCCGTAGATGGTTGTGCCAACTGTGACGCCGTAGCCTAGGAAGAGCGAGTAGATAATTGCGTAGACCATGCGGATGGAGCCCGGGACGATCTTGTGGGATTGTAGTTCTAGACTGCTGCAGAGGACGGTGTACCCTGGGAGGATGAGGGCGATGGAGGATTGGGCGATGGCGGAAAAGCAGAAGAGGTATTGGTTGGGCGTGCCGTGGATGGTGGTTGTTATGCTGCCGATGGCGCGAGCAATGAATGAGGTTAGCACTGCGGCTGTTACTTCGAAGACGTTTGAGTAGAGAACTGAGCGTGGCGCGATGACATGCTGCATGATGCCGAGCAGACAGCCGTTGCAGAAGATAATGGGCATGTCGATGGGTCTGGCGCCGAAGGCGAATGGGCCGACCATGGCGGTGGCCAGGCCGCAGACTAGCACGATGACTAGTTTGTTGTATCGGGGTTTTCGTTTCATGATGTCTTCCAGTTCTTGAGTTGCTTCCTCAATGCCTATAACGTCGTGGATGACGTTTTTGTAGATATTGTGAGTTTCGGAGAGACGGCCTAGGTCGACGCCTTGTGAGACGCGGACGAGTTTGACTTCGGCGGTTCGGGTCGAGGGATCATCGAAAGACATTATCATGCAGCCGGGGACGTAGAGGTACTGGCTATCCACTTGGAGGACCTTCGCGGTCATTTGCATGTACTCCTCTAAGCGATGCGTGGGGGCCCCGAAGACCATGAGTGCCTTGCACAGCTGCATAATGTACCTCTCGCGCGCGATAATCTGTGCAATCTGTAGAGTAATTTGGATTTCATCCTCGAGCCTCATATTCCCCGGCGAGTGCTTGCTGCGCCGTTTCGAGGCAGCTGTGAGTATTTCACTTGAAACCGGTGTGCTCGCCCCACTGATATTCGTCGAGGTGGCAGCCAGAGTGTTGGGCGACATATTCGGCGGCTTCTTATACCATTTCATTTTCCGTGGCGTAGTTGTCCCAGATGGGCTTCCACTCAGAGGCGTCGCGATCTCTCTAGGAGACTGACTTATGTTCGACGGTGCGCCTATATGTACATGATCCAGAGCTCCGTTGAGTTTCAGAAGCTGGGACAAAACACCTCCAGTACTCCCACGGCGTCGTATACCCGCCCCATTCCACGCGTCAGCAGGACTACCCCAGTAATCCGGACCCTTGTGCGGATAGTGTTTGTTATGTCGGGGCCGATGATATGCCATTTGATCCTGTGACAATTCCCGGACAAGCCGATGAGCCTCAGAGCTCGATCTGTGATGGTCATACCCCTTCTCAGAAAGTGTGAGCTCGCTACCGGTCGCCGAATCAGGACGGTACTGCATAGCACGCACGTCTCCTTCATCAGAAGGTGGACGGCCCAGCCTAGCCGCGCATTCTCTCGCCTTCTTTGTCGCCGCATGTCTGAGCTGGTTAATTCGGCTTAGCAGGGAATCGCCGATACCAGTTTGAGAAGGCTGAGCTAGGAGCTCTTTCTCGAAATCAACACTATCTGTCCCACGAGGCTGACTGAGATAAATGGACTGTTTCCTTGGTCGTGCCTCGGTGATATCCACAGATCTCTGCGTGGACCGACGGCGACGTTCAGGAGGTGGCTCTTCGGGTGATCCCTCTGACTCCGTGTCAACATCACCATATTCGTATCTCAGGTCCGTCCCGAAATGGACCCGATGCCGAGACGGTGATACGTTGGTCGAGCTGACGTTCTCCGGATTGGTCCCTTGTGTCTCTGCATGATGCTCAGGGGTCCCTGGACTTTGGTTCTCGACACTCCGGTAGCTGATTAATGAACTCTGGCTCGCTTCACTGTCGCGGCGGTTCTGCGGCATGGGGCTGGTGTGGGGAAGTTTGAATAGTCAGTGGGTAAAGGTGTGGGATGTAGGGGGTTTCACCCTACACGATGAAAAGATATGGCGTGTGATAGTGTCTCGAGTGTATATGAAATCATGCAGACTAGCGTAGGGTAATGTTGTTTATACCCAGACGCAAGTGAAACGTGAATAGCAGCAAAACCACATGGCTCGGATAAACTTCAGGATGACCCGCAGCCACGGCAGCGTTAGTCAGTATTATTCAAAATGGTCGAGACTTTGGGCGCGATGATAAAACGGAGGACGTCTACGGGATGCTCGGTCGTCCAAGAATAGAAAATGGGCATAGGCTGCAGCATGGAAATCCATAACGGGCCCTACCACGGGTAGATCAACGTCATATATGGATCAGCACACGATAACACCACCGAAAGGCACCACTGACAGCTTTATTGGAGTGGACAGCTGGTGTGGAACTCCCTGGACGTTGACGCACTGGGAGAACAGTCTATGACGCAAACAGGCAGTATGTGGGTCCAGAGGAACATCGGAGTTTTCGAATTTATAGGACCTGTGGACGCTATCACACCAGCTTGAGTATTACTGAATAATGCCCCTAGAGAGCGTCTCAATGCCTTTTTGTTGGCCATATATTGTTCGTTTAGTAGTATGTGCTAGTGCTGCAGAGTCGATCATTCAGTTGGGGTGGGAATATTCTGGCCATGGAAAAGCTTTAAATGTGGACCGTCGGCGGTCTAGACATTGTTTTTCAACTTCAGAGTTCGATAGGTCCGATCTAGAACGTTGGCATAGTCACATCAACTTTCAATTCGGACATTCCACGATAAACATCGGTCGGTCATAGGGCGATCGCAGAACTCTCTGTACCCGAGAAGATGCCGGCGACAAATCGGAGTCGGAACCCACGGCATAAACCTCCGGATCTTGCAGGATGAACTCGGGAAAGGTTAAGCAGGCCGGTAACCATATCTCGTGGTCTAGATTACCGGCCGATTGCGTAGGATCGAGAGATACCACTGTGGTGTTCTCTATGTGCAGGCTCTGAATTCCTTTAAGGTCAGAGACAGTCCTCCACACGAAACCAGAGCAGCTAATTGATAGAGCTTAATGCCAGTCAAGACGTGATCTTCCTTGCGAGAGGTATGAACAATGTAGCATTCCCGAGACGCTTATGTACATACTTACACAAGCACATCATGCGGGTGCCAGGCCAAAAGCACCGGGAAGCTGTTCAGTGAACCAACATTTCAAATTTACATCTATTGGAATTGTCTAGACGGCTTCTTATATTACTCTCAGACCGAGATAATGTAAATGATCGTCCGAGTTAACGACACGCATCTAAATATAGAAACACCTTGCCAATTGAGCCCTGCATCGGATATACTAGTTCCGTTGATGTCTACGTTAAGTCGAGAGTCAGGATTTCTACAATACTGGACTCGCACTACTGTGACCTAGGAGCGAGTACGAGAGCGAGACAAATACGAGGCAAATGAGGAAAACAATTTTCTCAACCCTGATCTCTCAGCTAGAGCCTACTCCCTTATCATCGCCTGTGGGTCGACTAAGATTTGACTACCGTGCGGCTTTCCCGAACGCGAGAACGAAAACGAATCCGACGATGAAATAGCACTGAGAAAACTCATTAACCTCTGGAAGTGCTATTTTAACATCATATCTGGGAAAATATAATCTGAAACATCTCCACATAGTTCATACATAGTCCTTTTGACTTAATGTCTGTTGCCGCCAAGCGAGGCTATTTAGAAGTATGGAAGTGTTGAGCCTCTGGGCCTATGATTATTGGCTATGCCACAGTATCCTTCATGATGGATTTTCTTCTGCCTAGTTTTGCTTGTTCCTTCAATTCTGCAGCGTGGCTTAGATATTCGATTTAAAAGTACTGTATTTCAGTGTGCTGGCCTTGTTCTCTCACGACCACATCATACAGCCCTGTTGCATCGAAGGTTATTCTGGCAGCAGAAGATAAACATGATTACTCGTCGTACAGACAGCAACCCAGCAGGGGATGGAATATCATTCTCCTTTTATCACTATGACCCGAGCATGGCAGGTGCCGTTGTCTTCATCATTCTTTTCGCAGGCACAACGCTCTTTCATATCTACCAGATGGTCCGAACCCGAACTTGGTTCTTTCTCCCTTTTGTGATTGGCGGCATATGTTAGTGAGCCTTCTCTTGTTGGGAATCTCACACACTTTAATAAGCAAGGAATGCTAACTTGAGCAGTCGAGGTACTCGGATATATTGGGCGCGCCATGTCCAGTCGGGAATCCCCGAATTGGACCCTGGGGCCGTATCTCATCCAAACCTTGTTCCTACTCCTCGCGCCAGCCTTGCTCGCCGCTTCAATATACATGTTCCTCGGACGAATTATATTAGTTCTACGGGCGGAGTCGCACGCAATCATGAGAAAGAAATGGTTAACTAAAGTCTTCGTGACGGGCGACGTGCTGTCTTTCCTCCTGCAAGGCTCTGGTTAGTGATGAGACAACCCATTAGTATGAATAACCACCACCAGAACATTACTAATTATCTCTTCGATTTCTAGGCGGAGGTATCCAAAGTGGCGGCACCCTTGACAGCATGAAGCTAGGAGAGAAAATCATCGTCATCGGGCTTTTCGTCCAGATATTTTTCTTTGGCTTTTTCATCGTCACGGCAGGCTCATTTGATATGAAATTAAAGAAATATCCTATTCCGCGATGCCACTCCGCCGAGATCCCCTGGAGGAAGCATATGAATGTGTTATACGCGTCAAGCATGCTGATCATGATCCGGTCTGTATTCCGCTTGATCGAGTATCTGCAGGGTAATAATGGGTATCTCCTGCATCATGAAGTTTTCCTCTACGTCTTTGATGCGGTCTTGATATTGATTGCCACGGTGATCTTCAATATCTGCCACCCTAGTGAAATTGGGCTGCTGCTGGCCAATGAAGCAGATTATGAACTGAAAGACACGTATAGTGGCGTGCCGTAACTGTGATGTTGTATACATTTCAGAAGAGATGGGTATTGCCATCACTTTCGATGGTTGAAGTTGTGTACATGAAAGCATAGAAGCATGCTTCATCTTTTAGTTTACAATTTTCTTACAAACTTCTACCATCAAACTGTTAGAACAAACAATCGGGCAAAAGATAATCGTTTTCCTTCGCATTTGGGGTGGCTTTTATTTATTGCCGGTCATCAAAGGTGGCTATAAAGTAAATCGTATATGATTTTGGAAGGTGGCGCAAGGAGGCCATCACGTGGGAGGGGATGAGGCTGAAGAACGAGGCTAATATAACAGTTGCTTTGGTTCCTTTCATCAACTGTTTGATACTTCTGTGGGATACTCGTTAATTAGAACCCGAGGATGGCAGATCCTGGATCGGTGATTGGTACAGTTGCAGCTGTTTTGCAACTAGCACAGACCGCTTGTAAAGCCGCCCTGGAGCTTTATAACTTCTGCTCGGTTGTTCGGAATGCACCCCAAGAGATTATCACAATCAGCCGAGATGCCCATGCATTCTACATGACGATCTCCAATCTGGAAAACTCCCTCCGCAGCGACACAGTAGCAACAGTCGTAAGCAGAGACACGGAGATTATGACGTCCTTAGAGACGCTGAAGATCCCAATTGAAAATTGCTCCTTAGCGTGTGAAGCGATTTTGGAGAAACTTCAACCACATCCCCGAGTTGATGGTTCCTCATCTCAGGACGCGACGATAACTGATACGACTGATGGTACATTGCCAATCCAACGAAGATTCAGCCGTGGAAACGTGATGTGGTATTTCAAACGGAAGGAAATTCTTGCTTTGGGGGCGGACTTGGAGCGAAGTAAAGCGACACTTGGGAGCGCTATGGGGAATGCAATTTTGTTTGTTTCTTCATGAACCTCCTACAGAGAATATGCTCACAGGTCCTCGATAGTTTGGTTGCACTGAAAATCCGTGCGGTCGTGGACACCGGTATCATAGTCCAAGGGAGCCTTGACACCAACGACGATCTTGATCCATCTTTGACTGGACGCCCTGCATCACAGAGTATCGGCGAAACCCAAGGACACTATCGATTCAAGGACCTAGGGTCGGCGTTGACGAAATATGCTGCACTGGTGCTTGATCCGCCCATCGATCATTTCCGCCTCTACGAGCTGGAAGCCTAGGCAACTGTCGATCTGTAAGATAAGCACCTCCCGATAATCTCCTACATTACTGTGTGTTTTGGTAAATTTGTTTTTCCTGGCACAGGCATTAGCTCACATCTTGCACAGTGGTTGTTCGAAGGTTGGATTTGGGGTGAGCTCGTTTGATAAACTGCCACAGAATGCTGGGCAAGCTGGCGACCAACCTCGAGCTTTGTGAGGAACCCAAATCACTATGGGAACTAGAGACCTTTGTAGTTGGACAGTAAGGTTGTTGTATTTATTTTGCGCTCGGGCATTCCATTATCCACAGTGTCTAGAATATACTCCGTTGACTTTTGGGACACGAGACAATTGAGCTGAACTTTACAAGAAGTGACACTATGGTAGAAGGAGTTAAGAAAGGGTTCAGGCCTGGAGTAATCATTATGTATAAGCTTTTTAATTTTTATTTTTATTTTTATCGGGATTGTGTGTCTAAACTTTTGAAAGTGTAAGGTTACGCAGAATTCAGCACAGCAAAAGTTGGTAGTAGTGTTCAGTTTTCATCCAGAGAGGAGAGATAGAAGATATATATTGTGATCCAGCGCAAGGTAGCCGGTCGGCTGTATAGTTTGGCGTAGGCTGAATTGTACCAAACGCATCAAAAAAGGAAATAATCAGGGCTTCTTGTACACATAATAATGCTTCTCTTTGGTTTTGTGGTATTTTGTCAAGACTTTACTCTGGTGTGTCTGTATGCATTCCATGAGTCGAACTTGACATCATAGCCTGGCTTAAGATGCACTTTAGCACAGCATTAATTCAACGTTCGGCCGGCTGGCCCAATGGCAAGGCGCTTGACTACGAATCAAGAGATTGCAGGTTCGATCCCTGCGTCGGTCAATTCTTTTTGATCTTTTACCACCAAAGATCCATATCTTTTTTGACCATGAAGACGTTGGTTGGTTCGTTTTTCACAGCTGTGGATCTCGACGCCAGGCTTTTTTACCGACGTTGCCGGGTTCTCTTGTGATTGGTCAATGATAGCCAACTACACATCATCCCCTCCAATGGGCTCAGTAGAGGTAATAGCAATGAGAAGAAAGTCCAAGTTGCAGTAAGGCCTGTTTATATTATCTAAATACTGGCTTATGAGTCAATGACTACTCCGCCGGCCAAGCTAGATAGCGACAGACAACGCACCCTGCACCCACGAGCGAGGCCAACTTGCCCAGCCCTAATGTGCTGTCAGTCTGCCTCAGTGGATATGTGCTTGTCTCTCTGACATGTCTAGAGCCGTGGCATTCTGAGCACCAATTCAGTTAATCATATATGGTCTTGACCTGCTTCGGCTGGGAAACTAAATAGAAGCTATTTCCCATATCTGTATCTCTACCACCACTGTGGCATCGGCTAATCAGCCGACTGGGGAACGGAGATAATGGTAGTCTAGAAGCAATGTAATTTGTGAGTGTAAGAGCTTGTACAGAGCCAAGAGTCAGATTAGAGTTTAGTCCGCGTCCAACTTCGAACAGGATTGACAGAGAAATAAACTGTTCCTATTGAATTTGGAACTGTGCTGCCACAGACAAGTTAAACAAAGAAGGAAAAAACTAGAACATAATTACTTATAATACACGGGAATTATGTGGCATCGGCAACCGGGAATCCGGGACACAGTCAGAGTAGGAAATATATCTCGTAAGAAATATCTTGACTGTCTGTTGTCTTATCAAGCAGAATAGGATTAGTCAGTATAGCTAACAGTTAAATATTTGAAGTAGTACAGACAGCACTTTCCAGCAGGTTGCCTATAGAATCTTATCTACATCTGTACAACTCCGTACGAGCATTCACAGGTATAATCATCCTTTTGTGTGGAGCCTTTCAGCCTTTCCTTGCCATGCAGCAGTCCTATTATCCCTGGAATACTATGGCCTCCGGACCACTCAAGAGTATCTAAAACATAAAAGGAGTCAGAATACAAACGAACAGCCAAAAGAGCCCCACACGAATGAAGCTCTCCGAGATGGTATTATCAGAAATTCAGTAGTATCATCAATTTTGAGAGCAAACTTGATTCAAAAAGCCCGACTGAATTCCTTTCAATACATGTATACAATTGTCAAAATGGGGGTTGGAACGGGTTGAATTAGTAAAGTATGGGTTGAACCAGCAATTTCGGTTTCGAGCTGTTTAAGCTCTATATAGTACATCATTCATAAGAAAATAAGATCTAGAGTACACGACCTTCCATCTCACTGCGTTCCCCGCTCCTTAGCTTATGAAAGGAAAAGAGGAAAGACGAATAGCGGATGTCATCTATCTCATGCTTGCTTTGTGAGTTCCAAGACTTTGTCCCTCTCTTTTGCCTGTTCACCAGCACAGGCAACGCATAGTTAATAACAGGACTTTGGAATGCACTCGTGTCCCGATTTAAGCACTGGAAGTAGCTGCACGGCACATTCTACCACTTTCCGAGACAGTCCACTCATCAGAGCCAACGGCAGTCAGCCCATAGAAGAGAGAGTGAGGGTCGTACTTGGCCTTAATCTCGCGGAGTGTGTCGTAGTTCTTGCCATAGAATGCAGTCTTGAAGTCGGGCTGGCGGAAGTCGGCCTGTAGATCGATTGGTGAGCATATGTCAGGATGGGCTGCAATCAACGCTCGAAAATCAACCTACCTCGTTAAGATAAGCGCCAGACTCCGGGGCCAAGTTGCTGATGCTAGGAACCAACACTTCGGTCATCAATTTCTGCTGTGCAAGCATTTCCTCGGGCTCGTTGAACGCCCAGTCTGTATACAGAAGTACGTGGGCAATTGCATTGCGCCATGCCGGGTTCACGGCGTTATAGACGTCGCCAGTGACTTCCTTTGACACATTAACCGCCACGGTGGTGAAGGTAGCACCAGTCGAGAGGATGGTCTTGAAGGCTTCGGTAACATCATGTCTAGTGCTGTTTTCCTCGACGAGGGCCCGTGGGAGAAGCCAGCTGCCGTACTGGGAGACTGCAATTTCGACGAGCGGCACCTGGGCGTTGAATTGGTCAAGGTAAGTGGGAAAGCTTTCCGCATGATAATCATATGTGATGCCAAGCTTGTCCAGACCCTTCAGAAATGGTTTAACAAGGCTCTCAAGCTTCTCCAGGGAAAGACCAGGTGCAGTCATAGGGGAGAGAGAGAAGGAGGTGTTGGTCAGGAAGTTCAGACTCATGATACCCTCATCCACGAAGGAAGGTAAATAAGAATTGTAGAGCTCCACGGCTTTGAAGAAAGTGTCGTCAGAAATGTCAGTGGTGGTGAACGTAAGATTCAAGCCCGATACCTGACCATCGGCATGAGCCTTGGAGGTCATAGACCAGACAACACCGTAGGTGCCACCGCCACCACCAGCCATTGCCCAGTATAAATCACTGTTCTGTTGACGGTTCGCGACGAGGAGCCTGCCAGTACCATCTATAACCTCCCACTCCAGGACCTGGTCCGCACCAAGTCCGTACTTCGAAGACAGGGAAGAGTGACCGCCGCCTTGGCTGTATCCGCCGGCAATACCGACAGAAGGGCACTCTCCGCCGACCACCCGAAGCCCCTGCGCCTGCGCTGCCTCGTACGCCTCGATTCCCTGGACACCAGCGCCGAGCTTGACAGCCTTTCCTACATACCAGTTGTCGTCCCAATCCTTGAATTCGATATCCTTCAGGTGGTGTGTCCAGACTGACAGAGCACCTGCACCGGTGGATTTTCCGTTGTAGCTACGGCGGGTTAGTTATAATCTGATTAAAAGAAGCTTTTGGCAATTTCAAGGTGACGGTACTCATGGCCGGTGTTACGGATCACAAAACGGATATTGTGTTCGTTGGCAAATTGCAATGTCTTGGCGACATGGGCCGGCGTGGAGACATTAACTGCATATCGGACGAAATTACCAAGGGTACAGGGCTTGGAAACAGGGTGGTATGGATCGCATGTGGCATTTGTGAAGAACGGAGCCATAAGAGACGAAGAAGATTGATAGCTGGCCTTGTTAACATTCTCACATTCCATTGCGCGGGGTACAATCTCAACCCAGGAACTTACTGTTCCTCTGGCAAAAGCCAGCCATCTTTCAAAGCTTCACATTTATTTGCATCGTAGTTGGGAGCGTGGCACGGAGCTGCGAGAGGCACGGTGGCCACAAGACGTCCATCGACCGACTGGTTGAAAGCATCCCAGGTCGAAACCGACGGCCAGCAATCATCGCCGGGGAAACATCGGCAAGAGGAGCTGTCCGATGCCTCAATTGAGGGGGCAATGGCAACCAGGCCGAGGACAGCCCCCAGTTTGAGGGTATTCAAAGATGGCATTGAGAGTTGTGCGCTGGCCCAGGAATGCTTCAGCAGGGTTAGAAACAATTGACGAGTGTTGAAGAGCCGACGTCCTTTTCGGTACTTATGGCTCGGCTACTGAACATTCCGAGCTCGGATAAGTCTCTCCTGTGCAGCTAATGCCGCTAATGCAGGAGGCATCGTGGCATGAGGTTAGCAGAACTTAGCACTCGCCCCAGCCTTCGCTAGTGAGATGGTGTCGGGAACTCCAGGATTCCTTCGGCCCCACAAGACACATTTGTCTAGTTGGTTTTATACGAGGTATGCTGGAGGGAGAATATAAGTACCAGGTGGATTTAAAGCCTCCCGGATGTAAACGCCACCCAAGAAAACATGGACGCAGATACAGTTTATATCATACATAAACTATATGCAACTCCGTGGCAACCCCAGTCAAGGGGGCGCTTTGCCGCGATCTCATCTTCGACTAACAACCTTAACAAGTGAACCAAAAGTCAACCCAGGGAAACCAAGTGGGCCGCTAGCTTTCGGCCCCCAAGCCTTTCCAAATCTTTTCGTTACGTGGCGTTCACGACCCCGGGGTAAATCTTCTACAGTTCCCCGTCAAAAGGTTCGGTTAACTGCCTCATTGCCATTTTTTGTACTGTAGTCATATAATTACATAATTTATTTCAATTAATATCTCGAGCTGGATCATTGTTAGATTAATATTCTTTATAATTTCATGATTTTAATTGGGTATATATTTTTACTTCGGAATTACGTAGAGTTTTGTTCAATTCTAGATAGGTTTTGCATATTACATTCACTGTCATTATTCTAGAAAACTCCCGAGAAATCTATCGTGAAAAACAACTGATAAAAATAGGCGCTTCACGGAAACTTTTCAGGGGGCCTGCCGTAACTGAAGGTTTTCCATGGAGTTGGGGCCAACTAGCTAGCATGACCTGCATTGATTGATTCAAACTCTGTTGCTGTCGCCACTAGCTGTCTGAAAAGCTCAGAAATATGTATATCAGTCATGGAAGCAGCCAAAAGCTTATAGTCAGACCCTCTCTCTTCTTTACGCCCTTTGCCCATTTCGCTCCCCTTGGATATCAAGACCAGCTACTATGGGGAGCACGGCTGGGGTCATTCCTCCACCCCCCGGGGTGACGCCTGATTTCGACTATTCTAATCCGAGGGGCTTTAAGACCGAAATGATCATTTTTGGCATTGGACTCTTTCTCAGCACCTTGTTCTTGGCCATGCGTGTATATACTAGGGCATGCTTGTTGTCAAAATTTGGGTGGGATGATGGTATATCAATCTTTCTTCCTGATACAAGCGAAACGAGTCAAATTGCTAAGTTCAAATAGTATCAATAATTATAGCCTGGGTAGGAAATATCGATAGGGCACAATGGTTCCGGTTTGCTAACAGCAGTGGTTGATTCGAAAAGGTTCTTTCTCTGGCTACACAAATCGCGTGCATGTGTATGTGGTGCTCTTTTGCCGTCACCTTAACACTCGTGAGCATTCATTGACATTATCCCATCAGTGAGCTGCGTATATGGTGGAACTGGAATCCACTTGTGGAATGTGACTCCAGCCATGTTCGATGTCTATCAAAAGGTATCTTGACCCGCCCTACCTCTTATCCACACCGTATTAATAGATCTTGTCCGCAAAGACCATCCTGGCCGCCGCCGTTATTTACGTGCCTGCCCTCGCATTCGCCAAAGTCGGCCTGATCATCCTCTATCACCGTATCATCAACAAACAAAATACCTACAAATGGGCGCTTCACATTATCTCGGCTATCATTTGCGGATATAGCGTCGCCATTGTTTTTGCATTGATCTTTGCATGTAACCCTATTCAGAGGAGTTGGGACTCCTCTATCACACGGGGTTCTTGTATTGATCGTAATGGCTTGTACATCGCAACGGCTGTGACCAATATCGTGTCGGACCTGGCGCTTATCGTGGTTCCTGTCCCGCTGGTGTTAGGCCTACAAATGCCGCGAGTTCAAAAGCTTGGACTTCTCTTCATGTTCGTCGTTGGCTGCGCGTGAGTATTTCGGTGCCAGTCCTACTGATCATGCGATACTAACCAATCTCCAGTACCTTTATTACGAGCATTTTGCGACTCACCACCCTGATTCCTACCCTTACAGCAACAGACGTTACATACGCCATAGCAGATGCACAACTTTGGATGTAAGATTCCTAATTCCTTGCACAACACCACACAGTGCTCACACCTCGTCTCTCCCACAGTTATGTCGAAGCAAACCTCATTATTATTTGTCCCTGTCTGCCATTCCTCCGACAGTTTCTACGATACTACTCCCCCTCCTGGATTGGCGAAGCCACCAGCTCCGGCCAACGCTACTTCGGCTACTATGGCACAGGGAGCGCCCCGCGCAGCCGGCGCAAGCAGGGCCTCACTCTTCTACAGGATGACATCGCGCTCGCCGAGAGCACCGAAAGCACGCATAGTCAATCGCATATTATCAAAGAGGTTCAGTGGCAGGTGATCGAAGAGCACGGGAATGCGGAATCGGCAGCTAGGGTTGGTCTCTCACGTCGGGTTTAGCATGTCCACTCAGGGGTACGAACAATCCATACCTCAACTCCAGATTGCCGATCGGCGACCAAGATACAACATCTTTGAACGCAAAAAACCACTTAGTGGTTTCCAACGTCCAGGCAAATGAATGGAAAAGAACCATCACGCCAAAATCACTCGCCGTTCGGAAGCGAAATCCGGCAAGGCTACCAGCCTAAAACCTCTCACCATGAGGGCGCATTACCTAAAGCTCTCAGTCAAGTGAAACATTTTCATTTCCGTGGCCCTCTCATTGGACGATCATAGATAGACTACCTTCGTTAGTTCAAAAACGCGACTTTACATAATATATTAGCCCTGAGTGAAGGAAGTCATTTCCGCTGCAGATGGATGAGTCTTGTACGCCGAAGTAAGGGCTAGCGCCGTGGCTGATTGTCGACACAATCCAAAGACGCCGATCACACACTAGTGGCCCCATCTCGCCTGTTCGTTTCGCGTATGATTGGGTTTGGTTCCTTCAGATCCTCTCTTGATTGAGAAGTGCCCGCATAGGCTGTCGGCGATTCTCACCAGTGCAGGTGGCCGACTGGGAACGCTGTCGCGTATCCTTTTTGATTTCTGACTCCCGTTTCGGAACTTTCCGCCACTTAGCGTTGGCGCAGTCGCTCTTGATATTAAATTTGAAATAGTTCCTTCGCCTAGACTTTATTAAGTCAAATTTGAATTTTACCGGTTGAAATATTGAAATCGATTCTCATAAGATTATTCTCGAATAACCATAACCTAGACATGACTCGTGTAGTGTGGAATTCAAGTCCATGTAAGCACTCTAAATTCCGCATGGAAACAAATCCTATATTATATGCTCTTAAGTAGACTTTCAGTATGCGCTCCAACTCTTCAACTCTCCAACTCACCCAAGGTTCCAGTCCACGGTACAGATTGACGGAGCGGAGAACATGTCCGGTCGACGAGGGAAATGACACCATCTCGAGCGGATCCAGCGGGCGGGTCGGCGGCGGACCGAGCGCGGATAAATGTCTAGCACCGACCAAGTGTACCAGAGGAACCTATATCGGGTAATAGTATATCATTGCCCAGTGATTACTTCGGACTCCGGAGGGTTACAAATGTCCGCCATATGGCACTAGAAGCGAGCTACCTGTACCCTAATAAATAGTTTAAGCAATTCAAGCAGTTCAGGCAGCTGGCTTATAGTTTCATTCAGTGGTATTAGACTGCCTGATACACCCATCGTCCTATAAATGGTGCAAAAGGACAATTTTCCACCAATCAGAAGCCTGATCCTTTCGCGCAGCCATCTACCATGCTTGCTACGTTTCGCTTCGCTGCGCAATAATACTTCCAGGGTACTAGTACCCAAAGGTTAGTATACTTTAGTTTATATACTACAGAAAAGTTTGTGGCTTTTTCATTTGCGATTTTTCAGTCGTCACATACATATTCTGGGTCGAATCACCATAGAGTGAGTATTGAATAAGCGGCTATAGCCAGCCTACTGAATTCCATCCGATCTAATATACATAGACCCCCGGAAATTGATAAGGTTCCGATCGCCGACTCCGTACCTGACCCGACTTTGCAGGTCGGACACTGCGAGGACCCCGGACTACTCTATGTACTTATTGTAGACTGTGTACAGTGTCTACAGGCTGTACTGGACAATGCGATATACCAAGGAGAGAAAGCTACTAATCATTGAAATGATACAACAGCGAAACAATGGAATTTTGTTAGCTTTATCTAATTGGAACTTTGAGCATAACGATAAAAGCAAGAAACCATTTCCGGGTAGTATATACATAAACACTATAAACAACAGTCACGCGTGCCTTATTTTATAGAACGGTCGTGAGGATCAGGCTGTCAGCCAAGCCCCCGCAAAGGACCCCACCTCTACCTCATCTCCTTGAGGACCCCCTTCCCACCAAACTATGGCTACTGATACCACTCCACCACCACTCGTGCTGAAAACTCCTCCGCCGCACACTACAACCGAGACAGACAATTTACTTGAGATTGAGATTGAGAAGTTATCGTGAGAGCCTTGAAACGGATGACAACAAGTCTTTTATCTTGTCGATCTGTATAATATATGTCTTGGCTGAGAATGAGGTGAGTAGTAGGCCGGGTTCGCGGAGACGGACAGAAGAGATTGGACGCCTGAGGGGCCCTGGAATGAGAACAAATCCAGTATAGTCTACTGTTTGTTGCATTCTAATTAACGATTAACGAACATAAAGCAGCAAGTGAGCGACATCAATCCGTCATACGAGAGCCCCTTGTGCCCACTTAGTGAATAGGCTGCGTCACCTCTTTCGAGATCCTCAGGATATTATCAAGCTGCTCCTTCGGCATTCTCCCCATTCCACACTCAGTTGCCACGCTGAACCTCTTCCCGGTGGCCTCCTGGGCAGCCTTAATCCGACGTTTCGTCCCCTCCTCGTCGTCGAAATGCACCAATCCCAGTACCAGCCGCGTATCCTCATCCACCGCCAATCCCTTCAACGGCTCAAAGTACGCCACGTCGTCCCGGCTCTTGGGCACAGGCATATGGATCCAATTCACCACGTGTGGTCTGATTGTCTTTGCGATATCATTCGCGAGCTCCACCAGCAACACCAGATCCTCAGGTTCAATAAGATGCTTGCCTTCTAGATCACCGTAGCATAGATGGAAGCCGACATGAACATCTCCAGGGATTCCCGCGCAGAGACGCTGAATCCGATCCAAGACGCCCTGTTTGACGGGGGCAAAGTGCGGCTTGAAGGGGAAGTCGTCGGGGAACCGACCTCGCTCATACTCCAAATCAATCACTTCGAAGGGCAAATCCCATTGAATGGCAAGGTCATGAGCTGGGATACCGGCTACAATCGCGTTCAGTGAGTCGAGGATACGGCGCTCATAGAACGGTTCGAGCTGTTCGTGGAATTCAGGACGCAAGTGCCCCTGGATGCAGGCTAGGGGTGATGGGAGCGAGACTTGGAATCGTACTCCCGGGGGGATGACGCCTTGGTCGCGTAGTTGCACGAATCGCTTATAGGATTCGAGCGCAGCGTCATCGTACTGAGAAGGCGCCACGGAATCCTGAGTAAAGCCAGGGTGATCTGCAGGTAACTCGGTGCTACCTGGCAAGAACGGGCGGTATGTCTCCTTGGGAAAGCAGGGAAGCTCCCAGCGGATGTAGTTCTGTCGGACACCCGGTTCGCCGTCTGGGATCGAGTAGAGGCGGTTTGGCAACGCTACTGGGACTTGCCTGAAAACCTGCTCAGTGTCAGGCAAGGGGATGCTTCCTACCAGGTGCACTCCGACGGGGGCGATCATGGTGACTGAAACCGTTCTAGCTGGGGGCACTGTAGGAAAATTGGGGGCGAGAGCGAGGGTGAAGGCGACAGCAAACTCGGAGAAGAGGAGCAGATAAAAATAACTACACTGGTCACGGGCGGGAGAGGGGTAAACAGCAACCACGAACAAAGAGACTACCAACATGGAACTATGCAAGAGCAGAGCCCGATCCCTGTTCATAATTCCAAAGAGCCCCCACTCATACTAATGCTCTAGATAGAATCTATTCCCGCACCAAAGGATGATTAGACCTTGCTCAATGTGCTTATCCCCGTGCTGGGCACTTTGCGCATTGAAATGTAACCTACTGCAAACCCTAGTCGTACTCCCCCGTCCAAATACCATCCTTTACGATGTATGATCAGGAAAGAATGCTGGTTAGAAGCTCATCTGACAAGCAGCATGTGAATCTAGCCCCCAATTAGCATAGCCGGCATATGTCCGAAGCAAACAATATGATCTTCGCGCTATACACGATACCACCGCATTTGTCTGCAGATATGAACCTATATTTATACAGGAGCTCTTCCCACTATCTTTGTAGTAACTTATAGCAGCGACTAGCATGTCCAGCCTAACACCTGAAGAGATTGCCTACTACCAGGCACATGCAGACGATGATCTTCGACCGAATCAGATAGCTGCTGATGTTGTTGGGATTGTGCTGACAGTCACAGCGGTGGCGGCGCGAGTCCTGGCGCGATTCCGCTCGAAAGCTGGCTTTGGCTGGGATGATTATCTTATTTCAGTTGCCTTGGTGGGTAGATACGATAATTCGGGAATTATAAAAAAAAAAAAAAAAAAAAAAAAAAAAAAAAAAAAAAAAAAAAAAAAAAAAAAACCTTTGGCGCTGCTAATAAACTGTGGCTAGATGGGCCAGCTCTCGTATGCCGTCTTGATGTTCATGAGTGTCATTAACGGTGAGGGCCAACATATTATCTTTGTCAAGAACCAGAAGCTCTTCGTACAGGTATGGGATGTTGCGTTGGCTGTCCAGGTTCCTGAGCTAACAGGTTGTGTTCACTCGGAAGGAATATGTGGCAGCGATTATCTCATACTCGATTACTGTCATGCTCACCAAAATATCCATCCTGTTTCTCTACCACCGCTTCTTCCCAATGAAATGGCTTTTGCTGATCGCCTATGTTGTGGGTGCAATTGTCGTCGCCTATAATCTGGCCGTGATATTTGTCGCTGCCTTCCAGTGTATCCCTCTTTCAGCACTGTGGACTGGACAGTCCGAGAAATGCATCAACACGGCTCCGCCTTTCACAGCTCTCGCGTGAGTTCGCCCACATATACCCGACATTGTCTCTGACCGTGACGTAGTATTGTCAATGTAGTAACTGACATCGCCATTTTGGCAATCCCCGTCACGCCTGTCCTAGGGCTGCACATGAACACAAGTCGCAAGGTACAGGTACTGACTATCTTTCTTCTGGGGGGAATGTAAGCTTGCTTCTTCCACTGCCGCCTTACCGGCACCCATCTAACAATGCCAGTGTCTGCATCTTCGGCATCATCCGCACAGTGGCAATCTCCAACATGAAACCAGTCGACCCCAGCTGTAAGCCCTCCCCCGTTCTCAATCACCCTTTCACGCATGCTAACCGACCCAGACAATGCAGTCAACTCTGGCCTGTGGTCCTACATCGAGATATCAGTCGGCATCCTAGCAGCCTGCTTGCCCACCTTGGCCCCCCTTTTCAAGCACCGCAGGCAGAATCAGCTCGGGAACGGAACATACGCCTCAGGCAGCGGTTCAAGCCGGCGCTGGAAACTCGGCAGGAAGTGGTCGACAGAACGGCTGCAGGATGACGTGTTGCTTACAGAAAACACGTATATCGTTGAGACTTGGTCGCATTCGGGAAATGGGTCTAATAGCGCCATACAGCTCGATCATCATGACAAGTCCAGCAAAGGCGGGGAGAAGGATCATCGGTTGTCGGGCATCGTGGTGCAGAGAGAGGTACATCAGATGGTGGATTCTGTTTAGTGTGTTCAAGACTTGGGCGGGTGCGTTGCTCACCATTCCTTAATCAGGAACTTGATAGCATACCACTATGTACTCCATTCGGGTTATTTGTGGCACATTACTGGTGGTCCATGAGCGTGAAATCATTTATTTGCCAATACCGGCGTGCACTTTTTGTGGGAAGAAGGTAGCTCTATACTGATCATACCGAGCAAAATGATTACATGAAATCATCCAAATTGGAGTAATTGAATCATGTTTCGCATAACGTTTGCAGTATGGCAAGCCTATGCCTCCCAGCTTATTCAGACATATCTAGCCATCGCTTCACCTTCTCGTCGTGGCAGTAACGCCCAGTCCAGACTGTGTACATTCGTTGAAGCTGTGCGATGACCGCGGCCTATACAGAAGGAGTGGGCCCAGCTCACTCCGTATACAGCCGGTCGGCGATCTCGAGGAAGACAGTGGCACCTCCAGAATATGAACTAAGCAGTCAGTTGCTTTCCAAGAAACATACTACTGCAAGTCAGTGGAGGTGCTCCACCATACCACAGGGGTCTGTTGGAACGCAGGCATCACACTACATGGTCAAATTAAAGGCAGCAATATAAATGAACACTACGGAGTATTCACAAGACCAACCGGACAAGGATTAAAAACTCGGACCCGACTGTGGCGAGGCGATGCAGACATCAAATGGCTCTGTGGAGCTACTTGATAGGTTTCCGGGTGGATGTAGTTTCCAGATTCAGTATCATGATAAGGGATCATAGTGTTAATGTACTGCGAAGAGCATACCAGCAAGCCGTAAGTACTCCACCGGCAAGGACGTTTCATTTCCGAAGCGGACTCCAAACCAACCACAGACGGCTCCTTGGCCATGCCAAGTGAAGCCGACATTTATGGCCTGCTGCATGTCAAGGGAGGATTGTATATCGGTTTTATCCAGTCCTGCAACATATCAGAGACATTTTCTAAGTTTTGATTGGGAGCCACGCTCAAATGAGGCTAAGAAGTACATCTTCACACAACCTCCTCGATTCATCATAGTCGCCCGCCGAGCCGGGCATATGCAACAGGCAACTACACGACGGTTCGGAAGGAATTCCATTATATAGACTTTAAAATATGCCTGCATCCGTTCCTACAACCGTACCATAACTTAGGAGCTCACGCACCGAACACCTCATCATAGTCGAACATACACGACTGGTATCGCAGATCTTAGAGGTGATGAGATCAAACACTTCTAGCATCCCTTTGCGATTTCCCAGGTGGAAGGTCTTCCAATAAAGTCCTGGTCCTTAACGCCCATCCCACCCCTTCCAGGAAGGCCTACCGAGGTTTACTGCAGGCAACCGCCGGCAAGATTACTGGTTTGATTGGAATATAAGAAAAGATGAGTAGCCTAAATATGTAATGGACCCGCTTTCATTTCGGGGCTCCTTCCCAGGTAACCTCAATGATTGCCAATGCCGCCCCCTCAGGTGTCCAACACCTGACTGGTCCAAACCTCTCGTCTGCCTCCCTAAACAAAGCTTGCCACTCGTCCTCATCCCTCAGCCGAGACTTATTAATAGCAAGCATCATTAGATCCATATACCGAATATATCTCTCTGTCGCAATCGGCAATGACCCACTATCTGGACACAGGCTCTCATTGACAACCACCTTCGCGCCCGTTCGAAGCGCAGGAACCAGTTGTCTCAGAATTTTGACCACATACTCATCGGACCAATCATGGAGCACCCACCGAAAGAGATATAAGTCGGCAACAATAGGCTGGGGGTTAAAGAAATCATGAACGTGAAACTCAACTGCGCGGTTCTCCGCTTGCATAGTGGCTCGGGCCTCCTCCACTACAGACGAGACATCCTGGACAACAACGCGCATCCCCGGGTTTGCGTTGGATATCAAACGGGCAATGTGGCCGTCAGAGCCGCCTAGGTCGACCACTACCGCCCCGTCGGGTAGGGAAGCCCATGGGTATCCCTTGATTAGGAAGGAAGGCGAGTACGCCGGTATGGGGCCAGTGTAGAACTTCATGGCTTCAGAGAATTGCCTTGCCTTTTCGGGTCGGGACTGTAGGTAGTCAAAGAGATTCTCGTTCGTGTGGTGAGACAGCGAGAATCCCTGTCCATCTCGCATTGTCAACCGACGATTTAGGTTGTCAGAGTAAAGTAACTCACCGTCTCATTCGGCTCGTGGCCGCGGAACTGCTGCATTGCATCTACCGTCTGTCACACCATCAGATTACCCGCCCTGACAGAAAGATTGCCGGGAGCTCACCCTCGCGAACGATCCGTAGAACTCATCAAACTGCCCGATCCCCGCCTGGATCACTGCATCAGTCGCTAACGCTTTCGATCCCGCAGAATGTGACACGAATCCCTTCCGGCGCTCTTGAAATAGTCGATGGAAAACTATCGCAAACCTCACCACCTGCTTCAGCTCAAAGATGTGAACTCTGCACTTCTCGCTCAGCTGTTCGTACGAGATCTCGCCCACTTCGGGGACGTGATTCGCGATCTTGTACCGTGAGATAGCCTGTAGAGCGCTCCCATTGTACTTTTTGACAAGTCAATCATTTGATTACAGCAATAAACCAAAATATCGGATCACTTGGGGGCTAACCAGGGGTAGAATGCAGGTCAATGGGCCCTGAAGGCGATCAAGGAGTTCAAGGCAGGCGTTGATGGCGGCGGCTTTAGTGCGCACTATTTCGGGTGTTTGCCTGGCAATTGTCACGGGCGAGTCGGGTGAGAAAGTGGGCATGTTAAGTCCTTGGTGTCTGAGGGCTTGAGTGAGGACTTGGGTGCTCTGGGATATGGTGGACGCCAAGTCCTCTATTTCTTCCATTTTGGATGCTTAGATCTTTGTTTCAATGGACCTGTAGAGTGGCTGGGTCATGACTGTGTGAGGTGGACAGTGTCTCTTTAAAAAAGACCCAAATGCGGTTTGTCGAGACTTGTCCGTTTACAATAATTCTACACGGTGAGGGTAAACTACCGAGTCCGTGGCAAAAGGCTACCCCGCTATCTCAGGCTATTTGGTCTTTCGATCACAGGCCAAACTGCTGACGGGGCCTGTCATGGAAATCACTACGCAGCTGAGGTTGTATTGGACGTCCAACTGCAAGTAAGCGCTGTCCTTCCAACGCAGGTATGAATTTTCAAATTTAGCTGTATTAATATAATGTAATTGTTTATAATACATGTAGTATGTTAATCTTTCAGGAGATTTTTTTTTTTTAAATGAAATTTCTATAATAAAGATTTTGTACCACAAAGACCAACTGCGGCTGAGCGTGAGACACTCGAGACGCAGTCATCATTAGCTGATTTATTTGCCATCCGGGACGGTCCGGCAACGCCTGTTGATCCTCCCGCGTCCCCGATGCAACCCCAATGGCCATTACTACCTAGAAGGGCCGCCTACATATGCCAAGGAGAGGGGGTGGGAGGAGCAGTAAAGCAAACATCAGCCTCATCTTCGCCCGATTCGCAATGGGCTACATCCACAGGTGGTCTGATTGTGGATCATCCAACCAGGCCGTAATTTCTCACATCAGCACTTGGTCCTGCAAGCTCACTGTGCCGAGTGGGGATGATACGTGTTGTGCCTCGTGACCCCTTTCGCAAGAATGGCTACCACGGACTGCGCCGATCAACGAGAGGATAAATGAGGAGGTCATGGTTTGTCCTTAATGGAGGGCAAGTCAGTCAGATCCATCAGCCTACTCCGTACGAAGAACATCATAACGGGTTCCCGCCAGACCACCGAACAGATCGTGAGCTCTACCGTCAAATCATGGAGTTTGCATTCTAATGAACTTTTCAACAGCATCATGCAGGTCAATACTGTCGTTCCCCTTCTGCTAATTAGCATTGTGGGTCTGGCGGTCGCAGTTCCTGTTAAAGTCACGAGAGATGCGGACGCTAGTAAGCATAGAAAGGGAAGGGAGAAGGAATGCTCTGACAACAAAATAGCTTTCCCAGTTCAATCAGCCGATGATGTCGATATCAAGAAGATTGGTGATACATACTGATTGGTGACAGTTGGGATCCGGGTGAAAATGAACGGATTGGTTTCAAGAGGACAAGTCATGGAGGCCATAACCAGATAGGTAGATTTACATCCAGCACTTACAGTGGACCAAAATTTCTGTGTGAACTGTACAAATAGCCTGTAATTCCCCTCCTGGAACGATTCGTAGTTGAAACAGCAAACATGTCCCTAAAAATAGGAAAAATGCTGGGTGATGTTCTCGGTCGGCGTGGGCCAGAGTACTCTCAAGTATGCGACAGCACCGATAGCATTCGAGAAGATACGTTGACTGAGTCGACCGCTCAAGGATCAAGAGGTAGTAGCATCTCCAGAGTTATGTCTTTGGCTGCACTTTTCACTCTTGGTGTGGCCGTGGGCATGCTGGGCACGAGGGCAGTATACCAAACAAAAACATCTACTTTGGGGTGTAGCACTGGTGAACTACCGATCCACGGTGATTTTGTCCCTCAGGGTGAATGGAAACTTTCTTCATCTAACACCGATAGCACTGTTAACCGGCGCTAGTTCGTATCTCTTCTTGCGCTCCCCAGCTCGTCCGCCATTACCCAGAGTTCGAAGCTCCCCCTCCAGCTGAGGAAGAAACGGAGGAAGTTTGGGACTCTCTGATTCCGAGTACGACTACCGCTCTACTAGATTAAACTTGCATTCTGACCGATAGGAAAGACGGTGTTGGTTACGTGATCCACCCTGACATATCACCGAATATGTCCGTTCTGGGCGTTTTCCACGAACTGCATTGTTTGGTACGCTCGCAGACCCCTCGAAATGGCTTGTGCTAACTAGCTCTTACAACAGTATCTCATCCGTCGAGCCTACTACGCGAATAACACCGTAGAGGAGAGCTTCGACGTGGGCATTGAACGACATCCGCACGTCGGGCATTGTTTCGACTATCTACGCCAAAGTATCCTCTGTGCTGCAGATTCGCATTTAGAACCTACAACCGAGCGAGTAATCGGAAACGACCGGTGGGGCTTTCAGCGGCAATGTCGCAACTACACAGAGATTAAAGAGTGGGCAGCGCAATGGAAGGTGTTTGATATCGAAGGATCTTTTGTTCCATCCTTCTTGCAACACAACCACTAAGATGGCACTAAGATGGCGATCTGAGGAAGAATGGCGAACGAACGCAAAGCAAGATTATAATTACAATTCAATAACCCCATCATCACCATCATCGCAGAACCCGAAATGATCTCCAAGTGGTATCTTCTCCACACTGTCTCTGTAACAGGCCGTGTGCTTGGTCGCATATTCCCGTAGCTGAGCCCAGGGCTTACACTGGTGGACTTGGCTATCACCTGCCGTGAAATCTCCAAACGTGTATAGCGGAGTGCTATCGGCATTACACACGACATATTGTCGTAATGCGTCGAAGCAGTGGTTTATGTGGGCACCGGGGCTGTGCGTATACGGCCGACCGTCTACTGCTTCCCACATGGTCTTGCGGAGGATTTTCTATGGCCAACCTCAGTGGATTAAACGGCCCATAATGCGGGTATTACTTACCAAACAATGGAGATAGTGGTATGCTTCTAGAAGATACACCCCCTTGCTGTGATCAGAGGGTAAGTACATGCTTTCGTGCCAGCCGTGGCTCCGGGCGAAATCCCTATCAATGGCGATAAAGCCGTGAGAAGGGAGGATGCTTTCCCAGAGTGAGTCTGTGTGAGATGCGTTGTTCATATCACTGTAGGCGGTGTTCCACCAAAATTGCTTATGTGTTGAGTCGAGGGAAAGGGCTTCTAGTTTATCTTTACGTTTGTGAGTCAATATCATTTCCCGGCCAGAGTGTCAACGCACCATGAGCCGGTAGCTCTGGAAGCCTTTCTTCCACAGTTTGTCTTAGCAGATAGTAGCCACCCAGAGAGGAGATGGTGTTTGTCAGAATAAGAACTAACACCAATGGCAGCCATGATAGCCGCTCTCTCTTGATCTTTGGCTCATAATGGGCTGGTAGAGAACGCTCTGGATCTTCTGCTGGAACAGGTTTGTATTCAGAAGCCATTGAGGTATGATTTGGGTGGAATATATGTAGTGAGTGGTGGGAAGACCGATGACGAATAGACCGGCTGAGATGAAAGAGAAAAGGGGACACATAGGAGAGACACAACAAATAGAAGGGGAGATGGGGGGCATGGAAATGAGAGAACAGAAGCAGAGAGGCTGAGCAAGGGCCTACCTAACACACAGTCGGCTACCGCGCAAGGCAATCTCCGGAGCACTGACGTGTCAGACAGCAGCGGAAGCATGATCGACCGATAGTGATTATACGTAATTAATTGATCTAATATATGTTTGCGAGGGCGCTTACCTGAGGGGGGGGGGTGATATTATGATGTAAGCTGAACCTCGCATCGCTTCCGGAAAACTCGAAACACTTCGCCCAATGCCGGCTACATTATTTTATCTGCGAAGCGCTTCCTTATGTTTCGCTCCCCATCATGTTCCTACCCAGCAAGACCCCGTCCTATTCTGTCCTGCTGAATTCAGAATCAGCAGATTTAGACTCACCGAGAGAGAACGAAATACATAGTGACAGCATACTGCAGAAAAAGCGTTTCGCAGGACTGTACCGAATATGTACTGCGATCGCTGTTGTATGTGTGTCTGCCGTTGCCTTTGTGACAATTTTCTTCTCCTCTTCTTCAAAGCACCAGTTCACATGCACTCATCCACGCATACGACCTGAATGGCGCACTCTCAGTCATGCCGAAAAGACATCCTATATAGCGGCCGCTCACTGTTTGACAACCACCCCGTCTCCAAGGAACTCCAACATCACTGTCCACGATGACTTCTCTTACCTCCATAGTCGAACTGGAAATTATTGTAATCATCCTTCCTTTATGAGATAGGAACCAATGGCGATTGACCAGGATTATAGCCCACAACGCCGCCCCCTTCCTGCCCTGGCACCGGTACTTCCTCCATGCCTACGAACACGCACTGAAGGAATATTGCCACTATACCGGCCCTCTGCCGTTTGTGCCCTCTCCGTTACGCAGGGAGACTACCAAAACCACTAACAACCCCTAGATACTGGGACTGGAGCCTTGACTACCGTAATCTCATAGAATCACCTATCTGGGACACTGATGATGGTTTTGGTCCCAGTGGCTCATCATTCACAAGCGTAGCCAACGGCCGCTGCGTCGACCAAGGCCCCTTCGCAAACTGGATGCCCACGTACTACGAAGGCAACTACCACCCTCATTGTCTTTCGCGCGGATTCCAGGATGAGACGATTGTGACGAGGGTTGGGAATCTGACGGTCCGGCCTGATATTTTGCAGGGCGTTATTCGGGACAAATCGGAGTACTTTGATTTCCTCTTGGCCGTGGAGACAATGTCGCACCTAACAATTCCGTACATCGTCCAGGGGGACTTTTCCAAGGTGACGGCACCGAATGATCCAGTATTCTTCTTGCACCATGCGCAGGTCGACCGGGTCTGGTGGAGTTGGCAGGGTGTACATGACGAGCGACGGAGGAAGTATAATGGAATTGCGAGGTATGATTCAACAGCCGAGGCGAGTGTTAGCGATGTTCTGGACCTTGGGTTTATACTTGAGAATGGGGCCGTTGTGACTGTGGAAGACGTAATGGATGCAGAAGGCAGCCTACTGTGTTATCGATATGACACAAGCGCGATGTCTAACTAAAGTGGCGGTAGAAGATACCTCTGCAGCATTATCTCCTCCACCACGTAGAACATTGGGTTCGCTTATAGTCGTCGTTATTATTCGCCGCCAGTAAGACAAATGATGAGGATACCAAGTTCGACCCATTTGTTGACCACTTCCTGCTAGTCTGTAGGCTGTTGTCCGTACTTGTTCGGTGTTGCTCTATATATCTTTCTTCTCGGGCCCTTCCCGAGAATGACATGACATTACCGCAGCTAGAAAGAGGATCCCTCTCTTACTTCGCATACCATATTACATCACTATTATATTCATTCGACGGTGAAGTCCCAGCTGATTGGGCGGAAAGAGGATACTGAGGGCGTAGCAAGTTTTGAGACGCTGCAAGAGAAGGAGCTGGGTAAAAAGCAGCCGCTTGTTGAGGATAAGCGGTTTATGTTATTGGAGGCATGCGGAGTGGGGATTGGAGTGGGTTGTACAAGGCGGGCGTGGAGAAAGGTAATGGAACGGAGGAGCAAAGGAGCCATGTTCGAGAGTGGATCAGGACGGCTGATGAGAAGAGCGAGGGTATTATGAAGGAACATCTAAAACTCTCTACCAAGAGCAAGCTTGTATTTACCCGCCAGAGTGGACACTTTGTCCAGTTAACTCAGCCGGATGTTGTTGTTGTTGGTGTGAGATGGGCCCTAGATAATTAATAAACCTGTTTTAAGTAGTAATACTGAATAGCGATCGACATATATTATGTTGACCACGAGATCCCAATTAGGCCTAGCGCCGACACGTGCCTTTCTTTGTCTGACAGTCAGGTAGTTAGAACTTTTTTCTAAGAGAATCAAGGATTTCTATTTTATAAAGGTTTGATAGATTATAAGCCCGGCCAGCTCGAAAAAGAGTATAGGAAATTATTTAATTTAATAAATAGAAGTCTTAGAATTTAATATCAATATTTAATATTAATTAAAGCTCCTTATTCGCAGGAAAGAAAACTTTAAAAGAAAAAGATCTATAATATATATTAAGATAGCTGACAGTGGCCAAGGCTTTTAAGGAAATCCTATAGAAGAAGGAAATAGAATTTAAGGTTTAAGCTAAGGAATACTATAAGGAGGATCTTTAATCTTTAAAAACCTTTTGCTAAGCACGCAGGAAAAGATAAGAATATAAGATTATCTTTTATTTAAGAATTTACTAGATAAAGTAGATAGAGTTATAGAACGCTTAATAGACCAATTTAACTATAAGATATGGGATTTTTATATCCGGAACGCGTTACAATTATATAAGATTAATATGTTAATTAATATTATAATCCCAAGACCATTAATAATATTATTAATTTATGTAAAATAGGAATAAACGTCTTGAATACTAAGATTATAGCTGGTTCTATAAATCTTAAGAAATATAGTAAAATAGCTATTAACTACTACTGATTCTACTATATATATAAACGAAATTTACGAGGCGATAAGAAAAATTATTTTAAAATATAGATATACTTTTGCGCGAACCGCGTATATAAAAGTTTTTAATATAAAAAGAATATCTTATATAACTATTCTATAATTTATTTACAATTTTTATAATTTAGTAAAACTTGTAAATAATCTTTACTGTATAATTATATCTTATTATACTACTCTAATTCTTTTGTAAGAATTTAAAGTAGAACTCCTTACCTGGATAATATATATTAAGAGTAAATTCGGATCAAAAGCTGTACAAGGTACCTCGAAGTATAACTTCTTAAAAATATATATATTTACTATAGAAAAGGAAAAAAATCTATTTCAACGCAATTTATCGGTAGCCGTAATAGGTAATACCAACTTAAATAATAGGTTTAAATCTAGAGATAAATTATTATTCAAAGATAAAAAGAAGAACAATAATAATAAATAGAAGAAAAGAATATAGCTTAAGATAGGTTAATCAAAAGAATAAAACGTCAAAAGACTGTGAAAGTGAAAGGCTAGAGAAGAAGGTATATGTTTCTATTATAGATCTAGATATAATATCTCAGTATACTAGTATCTTTATCCCGCTTTATAATTAAATAACTGGACTCTATATAATAAGGCTTTATAGATATATCAAATCTCCAGATCTACAGTTAAAATAGAAGAGGCAAGTGCAAACTGCACAATACCTATATAATTTCTAAATATCGATTTAGACTTAGATATACTACCTTTTAATAGAATAGCAGTTAAGAACTTCGATATACTAATAATATCGTAATGATTATTCGATACCGGTAGCTCAAAATACTTAATCCCAGATCGAAAGAACTTGATAGGATATCGAGACCTCCTTCCTTACGAAGTCTTCAGATACGGCATATCTACAGGAGATGTTACAGAAACTAGGGGAATAGGCTATATTAAGATAAACCTGGATGTAGGAGACGGTCAAACCATAATATTACGTGTTGAGGTGTACTATTAACCTAAAATACGCTTTGGACTTCTCTCAGCTCAAAAGATCAAGCAAGAATATGGAATTTTCTGGAATAATCTAGACTATACACTTAGATCAGCCGATGGCACTATAAAAGGCTTCACCCGAGATATCTATAAAATTCCTTTCCTTTTTCTCTCTATACCCACACGCTCGGGGTTCTCCTCGTAAAAGGAGGAATCTCGCGTACGTAGAGGAGACATTATGGCCGTGGTGGTTGATATTATGACTTTATATTATTATCTTAGTCATTCAGAAATACCAAGAATCACAGCTACAGCGAAGGCGCGAGATATCAAACTAAAACCTAGTGATAATATGCACTGCGAGACATATTATAAAGTTAAGGTAAAATGTTAAATATCCCGAATACCGCAAGCTCGTTCTACTGATCCCTCAAACCTCTGGTATATAGACGTGTAGAAAGTCAGTCCAACTAGCCATAGTGGATATAACTACTTCTTAATTATAGTTAATGATATAACAGGACTAATACGTACTACAATGCTTCATAACAAGAAAGAAGTCTTAGATATCTTGATAAAGATAAATCAAAAACATTACAATATAACAGGGAGATACGTTACTCGCTGGCACCTTAATGGAGGAAGAGAATTCAATATCTTTAATAAATGGGCAAGAGAGCCTAGCAGAGGTATATAAATAGAGTTGACACCTCCTCGTACACCCGAAGCAAACGGTAAAGCTGAAAGAATCGGCAGTGTTCTTAATCAAATGGCTAGATCAATGATGATTGATTCCGGTCTACTAGATTATCTTTGGCCCTACGCAATTAATACGGTTGCTAAGATACTCAACCGACTTGTTTTACTAGGAAAGACCGCATTAGATACAGCTGTGTACAAATATTGGTCTTATTACAACTTGCTAAATAAGGAAGCATCTCTAAACTTTATAAAAGTCTACGGTTGTCGAGCATATATCTATATACCACGAGAAGACCGCGTAGTATTAAAAAAAATAAAATCTCGCGCATAAATCGGATATCTTATTAGTTTTAAAGGAGATAATGGTTATATATAGAAAGTATAGATTCCGGAAAAGAATCAAATCAAGAAATCTCGAGATATTACGTTTGATAAGAATCATATATTTAAAGATAATAAGGATCTAGAAGAACTAGGAAAGCTTGCGCCTATAACCCCAAAAGACTCTTTAGACAAAGGGAGTAAATCTATCAAACTGTCTAAAGGTCTAGTAAAGCTTAATATTTCTAAAGAACAGTTTACTATATCCCCAGAGATTGTCATAGGCCGAATCCATATAATCTCAGAGTTTCAAAATAAAGAATCTACTAAACATAGCATAACGGTCTTATAGACAGATAAAATGATTAAATTAATTAAGAATCCGGAACAATACACTGTAGGAGACTTTATATAGAGATAAGATAAAATCTCAGAATCATCAGTTGACCCGATTACTCTTGATCCAATATAGAAATCTAATCGAACAATAAAAGGAAAAGCACCCGCATGGTTAGGAGACAAATAGGCTCGTGAAACACGCTCTAGAAGCCGAGGAATTCAAGATACAGGGAATTCTTAAGCTACTATATAAATAGATGTCAGCCAGATTTCTCGCTTAAAAGCCTACGAAGTTAAAATCCCTAGAAATTACGCTAAAGCACTAGCATCTCCCTTTATAGAATATTGGAAGAATACAATATATATTCAAATCGGAAAGATCACAAGGTTCAATACGTATGATATTGTGGAGAAACCGGAAGGCGCACATGTTCTACCAGGTAAATAGATATTTAATCTAAAGATTAACCGAGAAAACTATATCACTAATTTTAGAGTCTACTGGGTAATATGTGGCAACTTCCAATGTCCTGGAATCGATTGTAAGTAGATATATATTCCAGTGGTAGAAAAAATATTTCTAAAGCTATTTCTCACTGCAATAGCTATAAAAGAGTTAAAATGGGAATAGTATAATATTGTCTCTGCCTATCTTTATATAGTATTGAAAGGCAGAAAGGTTTTCATACGTTAATTAATAGGCTTTATAAAAGGGGACAGCAACCAGGTATGCCAGCTTAATTAAATCTTATATAGTCTACAAGAGACGGCAAGCCTATAGTACAAAACCTTCAAAGAAAAGTTGGAAAAAATAGGCTTTAAGCCCATTTAGAAAGACCCTTACATCTTCATACTTAACAGTATTATATTAGCAATACACGTCGACGATACAATCATTGCAGCGAGAACTCAAAAAAAGATTAACCAAACTAAGAAGATCCTGCGAGAAGCTTTTGGACTAAAGGAAATAGATAAACCAACTCGTTTTCTAGGATACAACGTAGTCAGGAACTACGAGAAGGGTTCTATATCACTTTCCCAATCTATATACATTGAAGAAGCACTTATTACAGCAAGAATAATCAACTACTCTGGACGCCGGATTCCTATAAATCTAGACTATAGAAAAGAATAGGATACCGAGCTCCTTAACAATTCTTTAAAATATCAACGCCTAGTCGAAAAACTTAACTGGCTTGCAATCAAAACTCGGCCCAATATCAAGAATACAGTATTTCTACTTCAACGCCGAATAAATACCTTTACTAAGACAGATCGAAAGACCGTAACAGGCATATTTAGATATCTAAAGGCAACAAACCGCTTAGGAATTAAACTAGGCGCAGATCATACGCGTGGACTTGAGATCTATATTGACGCGGCGCATCAAGACCATAAAGATAGGAAATCAACTGAAGGCGTCATCATAATGTACGCAGGAGCTCCTATCTCATGGATCTCGCGCAAACAGACCCTCGTGGCGCCATCAAGTACAATCGCGGAGTTCCTTACATACGACACTGTAATCAAGAAGTCTCTTTTTATTAGGAAAGTACTTAAGACACTAGACCTGCCTATCAATCCAGGAACTACAGATAATGATAAGTTAATCATCTCTACGGATAGCTAGAATAGTATGAAAATCCTTCAACGTGGTAACTACACACCGTCACACGATGGCTTGACAACCAATATCTCTTTATACGAGACCTCCTACAGGCTGGTAAGATTCATCTAAAATTCGTACCGTCAGGAGATAATATAGCAGATATATTAACTAAATCTCTAAATCGTGAAGTCTTTACCACTGCAAAAGAAGGAATAATATTGCAGATTATTAATATCTCGAAAATTAAAAATAATATCTAATTAAAAAATTACATTGGCTTCTATAGCACGAGACCTAGGGGGGTATATTAACTACAAGATCCCAATTAGGCCTAGCGCCGACACGTGCCTTTCTTTATCTAATAGTCAAGTAATTAAAACCTCTTTCTAAGAGAATCAAGGATTTCTATTCTATGAGGGTTTGACATATTATTAATACTCATCATGTAAACCCTCGTGATAGCTTTGTATAACATGTTTCTATGCACTCGAATCACAACTCAAAGTAGATAGATATAGGGGGTGCATGGGAACGGTGGGATGATATAGTATATTCCTACTACTGCGATCAAACACCTGACTCAAAAGATGCTTGAACGTAAATATAGCGAGGATCTTGATGTATGGAGCGTTTGGATATCTCTGAATGGCTTCATAAATTATACCAGCTATCGTACAAAGTTCGGCCGAATACTCATTGGTAGTTTGGTTGGCCAACGGAACCCCACTCCACTACACGAGCCCCCGCAGAGTCTGAGTTAACCCAGAATCCCCAGATCGAGTCAGAAGCATTGGAACAAGATCCAATGAAACCTTTTCGTACATATCGGCTTCACGTTCACTACCGATGGCATCCAACTTACCTAATGAGATACTGCATGCCATTGCAGAGCTGTTGGAAGAGAATGACCTCAATTCTCTCGCCCAATCCAACAGCCATTTTCTCTCTGTCTGTAATCCCGTCTTGTACCGAAAGAATATGCTAGAGTCTGATGGCTGGGCACTTATCTGGGCCATTATCAATCGCCAACCCCATACAGTCACATACGCACTCAGCACGGGAGTCACAGAGCTCGGGGAGGCGCTTGCATTTGCCGTTGAGGATGGACAGGAGCAAGTTGTGGAGTGGCTTCTGTCTGTCAAGTCGGCGGATTTCTCCCCGAAATATGACTTTTTTGGCCAATTTCTCAACTGGACTTCTCAAAGTCGCATTACTTCCAAGTGCACTGTAGCCAGCGCACGATGTATTGAGCATCTTAAAGCTCGTCAACAGTGGAACCGTCATGGCACGCTTGATAATAGGTCGCCTCTTTCACGGGCTGCCAGAGGAGGCCATTTGAGAATTGTGAATCTTCTGATTGAATTGAACGGCGGCGATCTAGCTGTCGAAGACTTGTATGGGAAGAATCCTCTATTCCATGCTGTAGAAGGGAGCTTTTTGGATATTGCCAAGGTTTTGTTCAGTACTGGGCATTATGACCTGAATATAACAGATAGCAACTTCAGAACAATATTATCACATGCAGCCCGCCTCGGCAAAAGTGAGATGGTACAGTGGTTGGTAAGCTGTGGGGCTGCGATCAACCTCAATCATCAAGACAGATATGGCCAGACGCCGCTTCATTATGCTGTCGAGCGCTCTGATATGCTTACTGCGAAAGTGTTGATCGAGACTGGCAGAGTTCATCAACGCATTGCCAACCGAGACGGTGAAACACCACTTGATCTTGCTACTCAGTATTCAAATACATCGATCATGAACTTGTTGGTTGAGTCCAGCAGAGTAGACCTGGACTTTGGAAGAAACAATGGTTATGCACCGCTTTACGTTGATACTTTATTCACTGATGAATCGACACCAGCACTGTCCGTCGTGTGCAGCGAAGTGGAGATCAAGGATCTGACAGCCCTTCACGGCGCTACTCAGCACTCGAATACATCACCGCCAGAACCGCTCTTTGAATTGAGGGAACTAGATCCTAATCTTTCAGAGGAACAATGCGAGTGGATGTTTTTAGACGCTATTCATGGCTCGAATGCATCGATATTAAAGCTTCTGGTCTCTTCAGACAAAGTCGACTTAGACTGGACGGATAATGAAGGACGCACGCCGCTTTCACGTGCAGCTCAGTTCTCAGACATAGCGATTATGAAGCTGTTGATTGGCACAGGCAGAGTCAACCTGGATTCGAGAGATAATTATGGTAGAACGCCGCTCTCATATGCCGCTCAGCACGCAGATCCGTCGGCTGTAAAACTTTTGGTCGATTCAGGCGAGGTCGAGGTGGATTCTAAAGATATCCAAGGGCGGACACCACTTTCCTACGCTGTCCAACACATGGACTTGGTCACTTTAGCGACTTTGGTGAGATTATGGTATGGTGATGATGATGATGATGATGAATCCGGTCTCAACCCAAATACTGTCATCCCCCGCCGATCCCTTGCAAACACCTCAACCCTGAGCATCTTGATCAATTGTGGCAAAGCGGATCCTAATTCTCGAGATGGAAAGGGTCGGACGCCGCTTTCATACGCGGCTGAGTACTCAGATTCAGCAGCCATAAAGCTTTTGCTCGGGAGTCCTTTAGTTCAAATCGAGTTGAAGGACAACGACGGAAGAACTCCATTTTTTGAAGCCATTGCCAGTGGCAATCTCTCCGCAGCGGAGCTGCTTCTTAACTCACCGATGGTCGATCCTAACACTAGAGACAATTATGGCGATACGCCGATATTCGAACTTTTGGACCTCTATCACACGCTTAGTATCAAGAATGAGGATCAGATATTGGAGTGGACCATCGTATCTATCGTGGTAACAGGCTACAACCGTATTGTGAAATTGCTACTCGAAAGTTGCGAGGTTAAGCTTGATTCTCAAGATCGCTATGGTCAATCGCTGCTTTCATATGCCGCTGAAAACTGTGGATACGACGTTGTCAGGCTTCTGATAGATTCGGGGAAGTTTGACCCTGTAGGGCTCGAGGGATAATGGGGAGCACCACGAAAGTCCAAGCAGTTCTCAGAGATGGAACTCAGAAACCGTGTAGTCACAATATGTGTCAGTTGCCATATGAAAGATGTGCTCGTAACACAGAAATATACCAGATGTGTGGCACCACACGCCCTCAGATATGTTCAGACTAACAAGTGCGGAGGGATCTGGGACTATGTACCAATAGTGATATACCATGAACAATTTCTTAGGCCAGTCACAGTTTTGCGGTTGTCTGGAAACTGCCTGATGAGATGTCCACAAGCACCTTATATGTTAAAGCCTCCCCACGTACAGACTCCCAAGAACATTCTTGTGAGAAAAGATGGACCGTGACCAGAGGACGACCGCAAAAATAATAGTGAAGTAGACTGTCTTTCAACCTCCCCAATCTAGATTCATGAAAATAGAATATAATATGCGCACATAAGGTTTTTTCGGCAGTAGAAATACCGCCCCATATCTTTAATTTGTCAATTTTCTATCTTGGGAGTTTGAGCCTCGCGCCCCTGTCATGATGACCCCTAGCATTGTGATGGGACACACCAGGTCTTAAAGCACGAAAGCTATCAGATATCGCAACCACTAGGCAGTCCGGATGTGACGGACCAAAAGATTATATAAAAAGGAAAGGATTGGCATTTGCCTCGTCAAAGATGCACACTTTATTGAAATACTGTCTTAAGCTCCTCAACAGCCGTAATGGCTTTGCTTGCTTCCTCCGTGTACTTTGTTTTGCACATCTTCTGTAGTTCAAACGTATGCTGGAGTTTATCCACCATGAATGGCTTTAGCACCGATCTTTTCCCGGATGTGTAGTCATAGATGACAGTGTCGTCGACGCATTTTGCGGCTACCCGGCGATGTTGATGCGACAAGACCCAAGCCTCCATCTTCAAGGATGTTGATTCGTAGGTGGGCGGCTCGAGTAATTTATACAGCACGGATATCCGATCGGGGAATTTCATTGGCTGTGTGGAAGGAGTTAGGTCAATTTGGGGCTCTGTGTCAACAAACAAATGTGTGTACCGTACAAATTTGAACTCAGTCGTGATTCTTTGGAGTATGAGACCCAGGCTCCGTGGGGTTGGTAGATCGTCCCATTGCCTCTTTTCCTCGGCTGCGGCATTTTGGCCGTGCTGACGGATGAACTGGACCCGGGCAGTTTCGACGTAGCGGTTGTACATAATATTATTTACGTGGCCTGTGAATCGTGAGTTTGAGGAAGTCTACCTAGAGGTTCAATCGGAGCTCGTACCCTGCACATGTTAGATAGTATGCATAAATAACCAGAAAAGCAGAATACTCACCATGCTATCCTAACCACGAGCCCCAGTCAAAAGTGTTCCATTTATGCACGTTAGTGATGGGGTTTGGGTTACTGCTTACCATGGCCCCCCAGAGCACTTTATGGCTGTCTAGTGCTCTCCATTGCTTTTCAGTGAGGAAACCTTCCCGACCTGCCAGAAGCTCCAGCCAATTTGTTTCCAAATACTGAGACAGTTGTTCTGCTCTCTGTACACACTCTGCAGAACTCTGCCCATCCCTTAGCCGCTTTACCTCGGCTTGCAACTCTGCAAACCATGTTGAGGTATTGGGGGCAGGAGCAAGATCGCGATTCGGGTACGCTGTGGTCACGGAGTATGATCGGATCTGCAATCGCGATGACCCTGCGAAACTGCCTGGGAATTTAACGAATGGCGTGCGTGGCATTAATATGATGGTAAGGTAGAGGAATACGTGAAACCATTGACTGAGTGGAGGGGAAGAACAAAACAAAAGCAAATAGGTGGGAAAGTGAGCTCTCCCAAAGCCAAGCAAAGTTAACCGTTGCTAACCAGGGCGACCAGGCCAAGCCCGAATTTACCGAATGAATGTCGGGGTAAATGCGAGGGGCTTATCTCCAATTTGGGGAAATGATAGTGACGTTCATTATATTCAACACGAGATCACCGCTTCTGCCACCTTATCGCATTTTGTTCCGTTGAATCAGCCTGGAGGGAAACTTGACCATTGATCGGCTGACCCAAGACACACCATTTCTCTAATTCTGGCTGCGTATTTGTCTTTGGCTGTGTTTTGCTCGCCTTTCTTGCCAATGTCTCCTCCCCGCTCAGGTGTCGACGAAGCGTCCAGGAACTTAGAATTCTCAGCTAGCCACTTGTATCTTGCTTTGTGCTTCTCCACATGATCGCAAATGGGCCTCGCCGTGTCCAATTCTGACTTGCCAACCGATTCATTCGACTTTACGAGAGAAGCCCTGGGCTCTTCCACAGGCCGTTCATCAGCACTGGTTCTCAAATAAAAAAGCAAACGACTTAGTGATGGTCATAGAAAGGAAGGATATGAGTCAAGGCTAAGCTGAGAGGGGGATACTGACTGGCCAGGAGCATTGGCGGAAAGAATGGGGGGAAAGAATTTGAAGAGCCGCGAGCAAACAGACCACACTATGGACGAGAGAATCGTTAGATACGGGCATTATTTGCTGTGATTACGATGAGATCTGTATGGTAACCTCTCTCCTGCACTAGTCGCTCTAACTATGTTTATGGTAGTGAATTGAACTCGGAAGGGCGGACCTAACAAGCATTCTGGGGTCTATTCCACTGTAGGCAAACCCCCACATATCACGTCAGAAACTAATTTGGTACCACAAAAGGACCCAAACTGAACTGGAATTTACATTTGAAAAGTCACATTTGTCAGTGATACCCTGATGTTTCCACCCTGCGAGCAATTGTAGGTGTAATATTCGTTAGCTTTGGCGATCAATTGGTCAAACAGGTCAAATCTGTCCATTCAAGTCTACACATGCCGTGAAGCCTGAGTCCCCCCCTACGCTCGCTTCAACCACAAATCAGAACGAAGAAAATAAGACTGACAAGTAATATGATGATCTGAGATGACCGCCGAATCCGCGAATACCTGGATCTTGGCTCACTATATATACACAACAATCGGCTGGTTGACCAGCCGTGAGCCGTCTTCGCTCATGCAAGCAGCATTTACCATCAATGTAGACCGTTTTTCTCTGCGACGGAGACTAACCAAGTCCCTTATAAGAGTCAATGTACCAGATAGCAGAATTATTGCAGCATCCATCCACAGCAATGGATAGAACAAGTCTGGAAGAGCGAACATTGCGTGATTTTGAATAGAGTGTGAAAGATCCCGATAATAGTTCTCCAACCACCACTGAGCATTATCCCAGTGTACTCTCTCGAACCCATAAGAGGTATGCACGTGGCCGAATACATGCAGTAGAGGGCGAACTTTCCACAGCTCCTCCAGCAAAAATGGGCATCCTTCGGGAGATCCTTGGTACCAGTCTCCGTGAAATTTGGCTGGTGTATGCGTGACCAAGATATCCGTAGATGCGGGGATGCTGTCAGCCCATGGATTTTGATCCACAGGATATTGAAAGGCATTGTCTGGACCGCCGCACACAGGAATCTGTGGTGCCCCATAGACACGGATTTGCCGCAGTACACCAGATGTGTCACAAAAGGGCAGTGATACCGAAGCCTGCTGGAGATAATGGATGTCACCCCAGTCAATTGAGACAGCACGGTTATGTTGTACGGCGCTTTTGCTCTCGTTCTCAACTGGTGGTTCCGTCGCTAGCCTATCTTCCGCTAATCGGGAACGAAAATCAAAAAACCGATCACTATTACCAGATATCACGACTTTGTACTGGTGCGGAAGTGATTTCAGCCAGTCAACCGTTTCCTGGATCTCCAGGGCGCTCCCATGGAGGCTCAGATCTCCCGCGTGAATCAGAATGTCGCCATCTGGTATATCGCAGCGCTGGGAGTGCGTGTCAGAAACACAGACAACTCGGATAAGCGGCCTGTGTTGGGACCTCGCGAGTTTCCACCTCATAAAGTTTACAGATGTATAAGCTGACCAAACGAGCATTGTGAGGGGCGATAGTGCTATCCGACGCAGATTCGTAGCCAATGGTTGGCGAAAGGCTCGGAAATCTGGGCGGTTCAGAACGTTTGTGATCATTATAAGTGTTTGCGAAGATTCGTGGTGATTTGGAGGCGTGTATTCAAGATTCCTAGTTGAATGAGGGCTGGACATTAGCTTTTATAAGGTTGCCCTCTACGCCCTCAGGCAGCTACTAGATGACGTGGAATTAGGCCTCGCCAAAGCCTGTGGGTTGGACCCGTAGGTTTTGACCCGACCCGTTTCTTAGCGGGTTTTATGTCAAGAGTCGCGTTAATCTGCGGATTAGATATAGATATAGATTTCAAATGTATGTATATTTTTCTATTACTATACAGACTAAAGCATATCCTAATATATGTAAATTATTAAATTGTTATATTCAGATTTAAAAAGAAATAAGGATATAGTACGCTTCTTGACATCTAGGGCTCGGGAGTATTATAGAAGAGCATCACGTGGAAACTGATTTCAAAAAGTCTGTATAGATGGTTTCGGTACCATTCATTGTGGCAATCATAACGACCCCAGTATCTGCAGGCTTGATACCGTTGAACAAGGATTTCTGCTAAGTACAGTTATTAGTATGCTCATCATACCCACACACTACATACTTTTCGCACAGGCAGACCTACCGGCATCCATGCCTTGTCATGTTTATTCTGTTCCACATAATGACAAGGAAGATTATACGGGTACAGTGAGTTGTGAAAATTAGCCTCCCCCCCTCTAGATATTCCCAAGACATGAAAAAGAAACAGCATATCCTCTTCCTGCTACTTCCCTAGAATAGATCTAAATCCCGTCAGAAGTCTGTTCGAATATCCGATTGCTAGTGCGGTTGGACGCTCAAGATGATTCTCAGAGACCGCTGTCCTCAATTTAGCTGTCTGTGCATCAGCATATTTAGTAGGCGAATGGTGGAAGTGTACGTACTCATAATAAACAAACCAGGTACGATCGATCTTGCCATCATGGTAGTCTGCCGCCTAGTCATAGGGCAGTTAGTTTCTTGAAGCAGGAAAAGATCTCATCTATCCATAAAAGAGCATCGAGAAAGCATTGTATCAATTTGATTTCTTCTTGCACCCATTCCCGTTGGCGATCCGTAATCGAGTCGTGAGAAAACGTTTTGGCACGGTCGAAATCAATCCAAAGAACTGAACCATCATATTTTGTGGATATGGATCTCCATGGTAGACTCCAGCTCTGTGTATTTCCTTGATAATATCATAGAATTTACAAACCCTTTCCCATGAGAATGCTAACAGGTCGATCTTTTTAAGACCCGGTATATATTCAAGTAAAACAGCATTAGGAGGTAAAGGGTCTTTGAGAAACTCGCTTAAATATGGTGACCACTGTTTTGGATTGATTTGTTTGATCAGGCCGTAGAAATCAGGTACATATCCTTTGGCGCAGAGACCATGAGCCTTCAGTCGAGCATAGGCTTGGCTTTCACATTGGAAGATATCGACTTCGCGGTCTTCAGGGTCGGCATCTGATGGTTCAATACTGTGATACTAATGGCATATTAGATAGTGGAAATTAAAAAGACAAGTCTGGTCGCGTACCACTTTCATAATACAGTCTTTACCACACCAACTTGTGCGGAAGATACGTGATGCCTGAGAGCTCTTAATATGTTCAACGTATTTTATTGTCGACAAATCGATCTGCATGATGTTTTGTCGCTGTTGTAGTTGTTGGACGTGGATTCAGTTACGCAAAGACGACGAGATAATGAGCATCTCCATGTATTTCTGCACTATGCCTATCTTGGAAGTCCGCACCAGAAGTCCAGATGACCTCAGCCACAAGGACAGAATATAAAAACAACTTACAGCCCCTTAATATTATGTGTTCCGAGAAAGTCCCTTGCATCCTTGCTCACCGCGCCTCTATCACACTACGCAATATGGACAATCCAGTCAGTCTCATGGCTTATTTACAATATGGACCACCGAGAATACCGGTCATCGACCAAGAGCAGTCGAAGGAAAACACGACAAGCCAAATATGCTCCGCCGATGACATTCGCTCCGTTGGATACTGGGTAGATTTCAACTTGTCTACAATCCTGCATCAGCACCAGGCTATACTTGCAAATAGCCGATGCGCTGATGAGGCGATGCCCGACTCCCCTCCTCAACCTATCAACTCAGAAACAGGTCTTAAGCGACGTTTTGCACTCTATATTTATCAAAGGGTGCGACGGGCTCTTCGCAGTGGGTTTAGTTTTCTGGAAATGAACGATCAACTAGGCAACCGGACTGTTGTGGAATTCGGAGAAGGGGATTTAGCAGGACTTATTGAGCAGTTTATACCAGATACCGCATACTACGATCCACTTGCTATAGCTGGTACACGACCGAATCGTCTTCCCGGGAGTCTAAAACCCTCTTTCAAATGGTCTCTTACTCAACAGAACAGCCCAGAACATTACCAAAGAAAGCAATTCAAGTAAGTCTTAGCCCAACTTAATTTCTATATAAAGCAATATAAAAATCGTTTTGGGTTTATTCTTACCGATTGTGAGCTTGTCGCCATCCGCCGTCTTGACCGCCGTGGAACTTTGGAGTTATCTGATTCTATTCCATGGACTACAAAGGGAAGCGAGGGAGAGCCGCGTCTTACAATTTTGCTTGCTTTGTGGTATTTGGGTATGTTAGCATCGGATGACGAACAATGGGGTTTACCATAATATCGACAATATGTAACCTGTCCAGGACTTTCCTACGGTTCCATCACGTTCTCCATATGATACTTTCCTTTATTATTTTTCATTACTCTGCGAGGTTTTCACAACTGCGTCAACAACCAGTATACGGGCAAGTGCTCAGGCCATCAACTGGTCATCCTCTGTCTTATTCGTTGTAGAACTCAATGTCGTATGCTTACAATAATGTGCGTTCACTTTCAAACTGCTAATATCTCCGCATAGCTGCATCCGAGAAAGTACCTTCGCTGAGCCACGGATCGATCACCACTTTGCATACTCGAGCATCTTGGCCGAGGCCGTACAGGATCCATCGAAGCTCTTGGTCGATGCGGGCTGTTGCATGGGAACTGATATTCGGAAATTGGTTCTCGATGGTTTACCCCCAGAGGTACATTCTCATTCCCTGTGCAGAAAGGGGAGGGTCACTGACATCTGCATCAGAACATTCTAGGGTTGGATCTCGAGAGTCGTACGGCGTTCCCCATCCGAATCCTGCCTTCCCCTCTCGTTGTCGAGGGTGCCGCTAACATATGATCTAGGGTACTTCGACGTCGGCAGAACCCTCTATAATGAAGACCTTGCCACCACCAAACTCCGCTTCCAACAGGCCGACCTAGTGGACCCAAGCTTCCCTTCCAAACATGCCCATCTCCACAACAAATTCCACCTCGTACACTCCGCCAACGTGATCCACCTTTTCGGCGTAGCCGAACAAGAGATCTTCTTCCGCAATCTCATCCATCTCGTCGCACCGGGCGGCATGATTTGGGGTCGACAGGTTGGCCTGGCGGATGATCTTGGGGTGGGCCATCACCAGTTAGAAGGGAAAGGGGCGAGGTTTACGATTGATGAATTTCGGAAGTTGGTGTTGCGGGCGGGAGGTTGGGGTGAGACGGAGGCGAGGTATGAGGCGCAATTCGTGAAGTATCGTGAGATCCGGGCAGCACATCAGTATAAGGCGTGGGTTTTGCAGTGGAGTGTTCAGGTACCGGTAGAAAAGGAGAGAGGGAGGGAACGGGGGCTGCTTAGGGTTGTTGAGGAAGAAGATTAAGCACATATATGGAACCCGCGGGATGCAATGAGTGTCTACCTTATGCATGACACAAGATCCTTGGCCCTGCGCCGAACTAGCAAAGTAGACTGATACCGTAGATCAATCACAGGCCTTCGGCCAACAGTATTATCGGTTGCATTGGCTATTTTGAAGCAGCAAAAGTGGGTCGATGCCGGGTAGTTGCGTCCCGATTCCGACCCCTCACCTTCCCCTCAATTTTCTCACCCACATTGCGGCTATCCTTGTAAAACGATGGCTCTGACTAAGATCCACGAATAAGAAGAGAGTTTCGTTTCAAAAGGGGTGCCCTCCCGGGGTAATGCCGTTGTAGATAAATATCTCCAGAGGCGGGCTGCGTTGGTGCAGGAAGAGCAGGAACAACGACATGGTTCACCTCCCGTATCAAACCCAATAGCGGCGATGGACGTAATAGGCTAACTGATCCCTTCACCAGACTATCAATTCCGAAAGTTACTATCGCCAACGGCCATTCGCGCGTGCGAGATTGCCTCCCAGATTCGTGCGCGAGAAGTGAAAGATGTGGAGGAGGCACTCCACTATCGTGATAATGATGATAAGGCTCATCATAACAAGGGTGACCTGCATCCCAAACTCTGGGATATAGTCAAACGGATGCCGAAGGGATCACTACTTCATGCTCATTTAGAAGCCGTATTCGAAGTTGAGTACATGATTGACCAGTGCATGAGCACGCCAGGGATGTACATGACTGCCGAGAAACCCTTCCTTGTGTCAACCGATTTTCAGGAAGCCGCATTCACATTTCAGTATGCTTCGTCGTCAGGGATTAGTGAGCACCAGAAGCAGTGCAATTCCATATGGATGCCCAATTATGAGAGCTCGTCTTTAATTCCAGTCCACATTGCCACTGCCTCATTCCCGCAGGGCGGCAAGGCTGGCTTTCGTGCCTGGTTGAAGACTCGCTGTGTTTTCATGCCAGAGCACTTATCTACACACGATCATCACAGGTCGGATAGGATTTGGGCTGTCTTTGGACGTGTTTTCCCCATCATAATCAGTATCTTGTCATACGAGCCCATCTTCCGCCGTGGCTTCCGACGGGCACTCAGTCAGCTAGCTTCAGACGGGGTCCAATACGTTGAGTTTCGAATGGGTGGCTGGAATCATTTCCAAAGCGAAGGGTCTGATGTCCCGTCTGCAGATCCGTTTAATATATACCGGGTGTTAGAGGAGGAAATACGGCTTTTCAAAGCCAGCGCGGAAGGAAAACACTTTCACGGAGTACGAATCATCTACGCCGCCAAACGGTCCTACAACGTGGAGAAGATCATGGATCGAATGGAGATGTGTATCCGACTGAAGCTACGATTCCCAGCAATGATCTGTGGATTTGACCTGGTCGGTCAAGAAGACCAGGGACAGTCCTTGGTGGAGCTCATGCCACGCTGGTGTGGTTTCGACGACGGTGCCATGACGAAGGGATAGACGAGATTCCTCTTTTTCTACACGCAGGTGAATGCCTTGGTGATGGCGACGCAACGGACCAAAATCTGTTTGATGCCATTCTCTTAGGAAGCCGGAGGATTGGCCATGGATTTTCACTATACAAACACCCGCTCTTAATTGATATGATCAAGCAGCATCGGATTTTGATCGAGTGCTGCCCCATCTCCAACAAGGTTCTCAATCTAACAAACTCCATCAGGTCTCATCCTTTACCCGCACTCTTGAGTCGTGGTGTTCCGGTGGCACTCTGTAACGATGATCCAGGCATCATAGGGTGTAACACTGGCCAGCATGGAGGAGTAAATGGCTTGACCAACGACATCTTCCTGACAGTGCAGGCACTAGAGAATCTGGGATTGTCCGGGTTGGGCGTGATGGCGGAGAACTCAGTGCGATGGAGCTGCTACGAGGATCAATCCACTGAAGAGTGGCAGGCAGGTATCCAAGATGGACGTGAAGGGAATGGATTAAAGGCGACTCGTCTCCAGCAATGGCATGTACAGTTTGAGGAATTTTGTAAGTGGATTGTCACAGAGTTTGGGGAAGCCGAAAGCGAACATACACTCCATCTCTCACTGTAGATATATACGCATCAAGCAATTAACTGTAGGTTTAATCTTATTCCCATAGGATAACACCAGTGTCTTGGTCTAGTGACTGTTTAACCCACCCCTGTTTAAAAATAGAGATAAGCCTTAGCCAGCCCTATCTTTAAGGGATCTATATTTCTAGGGTAGAGATTCAACCCAAGCCATCACCGATCTAGGGAGTTTAAAAGGGATAGCATGCTAGTTTATCCATGCACCACTAGTCTACTGTCCACTAAAGTGAAATTTCGATCTACTTCTCTTCACAATCTGGCAAAATTTCCTATCCTAGTCTCTACCAAAGGTCCCATGGAATCGGCATCTGGTCAGTTTTTCGTGATCACCTGTGCCCCCGCCGCTACAGGTGCGTGGCAATGTGCACGTTAGCTGTTGTTAGTTCTCGGCGGAATGGGCGGGGGGCCTTGGGGTGGGGAGAAAACTGTGGGATAGGAACCTTCTGCTTTCGCCGGTAACATTCGGTACAGCTCGTCGTAGGCCTGCCCTTTTGGCTAATAGCTGCGGAGCAGATTCAAGAGGATTGGAAGTTTTTATTATAGGCTCAACAACGATGTTGATCTTGGACACAACTAATTTCCATACGGCAGGAGTTCATAAGAGGCGAGAGCTGCGGCAACATCGCCAGGCATTCTTGTCGGCCAGGGATATTTATGTTCCGGCAATTCGTGACCTTGAACTCTGAATTTCTTGTACCGTAATAGTATTTGTGTTCTTTTAAGTTGAAAAACAAAATGCACTGAAACACGCAAACAGTCATCTCCATTGAGGGGGCTAAAGTACACGGAGTATTCATCAGACCATATTTGGTACTGGCGGTAATGGTCGATTACCTGAAAAGAGTCTGCCTCGAATCTTCGATAAAGAACAGGTATTATTACGTTGTATGCACAAAACCTGTTATTTACGCAATAACCATATCTAGAGGAGCGAAACATGTGACTAGGGTTTGAAAGAGCATCTATATTTCCGACATGGAAAGCAGTAACGGTTGTGACTGTAGCCTATTTGCCAATAGAGCTAGTGTACTGGCTACACAGACAGACTGAAACCTGGAAGGATGGCAGTGAGACCCTGGGATGGATATTCTTCACAGCAATAGCAACTTTTTCTTAGGCTATCAAGAGACGTGGAGCATTATGACGTTATAAGACAGATATACCCGCTTACTGATGGTAATCGGTGGTGAGTCAGGGACAGGGAAGTTAGCCCTACAGGGTGAGTAGTCAGTTTTCCGTTTTGATAATGTGAAGCCAAGCAAGAAAGGTTCGAGTCGGTAAGGGTATGACGTCACCTTTCTTATTCTTCAATTGTAAGTCTGCATCTTTTCATATGCGCTGGACCCGCGCCAGTGGATCAACTGATGCATGGAATGAGGTAATATGCCTGGCAAGCCACAGCCAAGTCCATTATTTACTTGCTTTTCACCCTGTAGATGCCCGAACTGGTATAGCTCCTACCTGGGCCAAATATCGACGACTACCTCGAGGTAACTGGAAGTCAATCGTCTATAAATCCAGGGATCGCATCGCGAAGGTTTAATCTACCATCAGCCCAACCCAGGTGAGCACGCCAGCAAAATGCAGCTCCTGCCCGTCGCTCTACTCCTCGGAGCCCTAAGCGTTCCCACCGCCAGTGAATCCTTCAATCCCCTCAACCACCTCGCTGGCATAGCTGCCTACCGCACCATCAATGACCCCCCATTAGAATCTTCTCCTCCACAGGGATGCAACGTAACAAAGGCGGCATATCTGATCCGGCACGCAGCCATCTATGCTAACGATTTCGATTACGAAACCTATCTCGAGCCGTTTGTGAAAAAGCTCCGCAACACAACGCAAGACTGGTCGAAAACGACGGATCTCAAGTTCCTAGCGAATTGGTCCGCCCCCGTTGACGAAGAGCATCTTGAAAAGGTCACGAAAGTCGGGTACAAGGAAGCTGTGCAGTTAGGCGTCAACTTCCGCACCCGCTATGCTAATCTACGCCATCCGAGCAAAGTCTGGTCATCCTCTGCAGATCGAACGACCAAGACAGCCGCCGGGTTTATTGAGGGCTATACACTCAACAAAACCACGGGGATGCATCTCGTAGAAGTTAAAGAGAAGAAGAATACGGGCGTGGACTCCCTCACTCCTTACAAAAGTTGTCCCGCGTATAGTGGAAGCTACGGTAGCGACCAGTCCCAAGTACGCATCTCCTTACCTCACCTTCCCCGTTTCTGCAGCTAACAGGAGTAAATCAGGAATGGATAGAGAAGTACACTGCAGCTATCAAGGAACGGTTGAATGACCAAGCGCCTAACTTCAACTTCACGACTTCCGACGTAGTAAGCATGTTCGAGTTCTGCGGCTACGAAACCGTCATCCGGGGCGACTCACCTTTCTGTGCCACCACTCTCTTTTCTTCGAATGACTGGCTCGCCTTCGAGTACGGCGAGGATATCAGGTACTTCCATAACGTGGGATACGGGAATTATGCATCGCCAAGGATTGGCTTTCCATGGGTGAATGCTAGCTTGAGTCTCCTTGCTTCCAACTCTAGCCAGGATGTTTATGTTTCCTTCACGCACCGCGAACTCCCACCGACTGTTATCACAGCCCTGGGTCTCTTTAACAACAGCGCCTTTTCGGGTGCCAATAATGTCAACAAGACTATGCCGACAGATAAGATCAACTACGGCCGACAGTGGAAGAGCAGTGACATTTTGCCGTTTTTGACGAACATTGCCATTGAGAAGCTGAGCTGCGATAGCTATGGATATGATGAGGGCGAGTATTACCGGGTGTTGGTGAACTCGAGTCCCCAGCCTTTGGAAGAGTGTCGCGGTGGGCCGGGAGATAGTTGTGGTGCGTCAAAGTTCGAGGGCTTTGTACAAGGGCTGGGGGTAAGATTTGGGGACTTTGTGGGAGCTTGTGGTGCGCCTAAGAACGAGAGCCAAGTTGTGACGATCTATAACTAAGTTTGCCGGTGGAAGCTGGGTTGGGCGATAGATAAATGGGGAAGTGATATATAATGACTAATAAATAATCTGTTCGGCGCCTCTAAGTGTATTGAAGTCTAGTACTGTTGTCATTAGTTCGAAAAGTACAGTGCTAAAATAACTCACTTTCTTTCTAATGCAGGACCTCATATTATGGGCTAAAACGTTGTCTATTGATCGGACCCTAGAGTGTTAGTATTCATATGGATTTCCTTGCCAGTCTAGAAGAACATGGCATAGACTTATCGTTTGGAAACAATGATACAAAGTGATACTGCACCTTCTAATTAAGCATTTCAGTTGCAATTTAATAGGACTATAGGGTGGTTATGTATCAAGTGCTAACAATTAAGGTACTATGGCTCTTAGATTACTATGTTGGTTTCGATAAAATTAAGTCATTATCAATAGCAGTCATGCATTCCCTTTCGTCGGAAGTTCCCAAATTCAGTTCTCCAACTACTGCATAATCACCATATTTCTCAAACAGTCCCGCGTTTCTGCCTAGTCGGCCATCGAATGATTATGTGCTTAGGTCTTATATCCGAACAGACAGTGCAGGGCTCATTGAGGCGTTGGTTGTTGCGCATCACTGTGTGAGGTTTGGCCCACGTCCGTATGGAGGCTGGTTGATTGACTTGAGAATGAAAATTGGGAGACGTTGTATTGTGGATGCAGCATCAGATTGCTAGAGCCTGAGATCATCCCCTTAAGAGGCGATGCTGACAAGTACGCTCGTGGCGCTAAACCTTCTGCTTTGCTCTCAGGTAAATGGCACAGTACCTGTTAGTGAAGTAGGACATTAGCACATATTTCCTCATTCAACGAACTAACCAGGGACAGCAATGGAGTTTAGCTTACCCAACCGTCATCATAAACCTTCGAGACTGTAACAGTTTGACCCTGTTTGAGCTCTATATGCTTGGCATTAGCCGGTGTGAAACTTATCTCTACCGAAAATACCTCTCCCATCGCAGCCTTCGAGTCGACTGGTGTAATTGGGGGACTGGGTTCTTCATGTTTTTCATGTTGCTCAGGCTCCTCGGGCACACCAGGTAGCGATGGTGGTGTGCAAACTCGTGTTGATGTTGATATACTGGAGGTCTCAACTCTCAGCGTAGGGGTTGGTTTTGTTATATCCCTGTCTCGGGGGCCCTCGGGGGCCAACACCTCCGTAGAAGCAGTATTCTCAGGAGGTTGTAGCTTCTCGAGGTCGTAGAGGTTCGCCTCACCTGGTGCACGAGACTCGTTCCATTCAACGTGATCTCCATATTTATTGCATGAACTTTCACCGCTGCGCATGGATGAATGACTAGCGACACGAGTCCGTTTCCAGGAGGGCTTGAACAAGCTATATCCGCCTAATGCGGCCACACTCCTCTCGAGGAGCGACGGTCCGTCATCTTTCATATAATCTCCTTCTTCCAACGAGCTGTTCCGCTTCCTTGCCGCCTTTGCAGCCTGTGACTTTCTATACAGCCACCACAGGATAACACCTACCATTGCCGCCGCAACGACTCCGACACTAACAGGGACTGCAATCTTCGTAGCAGCGTTTGGATTGGTCGTATTTGAGCTAGAAGAATCATTGGTAGCTGTCGGCTTACTTGTGATACTGGAGGTTGGGGACGGCGACGATAGCTGCGTTCCCGTCCCATCAGGACGAGAGTTTGTTGATGTAGGGTTGGTCACCGAGCCAGGATTCCATCCATCAGGATGATAGAGACCGTCACTCGGTGTCCATTGTTGTGCCCCTTGACCATTCGCATTTGCGTGCTCTGGATGATAGAGCCCATCGTCTGGAGTAGCTACTCCGGCCTGAGAGGGGCTACCATCTGCTGCCAGCTGCCCTCCGTTTCTATTTCCCCCAGTATTCTGTCCCTCGAGGTAGAGACTGGCAGTTGGCGTCGGTGTCTGCGCAAGTTGTGTCGTCGATGTTGATTGGGTCGCCTGCAGGCCGCTCGTCGTCGTACTGGCTTGTGGTTGTTGTCCTGAAACCGAGGCCGGTCCTGGATTCTGAACGCTACCACCCGACGTCGTACCCTTGCGACCATGCATTCGTCCCTTGGCCTCCAGGGCGGCCTTGTACCGTGCCGTAGACGCCGCCATCTGACCTAGATGACTCTTCCCATTGCCCTCCTGTCACACCCTGACCAGAGTAAGAGAGACCATTCCCTGTTGCAGATGTTTGTGCATGTTGGTCCCCTGACGCTGTCTGACCCGGGTGGTATAAACCATCATCCGGCGTAGCCGATTGCGTTTGTCCATCCCACGACGGGCCTTGGTATCTTGAGTAGCGACCGGCGGAAGCTCCTTCAGACTGCATCGTTCCTAATTGATGATCAAACGCTTGCACTAATGCTTCCGCGAGGCTGCAATCGAATCAGATAACCTCAGTATTTCTTCTGAGCCGGAGTTTGAGAGACAAAGATCGAAAGCTTTCAAGCACGCGATGAAAGGTGCTACAGACTCACTTATAGAGGCGTCAATTGAACCGAAAGAGATGGTAAACAGTTAGCATTCCAGGCGAGGAATGTACCATCAGTAGCGACACACGTCAGATATTTTCTCGCGTATGATTCTTGGATATCTCCATAGCTTACTTTGGGCTGCTACGACCGTATGTGCTTCAAGTTGGTTGTATAGGGTGTTGAAATCAAAACTGGGCAAATAGGCGCGGGAATTGACTGTCTTACTCTGAGCGAAGTAGACCCTAAATCTGACCTTGCTCCCCACCTCCATGTAAGTTCATTTTAACAGCCGTATTAAAACATGCTTATCGATGTCATTTTAGCCTTAGTAGGGAGAATAATTTACTGAATTGACCACAATTCAAGGCGAACACCCCTTGAAACGCGTTGGGAATCTCAGGACTCGACAAGGACTATCTTCATACCTATCTAGCCTAGTTTCTCGTGTCTGAGACACCTAGATAAGAAAGCGTCAGTATACCGTAGTCAACCTATGGGTAGGTGCCTCATGATCAGGAAAAATAGTCTAAGGGTGTGAACAAGGTCGCTCATTCCCGTAGGCATATTGCCGAGAAAGCTTGGGGCCAGGATTAAATTCTGAATTATTCTCAGCCACCGTGAACACACAGCACCAGCAATGTACAATGGTGCGAGAAGCTACATGACTCGTGTAACATGATCAACGCGGTCAAAGGACACTTGTTAGAGCCAGATAAACACTTACTAAACATTCCAAACTCTAAGAATCCATGAAAGGGATCTGCCCCTTTGCCCTAACCGACATTCTTCAACTTGACGGGACCCACGACGGCAATGAATAAGGTTTGGCTTTTGCTGTTAGTTGAATGCGAGAATAAGAATGGCAGTGTTGCGGGAACTTCTAAGTTGGCCTTGGGTTGTATTTCTAGTAAAACGTCGTTCTAAGCAATTAAGTTAGCAAGCGATTCAAATTGCTTAGGTCGAGGTATGGCTTCTAGCGACATCACTATATACACTCGTTACAACTGGAATTTTGAAGCCTCTATATAAGTTATATAATTTACGCAGTAAACCCCGCTGGAGGGAAATTTCATACAACTGTTTAACTCTCTATACACAATTCCTTATAAACGAGTAAAGCGGGATTTTCTAAGCAGTAATATAATTTGAAAAGTAAACTAGTGCCGCGTTTTTCTCTTATTTAGTCTCAAGCCTTACCAACAAGAATATATATTTTCCTGTAGCAGAATACAAATTACTATCAACTTACCCCTGGCTGCAGAGAAGATTATTGAATATGTAATATAAATTATACAAATTTAGTCAAATCCCAGTGATAACTAGTCTATATAGGAATTTCGCTATAAGCAATTCCCAGAAATAAGCAATTTGAGTCGCTTGCTGAATTGATTGCTTATAACGGGGGTTTACTGTATATACATAGAGTGGTACGAGGAACCTCACTAACCCCAGCGATTTCCGGGGGCGGGTCTTAGATGTCGAAGCCGAACCCGCCCCAAATCCAACTCTAGGCGCTGCAACTAGTTTTTCATCTTTAGTATTCTTATACTGCGCAGTACATGCTGTCCTGGCTCCCGGACTGAAACCACCCGAAGAAAGCCGCGTTGTGGAGCCTGTTACTATCATGGATTCGCCCTTCCAGAGACGTTAGGAACTCCCTCTAGATAACATACCAAAGCTTGCTGCAATGCCAGTGAATTGTTATGTACGAACTGCTAAGTTAACAGCTTCCGTCCAGGGACATTGAAACATGCGATTAGAGATCAATCCCATGGCGAGTTGGGTCAGCTTGGGTACCTATGCGTCGGGCTAACAGGGAGACCGGAACCGCGGATTGGATTGGATTGGAACACTATCTAACATTGCTCGGCACACCTCTCGAAGGGCGACCGGGGGTGGCACCTAAGTAACATGCCTGAAATAACAACCGTGAAGCGCCATGTGCTGAAAGAGTAGAAGGGCCTACGGGTACTACCCTGACCCGGGCCCCTATAGGCAGAGTACTAGGCCTAGTCTTTTCCAACAGTGAAATTCTTCCCCATAAACCGTAGATCCCTCGTCTCTAATCCTGCGGTGTTGCAGTTCCCTAGCGGTGCCATGCCACTTATCTAGGTATGTACGGCCTTGATAGTGCAAAGGGAAAATAACCCAAAACCAATATGGAACAGGGGAAAAACATCCACAGATGTCGGTAACGCTTTGGATGGAGAGGTAGGGGTCAGGGTAAATGAGTACACACACACACACACACACAAAAGCACACAAACACACCCCCTGTATATTCTCAATATGTAACCATGTATACGTAAATATCTTGGCACGCATCTCACTCGCCTATAACATATTTCGTGTTCTAAGGCTATGTATAACTCTCCATAGCTGTAGTTCGCTTACGACCAAACCCAAGTATGTATCATCTGACGAGGAATGCGGTGTGCGAATCTTCAGCCAGCCACGCAGGAAGAATCGTCGATCTTCTCGCCAATTTCGTTGACCTGGTCATCATGGTGTGGTCACTGTACACTCCCGTAGGGAACAGTTCGAGAAATCGAATCAACACCAAGCTATACTCAGGCCGCGTTCAATATTACGAACGTGCGCATGCTAGGCTGGAAGGTCCGAATGATGAAATCAGCAACTTGGCTAAGGAGGATCATCTTTGTTAGCTACAATAGAAACGAATCTTCTCAACTAGAACATAGATCAATTCGGGTAAGACAGAAGAAGCTATCTGCTATGACGCGGCGTCAGGTATTATAAAACGGACAGCGATTGTAATATACAGCATGACAACTCTTCTTCGTTCTCTTTTATTATTGAATGCCTTCTTCCACTTCACAGACTTGTAAACCCTGGTAAGCATATATACCTCCTCTGCTTGTTTTACCCCATGGCTATCCAAGGCAGGTATGCTAATAAATTCGTTGACTATTATAGTAGTTACATTTTCATTATCTCTATACGCTTTATACCCTCGCCGACTGCTGACCACGCCACCGATTTCGGTTCGGTCTATCATCCTGGCCTTGGTCGACTAGGTCTGTGGGACTGTTCCACCTCAAACGTAAACGAGGTATTGTGCACATGGTATACCAGGACCAATCCACTATCTGTTTCCGGAAACAAGGAGAGATAGGTCATCATGGCGCTGAAGCAACGACCTCCTCACTAGAGCCTGCGCCGTGACATCTTCTCAGGAAGCGACATCAAGGCCCGGAGAAGTTTCGCATCATCCACAGACTGAACATCCCGTTTGAAATTCTTCGGCCACACATCGGCATACGTGAGGTTCGTGAAAAGAGGCACATCCGTCTGACAGATCGTTCCCTTTGCGGGCAATGTGCCATTGGCAAAGTAAGCCCGGACCGCCTTGGCCGTGCAAAGAGACGGCATGGCCAGAGTAGTATGCTGTCAAGAGTAGATTAGCTGCGTGCTCGCATGAAATGGAAATCAAGAAATTCTTACCCCGTAACCGTTTTGCTCGAGCAAAACACTTCTCTCAAACGTAGCGGTCAGGTTCTTCGCCGCCGTAAGCGGAGTAGATGGGTCGAAGGTGTTGCTTAGCACCAATACAGGGTGGGCTGTCTTCACATCGAAGTCGCCAGTGTACCGTTCCTTGGCATACATCTTCCGATTCCATTGTGCGCATCGCATGTCACCATTAGAACCATCGCCTGCTATCTTGCTCAGCGACGCCCTGGCCTTGCTGTACGGTAGCACATCCGCCAAGCTGGCTGATTTTGCCTTGTCAGAACATCTGATCCCGTCCCCTACCTCGTTGGAAGATGAAGTCAATGACGCCGACAGGCCGTAAGATTTTAGGGTCAAGTACACCTTGGGAGTACCAAGGACGCTTGCGTTGCGGGTCTGTACGTAATAAATGAGCTCCGAGGTCAACGGCCAGGAGCTTGGAGCGTATAGCGCCTCGAAGATAGTAGCCTTGACGTCGCTGTAAGTCACGACCCCTCCATTGTCTGGGATGGGAATGGGATTGAACTTGAGCGCTTCGAGCATCATGTAAATCGCGGCTTCGAGGTTGGCGGCACTACTGTACAGCTTCGATAAGGGGCACAGGTCAGGTGCGTCAAAGCAGCCCGAGCAGAAGCCTCGTAACACGGTGTCGACGTCCACAACGGCTTGTGCGTTGCTGTGTAGAAAAGAGAATGGGTTGTCAGCTTTGTTCAGTTTGAGAATATGTAATTACTTAAGGACCTGCTGTTGATAAGCAAAGGTATCACTTACTATCCGTTGAGGTATTCGGCCGGATTATCAACGCCATCGAGTGCCACATAACCCATTCTTTCCGGGAACATGGCTGCCATGACAGCACCCACCGTAGTGCCATATGAGATTCCTGGTGAGTGACAATTAGGGAAATGTACCACGGGTCTAGGTGGAACTGTGGCTCTTACCCCAGTAGTTCAGCAAAGCATCCTTTCCGCTAAGAGCATCAAGGACCTGCATCGTGTCCCTGGCCGCAAAGCTCGTCCCTATAAGACTTCCATTCTCGCCGTTCTGGGCATAGCACGCCCGTGCAATGTTTGTGCTCTGGGCCCATATTTGCCCCCAGGCGATGTTGGATGCTGTGCCATCTGCTGGAGCCTGGAGCGATGCAAGCTCTCTGGAAGAATCATTGCTATAGCACGAAAACGGAAGGGTGTTTCCAACGCCCCTAAATAGATAATTAGAATGGTTCATAAGCTCATGTATACTTGGGTCACAAACCGAGAGTTGAAGGCTATCAGGTCGTTACGACCTCCAAGGATACTAGAGAAGAAATGTATTTCAGTATTTGACTGGTAAGTTTTGCCTATCGCCTTACGTCTGGAATTCCTCTCCATATGATCCAAGACCCTCGAATGAATTTACACCAGGTCCCCCAAAGTTGAAGATGATAGGTTCTGCGGCCGGTGTCTTGGTCGCCGGCCACTTGGCAATGTCAAGAGTCAAGGTCTTGTTGGACTGAGAGTCTGTGTAGTCCAATGGCACGTCGAGTGTTCCACAGATCATTGGCCCTGTAGCATTTGTTGGGTCACAAAGTCCTTTCCAGTGGATCTTTCCTAATTCCGCTTGTGTGAGTGAAGCCAAGGACAGCAGTCCGGCGACGAAGGGTGAAGATTGCCTCATGTTCAAGTCACAAGGTGTATTTCAACAGTTATAAAGACAACGGTCGAGGAGTTGATAGCGCATCTCCAACTGAGAAAGCAGGCACTCGGCCAGTGTTATATAGGTACTCGGATACACGAATCAGCATGAGGCCACAAGGCACAGCCCATGCCGATTCTCAAAATGGATCAATCCGCGAGGTAGCTTATTGCTGGACAAGGCTGACTCGGCCCCCAATATTTAGAGTCTCCACATCGACTTCCATTATTCTCACTACAGTCGGTAAGTGTACCGATGATGCGGCTGACGGTGGCTTAGGACTGAGATCGGCACCCACTAGTGCTAGCTAAGAGAAAATGGCCCCCAGGGCTCCTCTATAATAGGCCGAACATCTCAGTTACCACATTAAGTTTGGCGTAGGGAATGGGTTGAATGAGATCGGCACCCAGATAGTACCAACGCAGATATTAATGCCGACGTCTTGCATAAAATCGCCCCCACGGTTGATACCCTAGCATCCCAATTACCTTCTTCAGTATGGTGGAAGAAAAAGAATGCTGCGTAGTAAAACGTATCACAAGTGGGGAAAGAAGAAGCTTGATCAATCATATTTGCAGCCAACATTGGGCGACTGTGTATCCCTATTCCTCGGAAAGCTCTACTCCTTCGCGTGTCTATCTTGCGGATAGATGAATATTTGTGGGGATATAATGCTGTCACAATGGAAGGCTGCAGTCGGATTCCAATGAAGTTAGAGAAGCTTTGAAGGATCCATCGCCGAGCATTCAGAGGGACTTGGCACAGAATTAAGCATTGACAGTCTATGCGTTGTATGAGCCACCTGCCTTGGTGTCAGAGTGGGAGATTAAAAAACAAGAGGGCTTTCGAAAATTGAGGACTCGATATTCAATGGCTAATCGAAAAACACGCTACTCATTTAATCCTGGCCTTCTATTCCCGCATTGGTACTGCATTTCATGTTCCCTTTAACAACGAAAAGAAAAGAAAAGAAAAAAAAAAAAAAAAACGACACTGAAATCAGTTTACACTCTCAACAAATCCATCCTTCAACTGCCAAATAGACAACTAGACTGAATTGTATTTTGGCTCAGTTCCGACCTCGGGTTCCTGCTCAGGTCGGCGGAGTCTTACGAAATCTTTCTCAAGCACAGCCGACATGCTTAAGGCCATAGTGATAACCATGGCGGTAATCTCCTCCACCACCGCCATGCATAGATAGATAGTAGCGTTCCCCTTGATCGGAGAAAATCGCTGGTCGTCGCTGTCGTAATCACCGAGCGCCGAGTAAACTAACCTGAGAACCAGGAAGGGGGCGGAAAAGGCAGTTGCCAGGAACAGCTTGGTCTGAAACCGTCTCAGTGTGAAACAGAGCTGGAAGAACAACCAACTAGTCATCAAGACGGTGATAACGAATACAGCAATGAAGATACCCATAGACGCCTTTACAAGAGCGCCTGGATGGTAGGTATAAGTCCAATGCCCGTCAATCTTGGTATACGTTACATTGGCAGTGCTAACTCCCGCAATTCCAAGAATTAGGCCGACAAAACCCAAGACAGCCACCAGCGTGAGGGGCCTTCGAGGTATTCTTTTTTCTGTGTCACTGAGAGAATGGCACCTCTATTAGTCCACACTTATCGATCTCCAGGGTCTCCCTGTCAACAACTCACATTTGTCTCAAGATTCCAACGTAGGTCAGCAGCAGCGGTGCAAGGCCAATAAGCTCGCACACATTCTCCGCCCGCGTAACGCCAGTTGAGTGATGATCGATCGCTATCATGGTAGATATACTACCGGCAATTCGAAGGAGCGAGAGCGTGACGGGATATCGCCAAATCTTCCTTCCGACTCTCCAACCAGCCCTGTTCCAAATGAAAATTGCAGCGGCGAGGATAAATGGAAATATAATAAGTTGGAGGATAGCTATGCTATCCCGTTCATCGAGTTTTCCCATAATAGTAGTGAAAGAGTAGATCAACAGAAGGAAAAAAGATTTAGAGAGAATAAAACAGGCCAAGATAGAAAAGAACTTGCGGAATAAAACTGGCTGAGAAGAAGATGGTATGTCTCTTTTTATATCTACTGTCACCCTTATGGGCCTTGTCCTTCAGCATAGCCCCTCGTGTACGTCCTACAACCTTGTGGTTGACATACTTCCGTGGGAAGGGGGCTGTTTCGAGGTAGGCATTGTCATTGGCGGAGCATTTCAACTACTACGCAACAGAAGTTACCGCGAGCAATGGGCCTTTCATGGTGTGTGTTGGTCTGTGCTCATCCTGTCTTCCTTATGCTCTTCAGCTCAAACGTGGCTGTGGGTCAAGCGGACACCAATAATAGCATCGCCCTCGCAAAGCTAACGGGATCAGGTTTAGCGGTTTTTCGGTACATGCATCGAAGCCCTGATAAGATAGCATCACTGGCATTTCAATATAAGGTAACAACGGGGGCTATTACGAACCATTCAACTAGTCGAAGCCGAGACCTCTGCATCGTCAAGTTGGTTGGGCACTCCGTGTAGAGTGTAGAGCTGATCATCGAGTGCAGTCACCAACCAGAATAGTCAATCGGGGCCACCTGTGGGCTCTGTTCAGCTGAGGATGTAACGAGAATGCCGTTGTAATCGAGTCTCGTGGAGTATATATTGGTAGGCGAAGACGCGGTGTTTCTTGTATGAACAAAGCCCTGAAAACGTCGATCGCAGCGAGAGCTTGTCTAGGTTAAGCTTCCTTGAAATTCACCTGGATAAGCTTGGCAGCAGAGTTCTTGCAGCCTACACCAATGTTCCTGTTGCATCCGTCCGCATTGTAATCAGAATGGCACTGCGCAGTGAGTCACACGCAAGAGTATCCCGGAGTTGCGGCAACTGTCGTGCTGTTAAGCGACGTGTGCGTATTATTTACCTTCTTCCTGTTCCCTGTCATACACCAAGATGTGTTCTAATTCGCTTGATCACTTCACAGTGTGATCAGCAGCTTCCTCACTGTGGACAGTGCATTCGCACCTGCGAAGAATGTCCTGGGTACCGAGACGAGTGGGACCTCGTCTTCCGCAACCAGACAGATCACACTATAAAACGGTCCAAACAGAAAAGGAGACAGAGAGAGGACACGTCCACTTTACCTAGGAGCTACAGCTCTAACCCACTATCGCTTCCCGAGCTGAGCAATAGCTATGATGCAATAGGAGTCAATTATTTCCTCTGCAACTTTGTCACCAACTACCGATCCTCTTCGCGCGGATACCTTAACTATATTCCAGCTGACTATGTCATTGATAGCCAGCGCTCACCAATGTTGGTGGCCAGTATGGCCGCTATTGGACTTGTTACATTAGCTAATACAACTGGGCAACCACAACTAGCCAAGCATGCGCGCGCTAAGTATTCAGAAGCGATCAATCAGGTAAATGTGGCACTGGCATCACCCACAGAGTCTATCAAAGATAGCACCTTGATGACAGTGATCTCGCTAGGGCTCTTCGAGCACGTTTCGGACTTTTCATCCTGGGCCCGTCATGTCCAGGGAGCTGCTGCGCTGGTGGTTGCCCGAGGCAAGAGTCAATTCTCATCAAGGGCCTCATTTCTTATGTTCAACCAAGTCCGCGCGGATATGGTGGCTGTCTGTATGCATAGTGGCCAACCGTTTCCGGAAGACATGTGTAAGTTGCAAGAGGAAGTAACCAAGCACATGGACCCTACGAGTGCGTTCTGGCACCTCGGTGTAGTGGCCACCCAGTGCACAAAGCTTTTATCGTGTGTCAGGAAGAATAGGGGGCAAATCCCTTGGCCTACATTACTCCAACAGGCGACTGGTCTTCAGGAGGAGTTGCAATATATTATCGGGGCCCTCTCTATGCAATCAGGCTATGCAACTTCCCAGAAAGCAGGCGAAGACCCAGCGGTCTTTTACAACGAGCGATTTGACGTCTACACGAACTCTTGGGCTATCAGGGTTTGGAACAACGCACGAATCCTTCAGATTAGAACCTGCGACTCTATACACTATATCTCGAACCAAATTCTTTCTACAGACCTGGAACCAGTTACCCGGGCCCATATAGAGCTACAGCGTTTAGACACACAAGAAATCGTGTCAAAGCTTGGCAAGGATATAATATCCACCGTTCCACAGGCCTTGGGGGCTATATCTTCGGCATCTGAGACAGGCCACGCTATCGATGTTTCGTCCCCTATCAACGGGTCGGCTGGATATATGATGACCTGGCCTCTCTATACGGCAGGGAAGTCATTGCTCATGGAAGGTGAAGCCCGGAAGTGGATCATTCAACGTCTTCAGGAATTTGGCCACACCGCAGGAATCACGTTAGCCCTGCAACTTGTGGAGAATATTATCAAGATAGATCAATGCGCCAACCGAGAATCCCTGATCTGATATCAGCTTCCTTTCAATGGTTGAACTGAACGATTATCAAGATTGAACATTGAATGTGCACTACAGTGGGGGTCCATTTATCAGGCAGAGAGTGACGTATAGTAAGCCAGACATGAATAAATATCAATCAAGCTTTCACAGACCTACCAGCAGTCCTGTTATAAAAGAAATGCTCAAGATGCTCAGCAATAATAAGATTGAGGGCCACAGGAGGATGAGGGGCTACTTACAGTTCTATGGCAAAGAAGTAGGATAGTTGTAATTCCGTCAGAATTTATTGAACTCTGTAGAACCAGATGGTACATACGACCACAGGGTGTGGAGAACAGGGCTTCCCGTCCGCTCAGCCGTACTTAAGCCACATGTTGAACGCGGCCGACTGGAATATGTGCCCTTTCGAGGTTGCTGCTTTATGGGTAAGCGCCGCTAGGTCGTAGGGTGAGTGTGGGTAATTTGGGTGATGTTGTCGAGAGTGCGGGTGAGCTAGTGGGTGAGCTAGTGGGTGAGTTAGATAATCCGGTAGGATTTTTGTGAAATTAAATAGGGGCGCTTGACCTGGTTATCCTTTATTTTTTTTCTCCTTTAAGATACTTGTTTTCAAGAAACGGTTTAATATGTGATCCTATACGGAAATCAACTATATTATGTGATAAATCCTTATTATCTAAAGAGGAAAGGTAGAGAAAGGTTGATAAGTTTCGTAAATTTGGTAAATTATATAGTTTTACCAGAGAGTACTAGTAAAATGTAAAAAAGAAAGAGAATAAAATATACTATAGAAAGAGCACTCTAGCTACTATAAAAGATATAGTAAAGTTATTAAAAATTAGAAAATATAAATAATTAAATTATTTTACTACTTATTTAAAAGATATTTCTAATTTAAATTTAAATAGATAATAATCTAAGATAAATTTAAAGATAGATATTTTTTAAAGCTAAAGTCTAATTTTTTTAGCTAGATTTTGAAATTCTTTTCTAAAAATTTTATCTATTTATATAAAGGGGATATACTATTTTAATATAGTATAGACTATAATTTATCCTATTTTATTACTAAATAAAAAAGGAAAATTTCTAGGATTATTTTTAAGACTATTAAAAGTAATATCTATAATATATATTAGAAATATTAGAAATATTTCATCCTCTTTCTAATATTTAAATATTTACTTATCTATTTTTCAAGTATATCTATAATATACATTGGGGGTCAAAAGTCTGACTACACTAGCGCGTTTCCGCCGACGCGTCAAAAACTTATACTTTCTTCAACCACCTACTACACCACCATTATGAGGTCTTTTGGAACCGAAATTAGTGGAAATAGAAGGCTAAATCAAGAGCTTTCTACTGAGACGTGCGCGGCAATTATATCTGGTCTAGAGAATAATATATTGCCTACTCAACTTGCAAAGCAATTTAACGTCTGTCGCTCTACTATTTACTCAACCAAAAAACGCTTTCAACACTACTATACCTTGGAAAGCAAGCCTAGAAAGGGCAGACCTCAGAAGCTTACCTTCGCTGAAAAGCGCTATATATATCTGCTTACCCGCCGGAGGCCTAAAATAGGCTACAAGGCCCTGATTGCTAGCAGTGGTTTTTCAATCTCTCAGTCTACTATTAAGCGCGTACTTAGGACTTTTCATTTAAAAAAATGGAAAGCTAAGAAGCGTATATTTCTAAGATCTGATGTGGCTAAAAAACGCCTTCAATTCGCGCGTACGTGGGCCAATTCTATCCATTTACTTGAAATGATGTTTTCGGACGAATATTCCGTCTAACAAAAGTCGAATAATTCAACCCAATACGTGTTCCGCTTTTCTAATGAAGCATATAGAAAAGATCTAGTTAACCTAACAAACCATGGAAAAGATATTTCTCAAATGGTTTGGGGCGCTATATGGATTGGTGGCCGATCTGAATTAGTCGTTCTAGAACGGGATGAATTATCGCCTCGAGGTGGATACTCTACCAAATCCTATCTTACCTGCCTAGAAAAAAGGCTTCTACCAATCTATAAACCTGGCTCTATATTCCAACAAGATAATGCAAAGATTCATGTTTCCTACGAGGCGCAGGACTGGTTTGAAAGGCATGGAATTTAGGTGCCGGATTGGCCTGCACACTCGCCCGATTTAAATCCTATTAAGCACCTCTGGAACCTGCTTAAAAAGAAGCTTTTAGAGCTCTATCCAGAGCTCTTTCTAAGCGGTAGATCACAGATTGATTGGACGCAATTTAGGGAGAGTATTCAAGCTGCTTGGTGGGCTATTCCTCAGGAGCGAATAGATCGCCTTATTCGCTCTATGCCACGCAGACTTCAGGCTGTACGCCTGGCACGTGGCTGGTATACAAAGTATTGATATATGGATTTACTGTACTGTGCATATTCTTGATAAAGAGCCACAGTTAGGGGTGAGCCATGTTGCACTGCTAAGAAAACTTAATATCCAAGAGTTTTTGTCTACAGCAGCACATTCCCTGAATTTATTGGCCTACAGGTGCCCTCTTACGCAACTCACAAAAGCTAGGCGCTAATCCCCCCCTTTAGTATGTTGTCGGTCTCACTTGTAGCCTGCGGCGATGCGAGATTGGGATTCGATTGGCTGGTGGTTCCTCCATTGTCGAGGTTACGGGGCGGCGGCGGCTGGGATGATGATTGGATGAACTTATAACCCCAGTGTCCAAGTGTCAACCATGCGAATAGCACATAGAATAGCCCATACAAATGGCTTATCCGGAAGCGCGCTACATTCTTAGGGGTCTGTATACGATATTATTAGACAATTCGTTCTTTGTTTTCTATCCACAGTCCATCTCTATTAGCTTATATATGTCAAGCCAAAAGGGTAAAGTCATCATCCAGGACATCCTGAAGTTCTCATCTCGGATATTCTCAAGCTCACTACGGCGGCGACACGATGGCAGTGGAACAAAAAGATCGTATACCGACTTGTTAAGATGTCCGGCCGACAGGCAGGAGGTACTACGGCAGTAGAAGGCAGCCAATTTGGCCGGCTGGAGACTTCTTTTTCTACCGGAAGAGGAAGTATACGGCCGGGTGATGGTGTCGATCGTGTTGATCTAGGTTGCTCCTCATGCTGGGGTCGCCGGTTTGACCTAGAGTAGTCCTCATCTTTCGTAGTAGGCTCTCGGGAAAGGATGACTGCATGTTGTAGTTTGTAAATAGTTCAGAATTCCCAGAATAATATCACCTCTCCCGCGAAGTGTCAATCTCCTTTTTTGCTGAGGGTCGTACTCCAGTATACCTGGATCGCGCCTGGGCTTCTCCCTGGATATTCCTCCGAGAATTGCCTCGTGACCTCGACAATGGTAGCAACCAACAACAGCCGACAGAGTCATGTATGAGGCATTTATGCTATTGGGCATACTCGTCCCAGACACATTCTCATCGCCATATGGGTAATTGCGAGATCAGCATGGCTGGGAGGAGAATGGGGACGAAACAGAGGCGCAGGACGGGAGAGAGCAAAAAGTTTAGCCAACGAGCCGGTCCATGCTGACGGGGCAGAGAATCTGGAAGTGGAGGTGAGCAAAAAAAGGGGGGCGAAAGGGGCAGGCGTCTCTGGAGTTGGTGAGACAACGGGCCGCGGCCAGGTGAGTGCAGAATATGGGAGGGGGGTTGAGGAAAAAGAAGTAATTGGACTGAGAGAGGCGAGGGCAGTTCTTATATACTCGGAGGAGCCAGCGGGCGGTGATAACAATACGGCGTACCGGGAGACTATCCCGAAAGAGGCAAAACTAACCGAAACAGGAAATTCACAGGTCCTCGCTTTACATTCAACATCCAAGCTTCAGCTATTGCTAAGCATCAGTATCATATGTATTCACGATATAGAATGTGAGATACTAGTAAAAGAATTTGTAGAGGTGCTGAGAAGATGTGCAGTAGTTATTGTTAGATTGTGACGTTGCAGTGATAGGACAAAGATATTAGGAGCATTGTCCTGCAGCAATTGCCAAAAGGAACAGGCATAGTACATTGAACAAGTTCAATTCAAATATGGCCCCCCTCTCTTAGATATCGATAAATATCATAAATACTATAACCGCTGTCTAAGTTATCCTTATCCTTATCTTTATCCTTATCACCTGAAGAATCAATATCTATTACCTTCTATCCATTTATATCCTCCACCCAAGTTTCATAACTATCATAATATGGAATTAAACCGGGCTTTCTAATAGCCGGATATCGTTCGTTAAACTCCACTATATTCCACGAACGCGAAAACGGTCAAATCCCATAAATCTTCAAACGGACCCAATCCATATTATAAGACTCGTGCCGGTATCCCTTATTAAAAAAATAGCGATTAATCAAGATTATATATTCTCTTTTTTTAGTAATCCAATTTTTGCTTTCGAGGTAAGGCTCTAGACTTTCCAGAATAGATTAAAAGGTATGGTCATCGATTATTAAGTAAAAGATTGACCGTAGAGTGCTACGATAATTGTAGTTTAAATATCGTTTTATCTAGTTTTAGAATAGTTACTGGACTTTAATAGGCGAAGCCTTCTCTAGCAATTATTTATTATTAATAATAACGTTTTTAAAACCCTCCTAGACGATCTCGGTTGGTTTAGGGTTATCATCATATCTTATAGTGCAGTGGATATAGCGATTGAGTTTGGTAAAGGTTTGGTTCCAGTCCTCGTCGAAACCGTATACTGTTTGATAGATAAAATATCCCTATAGCTAATCTTAGCCCCAGTGTACAGATCTTTCGAGGAACTGCCTTGAAAGAGTCTTACCCTACTATGGCTAATTTTTAAAATGATTATAGAATTTCACTATTCTTTGGTCTGGCGAAAAGTCGGATAAAGCCCATAGTTTAGACCAGGATTTGTAGTAGAAGAATCCGTTGTATAAATTAGGTGAGGATAGTTTGGTTTGGTTAGATATAGTGTAAGGAGGCCGATGTCTACTAGTTTGAACTCTGTGCGTCTATGTAAAGCTTTTATATAAGAATACTTGGGACTTAAGTCTAGGTGGGGTAACCTACGGCAACCATGTAGTACCCGGCTTAGTAAATTGTGTAGTCGTGGCTCACGCTGTGGTAAATAACGTAATCCACGGGCGAGCGGCCATCCCGGGCGAGCGGCCACCACACCAGAATTCTACGTATCTTCTAGAAATGAAGCTATTCAAAACACCGAAAAATATGTATTTCTATAGAAAATTTAAATAGTCTGATAATTAGGACACTGAGTAATTTTATGTCCTAGTATATTATAGCCAGAATACCTTGGTGGAGCACGTACACGCTGGCTTTCTACCGGAGCGTCTATATTTATTGAGGCAGTAATTATAGGCTTTACAGTAGAATTTCTGCCTTGTATAAGTTCCTGAGCTTCCTAAACTAAAGTATATATCTAAGCTCTTATCTAAAAAAAGGCCTCGAAAAAGTAAAGTTTATTAATATAGTTAAAACCTAATCTTATCTTATTCTTAACCAGCTGTCCGTACGCACATTTTAAAAAATTAAAGTAATCTATATTAAGTGGCTAAAGTAGATGAGATGAGTATGTAAGTATATAAAGAGGTATAATATCGTTTTAACTGCATATATTATCAAACCAAGGTATTAAATAACTACCATAGCCATCGAGTATTAAAATGTTATGGACCCCAGTCTAGTGCGGTACTAATAGATAATATACTAGCTATAGTAACGATGAAAGTGGTGAACATTATTAATGGTAAAATATTATCTAGACGATAATGTTCCAGTACGTGAATATTAGTAAAGGTGGAATATTACGACCACGATAATATCGAAGGACCTTAATATTATTAGGATAATAATACTGGGAGACTACGGTATTAGTATAGTAACTCCGATTAAAACTAACCCTAGTAAATATAAATATACTCTTTCCGCAGTATAACTAGAAAGTCTATAATAGACACCTACAAATATTATATGATAGAGTATTAGCTGGGGTACTATAAATAGTATACGGTACGATACCTTGAGATACTAGGTAAGATACTAGAAAAGATATACAGGATAGTATATAGATCAAAGATATATAAGAACACTTATTTATATACTTAGTTTAGTTTTTTGTAATTAATCTAAATTATTATTACAGATATATTTTTATATCTAGTATTAGCTTAATTCGTTCGTACTATTTAACAATTAAATATATATACTCAATTAGCTTAGCCTTTTTATCTTAAATTAAAATTATAATATCGTTATTATTTTAGCGGATTGTCAGACTATATTAGGTTATCTTTTATTATTAATTACTAGTTGATTCTAGTTATTAAGTAAATTGTATCTAACCAAGATAGCTAACTAGTTATAAAGTCCTTGGATAAATACCCGGGTATAACACATTGATTACTAGTTTATATAAGTTAAATCTTGGTTAGATTTAAAAAATTAATAATATATCTTTTTAATTATCCAGTAGTAAAAAGACTCCGGTCAAGAATACTCTACTGGCGGAAACTAATTTCGAAAACGAAAACTCCGTAAAGGAATAGCTAAAATAAATAAGAAATATAATTACTTAGCTTATTAATAACGCTAAAGAAAAGAATTAGAAAATCGAAAATCTCAAAACGAAGCTTAGAGAAGTCGAGAAGATTTAAAAGAAATATAAGAATTATATCGCTTAACTCGACAATTAAGTTAGAATAGCGATATTTAAAAATATAATTAAAAGAGTAAAACTACCAAAAGCTAAATCTTTTAATAGAATTTATTCCAAGTTATAAGTATTTTTAATATAAATGAATATATATATTTACATAAATAGGAAGAACTTTATCAACGAAGTTGATAAAATTATTTTTATATTTACTTATTTACAAGAAATAGCGTGGAACTAGTTTAAATTATATATTCAAAAATATTACGAGGTTGTACTAGATAAATAGTTAAATATTATATAAAAATTATTCACCAACTCGGGAAATCTACACAAATATCTTAAACGAATTTTTAAAGATATCGATATCGAAACTATAGCCGAATATAAATTAAAATAGCTATACTAATAAAATAATATATTAATTTATACAGCGGAATTTTAGCAGATTATATCTAAAATAAACTAAAACGAAAAAGTTTATATATTAATTTTTATTAGTAGTTTCAAAGGACATATAAAGGACGAATTTATATAAATTAATAGATTAACTACACTTAACGAAGTAATCGACTTTGCTATTAAAGTAGATAACCAATACTATAAATAACTTATAGAAAAACGAGATAACAAAGCCTAGAGAAAAGATAAATACCAACCTCGAAATTAATATAAATCTAATAATTAAAAAAAATATACAGGTACGAAGAATAGTAATTTCTATAAATTAAAATCTATAGAACTAGACGTTATTAAGAGATGGGACTAATATATTAGTATTTCCTAGTAGAAATGTAAGCGTAGAAGAAAAAAAAAACTCTACTATAATTATGGAAAGATAGGATATATATTAAAGGACTATTAATAAAAAAGAAATAATTATAAATTAAATAGAAAATCTTAGCAAATAAACGCGACAAAGGATAAGTTAAAACCGCCAAAAGAGACGAGAATCGTATAATTTAATATTACTGTAGAAACCAATAAGCTATATAATAAAGCTAGAGAAGTCTATGATATATCACGAAATCCTGAAATTATTAGAGATCTAGGAGGAATTAATAACAAGGCTAGTTCTATATAACTTAATATTAATATAGATTTATTAGTTAAAGGAATGGAACGGTACGAAAAAAACGAATTAAATAGTGATAATTAGATTACTTTAGATTAATTTATAATCTATATAAATTAAGCGATGTGGCCACGTATTAACTAGGATTGGAATAATTTATAAGATATTATAGAACAATAGTATAGATAATTTGATAAGAATAAAATCGACGAACTAATCGACTACGCAAATAATAAAACTAATAAACTTAGATAAATTAATAAATTATAGTATAAAGCTATTATAGAATCAATTAGAAGACGCATACAATATATATTAAATTGTAGGGTAGATAGCTCTAATAATATTAATTAATATCATAAGCCTGTTTCAAGTATTAATTAATTAAATCGAGTTTTGACTAAAATCGATCTCTTGGATGAAGAGTACGGTACTTAATAGATTAGCTATAATTTTAATATAGAGAGATTCCTTGAGATACCCAAGATATTAAAAAATTTTTAAGATAAAGATAAAAACGCATACTAACGAGTTATGGAACTTATCGATATACTATAGAAGATAGTATTACCACGGCGAAGAATAATACCACAATTAAAACTCTATTAAATATAATAGATCGAAGTTAAGATACTAAAAAGATAAGAAAATCTTATAAATTAAATTAATAGTATAATCGACAATATCGCGTAGAACTTTAGAAGATTCTTGCAATTACTTAGAATATTACTAGAACAATATTTATATTAGAATTATAAATATTAGAATTTAAATATCGAAAATTAGGACGAATATTATTAATATTATAATAAATACTTAATTATTTATAAGAAATGCGGTGTAGACCGACTTAATTATTATAGTGAACTTGAATTAATTGATTTAGATAGAGCAAAACGGGGATATAACGGGATATAATATTAATTAAGAGAGTATAAGTATTATTATTACACCGATAAATTAATATATAATTATTATTCCTAGATTATATATTTTAATAATAGCTGCGTACACTATCGCATTTAAAAAAGAATTACATACTTTTGATTATAAAACGACGCAAATCGAAAAACATTTACCACAACTAAGGAAGGAAGATATATTATAACGATTATTATTATTAATAGAAAGCTAGCGCGAGTAATAATAGATTTAAGCGCAACGAATAACTTTATATTACTAAAATATTAAAAAAATATAGGAATTGAAAGACGGCGGAAAAGAAATATCGAACCTTTACTTAGATTAGATAGCTAGAAATTAGAAACTAGTTAAATCTTAATCAAAATAGTATCTATTACTATAGTTATAGAGTAATATATCGAAAGTATAACCTTTAATATTACGTCTTTAGAAAACAAATATAATATAGTATTAAAGATCTTATAACTTAAAGATTATAATTTAATAATAGATTAGAAATAGTGAATACTTTACTTAAACAATTACTATTATTTAAAAAGACTATATATAAAATATAGTACCCGCATCTTTACTAGTAAATATACTAGTAATAGAAAAATTAAACAGCGCGATTAGTATACCGCGAAGGAAAATTCCGCGAAAAATATAATTATAGTAGTAACTCGATATTTGGAAAAGAAATAGTTAGCTAAACTAATGGAATAGATACCTACAAATAAATAAGAATAACTAGAAATTATAATACTAGAAAGTAAATTAGAAAAGGAATAGTACTTTTTACTAGAAATAAATTAAATATTATTAGAGTTAGACAGCGATTCTTAGATACTTTTGGATTCCTAGGAATTAGTGACTAATTCCGTAGGATAATTAAATTTATTTAAAGAGTATCAAGAATTCTAGAAGCTATTTAAATAGCTATAAATAAATAAATTACTAGAGTATAGACCGTATAACTATACTATTTCTATTTAGGAAGAAAAAAAAATGATATATAAATAAATTTATCTAATATTAGGAAAAAAATTATAAGCTCTAAAGAAGTATATCAAAGATAGATTTAAAAAAAAATAAATTCGATTATTAAAAAGTCTAGTAGAACACGGAATATTATTTATATTTAAAAAGGAAAAAGAATTATAATTATATATCGATTATTAATTACTAAATAAAATTACGATTAAAGATAGATATCTATTACTATTTATTACAGAAATATAAGATAAGATAAAAGAAGTAAAATAGTTTACAAAGCTCGATATTATAGATATATATTACCGTTTTAAAATTACGAAAGGCAAAGAATAGAAAACTATATTTCAAATAAAATATAGATATTATAAATACTTAGTTATATTTTTTAAGTTTACTAATATATTAGTATCGTTTTAGAGATTTATTAATAAAGTATTAGGGGAGATTTTCGATATATTCGTTATTATATATTTAAATAATATCTTAATTTTTTTATATAACCGCAAAGAACACGTCAAATATATCTAAGTAGTTTTGGAAAAATTATAGAAAGTAGAAATATAATTGAAACTAAAGAAATGCGAATTTTACATTCAAGAAATTAAATTTTTAGAATATTAGATATCTATTAAAAAAATATAAGTAAAGGAAGAGAAAATAAAAGCTATTTAAAAATAATTTAAATTAATTAATTTCAAGAAACTATAACAGTTTATTAGATTATTAAACTATTATTAAAAATTTATTAATTAATATATACAAAAGCTAGGATCACTTTTCGACCTATTTAAAAAATTGAAATAATAGAAATAAATAAATAAATATTAAAACATATTTAATAATATAAAAGAAATAATTATTATAGTACTAATTTTAATATAATATAATCTAATTAAATAAACTATTATCGAAACCGATATATTTAACTATACAATTAGCGTATAAATAATATAAATAGAGCTAGATAGAAAGTTACAATTAATAATATTTAAATTTAGAAAATTAGTTTAAGCTAAATTGAATTACAATATCTATAATAAAGAATTGTTGGTTATAGTATTAATATTTAAAAAATAGAAAGTATATCTAGAAGAAGTATAATATCAGATTATTATAAAATTAGATTATAAAAATTTAATATATTTTATAACTATAAAAGAGTTTATATAATAATAAGTAAAATAGGCTAAAATATTATCACAATACGATTTTAGAATTAAATATTGTAAAGAATTAGAAAACGGTTAAGCCAACACTTTAAACCGAAGACTAGACTATAAAATTAAAAAAAAAATAATTAAGTCTATAATATTAAAGTCGTATAAGGATAGATTGATTGGATATAATTACTAGACACTCGCAGCAGTAACTATAGAAATTAAGAATTTTATTTAATATCTCATTGCGAAGATAAATAAAAAAAACGAATTATTTATATAAAAGCTTAAAATAAGTAATAATCTATTTATTAAAGATAAAGATGGAATTGTATATTATCAAAATTTTATATAAATTTCTTAGATACTATAGAATATAATAATCTAGGAATACTACAATAATCCAACACGAGGATATTTTAAAATTGAAAAGATATTAAAATAGATCGTAAAGAATTACTATTTCCCAAATATAGTAAAATAAATTAGGAAATATATTAAAAAATATAAGATATATATTAGAGATAAACTAGCGAGATATAAATTATATAGACTTATATAATTACTAGATATATTTTCGAGACTTTAAGAATAGATTATAATCGATTTTGTGGAATTACTACTTAAATTAAAAAAATAGAATATAATAATGGTAATAATAAATTAATTTACTAAATATATCCATTTAGTACTAAGTAAATTAATACTCAATATAGTATAACTTATATATATATTATTTAACTATATCTTTATTTACTATAGAGTGGTAAAAAAGATTATATTAAATTAGGATAAATTATTCACGTCAAAGTTTTAGCAATCGCTTATAAATTTAATAGAAATAGATCAAAAATTAACCACAGTATATTATCTATAAGAAAATAGTTAAATAAAAAAAATAAACTAAATAATTAAATAATATTTACGACACTATATTAATTATTAATAGAATAATTAAGTAAATCTATTATTAATAGTATAATTTATATATAATAACGCGGAACACTCGACAATAGAAATAATATCCTTTTATATAAATTATAGATACTATGTTAGGTTAGCTAGAGAACCAAAGAATAGATATCTTATTATAGAAAAAGCTAGTAGAATAGTTAAGAAATTAAAGAATTTGCAAAATTAACTATTATTAGATATTAAATTCTTTAACTACTACGTAGTAATATACTACAATCGATACTATAAAAAGGAACTTATTTTTAAAAAGGGGAAAAAAGTATTTCTACTTCGTAGAAATATTAAAACGAAATGACCAAGTTCAAAACTTAACTATTAAAAAATTAGATTATTTAAAATCAAAAAATAAATTGGCAACGTTAACTACCAGCTAAAACTATTAGACTCGATAAAAAGGATATATCTAGTATTTTATATTTTATTATTGGAACCTGTACCAAAGAATACTAAAATTGTTAAAAATATCGAACTCGACGAAGAGAAAATGGAATACGAAGTCGAAAAAATACTAAGCTATAAATAAGTTAATAGAAAACTGTACTACCTAGTAAAATGGAAGAGTTATAATACCTTAGAAAACTTATAGAAGCCTATCGAGAATTTGATAGGCTATTACTAGCTGGTTTAACAGTACTACTAGTAAAAGGATTAAAGTTTACCTAGAACGAAGGGTCGCTAATTACTTAACTTAGACTAGTGTTATCTAAAAAGGCGACAAGTTAAGTAGTGTTGTGAGCATTGATAAAACGCTCCAGCTCTTAAAAATCCTCGGTGTTTAACAAATCTTTCTTATCTAACCGATCCAGCACCAGTGAATCGTAATCTAATATCCGCTTATCACGATTTTTAAAAAATTGTTACTGTTTAAATAAGCGAGTTATTTTAGTAGAAATATGGGCCTGCTCGGCCAAAGCATTAGCTAACTAACTTTAAACCAATAACTATTCACGTTTTAAATTATTCTATTCTTTATCGCTATAAAATCGCTTTTCGTATTTGTAATTACAACGGGTATAGAAGAAATAGTTTCGGCTCTTAGAATTTATAATATATAGCAACCCACGGGAAAGACAATATTTGTATAGATTTTTAACTAAATAATCATTCTTTTTAATCTTATCAGCCTAACGAATACATTCGCTGTAACGGTTACGAGAAGAGGGTTTGTAAGGAGGTATAATGGAATATCGCAAAGAAAAGGGAACTTACGAAAAAGAAAAGTTACGACTTTACAAGGGAAGAAACTACGAATTTATACTTTCGAGGATGAAAGCTTAGAAGAGGGGGAGTAATATTATAGACCCCGGTTTAGTGCGGTATTAATAGATAATATATTAGTTATAGTAACGATAAAAGCGGTGAATATTATTAATAGTAAAATATTATCATCTAGATAATATTCTAGTACGTAAATATCAATAAAAATAGAATATTATAACTATAATAATATTAAAGGATCTTAATATTACTAGAATAATAATACTAGTATCCGTTGACATGGTTAGCGGGGCGCCGAAAACGGCTCCCATTGCACGGTTCATCTGCCGCCCGCCACCGCCTGCTACCGGCGGATATGCTCCTACCTCTTGCGGTATAGTACTCGCCACTTTAGGAATCGCGTCGCTCTCTCGCCGCTTTTGCGGCTTCCCCTGCCGCCTCAATACAACCCGCGGCATCTATATAAGCCTGACACCTCTCCTTCAAACGACGACGCACTTTGTCTTTCGCTTTCTCCCCTGCTGTCCCTTCGCCCCCAATGCACTGCCCCCTTCTGAGGGTGCCGCGTTATCCGACGATTGCCCTTTTTCGGTATGATGTCGTCCCACTTCCCACTCCCCTCTTTTCGCCCTTTTCAGCTACGGAGTCGCCGACGGGTCATCTGATGGAATTGAGGCATTTTTAGCGGTCGATTCATTGGCATTTGGGTTAACCATGGCGCCTCTGACACCGTTCTCCTGCTTGGTTGCTGGGATCTTGCTGTTGGTGTGGATTTTACCTCAACGTGTGCGAGTTGATCGGTGATTTTGACCTTTGATTTTCCCGGTCTCTTCCCCCGTCTCCGGTCTTTTCTTTTCTTCTCTTCTTTCATTGTTTTCGAGTTGTGCTTCCTCTGTTTCTTCATTATTCATTATTGGTACCTTAAATCGACTCTCATGATCACTGTATGCACAGATTTCTGGGGTTCTGGACAGGGAAAAGGGCCACCGCTCATCCACATACCTGGGGTGGCTAATGTCCTTAGGTTCGGGTGACCTAGGTTGCGTCTCCTCCTCTCAAGGCTGTGCATTGACCTACGATCTGATTCTCTTTACGTGCTCTCGCCTTAATCTTACCAGCCAATAGCGAAATTGCCGCATTTCTTCTGTTGTTGTGTATGTCTTTGTCTCTTGACATGTGAGACCTGGAGCTGGCATGACCGTATACTATTGGCGCAGGGCACCGGATGTCAGCCTACAAGCGACACTTTGGATGAAGATGGAAACATCGGCGGTGGCCCCCGGCGCGGCCGGTAAGATTGGAGGATTGGACGAATGGTCGAGTCGACGCGCCGCGAGCATATATAAAGAGGCCAGTCAAAGCTGCAAAGAGTTGCCGGTATTGTGATTTATTTCCTCGCACCTACAGTCTTCCCTTCAATATCCATTTCCATCTTCCTGTTGCTGTCTCCCCAACGCCTTTCCTGCCAAAATACCTCATTTTCTCAAACATGTTCCCTACATTTCACATAAACAACTTCAAGCCGTGGGCTCCCCCTCACACTAAACAAATCACACCCCACAAATCCCTCGCTTCGCGCGCTCCGCGCACTCCAATACCCACCCCAAAACTCAACACCCCCCCTCCCTACAAGCCTCGTCATCATTCCTTTCCAAGCACTTTGCCATCTCCCAAACATTGCCTCCCAGCGCGGCCACCGGCCGAAGTTTGCTTGCATATCAGCGCAGACACTCGGCCGTGTACGTTGAACTCCCAACCTCCACCAAGGGAGTGTTCTATACCGCCGCCGAACACGCTATCTTCGAAAATTCCCGAGCACGGCACAATATCTACATGCTATCCAGTAGATCGCACATCAAATTCGGATCCAATTCCACCCTGCTATTTCGAAGATATCATGGATGCCCCAATTGAGCCGCCGTTCTTTCAAGAAGACACCGCAGGGGCTAGCCAATCTTCACCCAGCACTAGCTCAGAGGATAGCTTGGAAGAGTTATTCGGCTTTCCAGGTCTACAGAGCAATATTCCCATTGACCCAGTGATCCTTGCCGACAATAAGCCTTGGGAGGAGGAGGCTAGCGGCCTTCACCAACATATCCAGCAATGTGATGATCTTATGTTTCCAGAGACAATTTGTCCATATCCTGAACCTCCAACTCTTTGCGACACACCCGATCAACTCCGGAGTTCCAGCAAAGACCCCGGCAACCAGGGTGGTAATACTAAAACAAGCGACCACCCTCGCACCCAGAGGCATCGACAATTGAATTCTTCTAATCACAACAATGAAGCCGACACATCTTGCTCTAACGACACAAGTGAGAACCTCCACGGCGAACAGTCTAAAAAACACAAGCGAAAGACACAGCGATCGGGATCGGGAGGAAGATCTGCCAAACGGATTCGACTTCCTCTCCGATTACCAACAAGGGAGGATTCCTTCACCGGCCTTCCTTCGCATTTCTTATCTCTACCACTTGATGAACGCTTGCAGTTCCTTTCTTGGCTTTTCGAAGGTGCTTTACCACGTTGCATGTCAGACTATCCTCTCACAGCATCTGAACAAGGAGATGCGCCGGAAGCCAGTTACTCTACTATCCCTGATATGATTGAGCAAGCCCCGCGGGGTAGCATGGAGGTCATGGAAAGCTCGAGAAAGGGTGCAAGATGGTCTCTGGAGGAGGAGACTCTTCTGCTGAAGCTGAAGAAGTATGAGAAGCGGCCTTGGAAAGAGATCGAGAGATTATTCTCTGAGGAATATCCAGGGAGAAGTCTTGGCGCGATCCAGGTGCACTGGAGTACGACCCTCTGTAGAAAAGAGGATTAACACTTCGCGGGAAAGGTGATAGTATATTGGAATTCTAAACAATATATAAGCCACGACATGCAGACCTCCTCTCGCCAGAGCCTAGTACAGACGATGAGGATAACTGTGCTCGACTACTCGGCTTAAACTGGCGATCTCAACATGAGGAGCAAGCAACCTAAGTCAACACCATCACCCGACTGTGTACCTTGTCTTCTAGCGGCTATTACGTAAACTTATAGTCACGCGGTAATTGTTGATGAGAGAGCTGGCCTTACCTGCTTACATTCCGGTTGATTTCGCGCTCTCAATGCTTTCTGATGATATGATTATTCTTCTACAATCCGTACCTAGAGACATGGCTGGTAATCATGAGTTCCGTGGCTATCTAAGTAACGACCTTGTCGCATCGATCTCTTTCCTCCTCGACAAAGCTTGTGTGCCCTACTTTGGGGTAACTATTTGCTATGGTATATATGGAGCGGTGTTCTAGGACATGGTCCTTCACCGTCGCTGTTAATCCAACAGGATGTTCAACCTGCCTCCACCATTGGATAATACATCGGTTTTGTCCATGGGATACGTTAGACATTGAATGGATGATTTTCTGGGGTTGCTTTGGACCAATGCAAGATGGGTCACATAATGTATATTTAGAATGGTTAACTTATTGTCGGCGAAAGAAACACTAAGAGTCGAGAGTTGGCATAAATATACTTTACATTAGAATAGCTTGCATAGTTAATGTAACAATCGGCCTTTCTGCTAATACAACATGTTCATCCTATCCATGTTGCTCCTCTCAACTTTGCAGCCTGCGAGGTAAGCCACGTAGCTACCGTATGGAATAACCCGTTGCCATTCGTCATCTCATCGTTCGCCGCAGACGATGGGGAACACCATGGTTCCATTAGAGCGTTGGCAAGGAATTCTTCCCGCGTTATCTTACCCCCGTCCATGAGCGCTTTTTTCTCTTCCATTTGCTCCAAGGCTTCATCATAGTTATCCAACTCGTTGATCTTCCGCGACGCGAACGCCTCAAGCAATTCTGGCTGGTCAAATTCCCTCTCACGCTTAGCCCATTCGCTAGTCCCCACATGTTGACGGAGCTTAGTAAAAGGAAAGCTGCGATGGTCGTTAAAGCCAGACATGAGGAGCATGTGTAGCCACATAGCTCCAGAGGCTTGCGACCACTTAACAAGACTAGAGAGCTCTCTCTCTTCGTGGCCTGGCATTTCCATCTCTTCCTCCTCCAAGATATGTATGAAGATATCAAGGTACTTAAAGTACCGGGTAGCAATCTTGGGTGGCTCCTCACCCTCGTAGTCCCATGTACTGTTAACAGGCCTGTCTTGGAGAAGCCACCACGGTGCTGAGCCAAATAGTTGGGCGGGCCCAATATATGACCATTCAAGATCTACTACTCCAACAACAGTAAGATCTTCTTTACCACGAACAATTAGATTCGCTAAGCCAAGATCGTCACAAATTAATTTAAATTTGTGACGATCATACTTTGGATTGACCAGGTCAGGTATCAAGGTTTTTAAAACCTTAAACATCACATATTTGTTCTTAGCATCGTATTCCCCAACGATCGAGTTTGGCTGGCGAACAAGCTGTTCCCAGTCTTGCCCAACGATATACTGAAAATACTCTGTGGTCGTCGCAAACCCCTGGGTTCGGTCACCTGGGAATCATTCCTTAGCCAACGTAGTTGATTAACCAGAGTGTTAAGGAGACAAGACGTACCAAAAGTGTCAACCCCTCCGTTCTGTAGAATGCTATGCGACTTAAAAGTGAGCGGCCGTGGCAGTGTAGGGTCATGGACTCCGGCCTGTGGCGATGGTAGGCTACCGATCTGATCAAAATCGAGCTTGAAAATCTGAAGGAGGAAATTCGCCAACTGTCTATAGATATATTCAACATCACGATCGCTGATATCCTCCCTCATAACTCTGCTGGGGCGATCGGCAGTGGGATCCCGGAGAAGATCGTTTAGGCTCACACCCTTGATAAAGTCCATCATGATAAACGGACCGAGGCCAAGTGGATTACTGGTAGCGGGACCCCACGCCTGGACTGTCGGGACGGGAATAGTAGTTCTATCGCGGAGAAGACCCAGAGCCGTTACCTCCATCGCAACCTTCTCGTCGGTGTAGTCGTCACAGACCATTCCCGCGCGAGGGAAACGAACCATCCAGGCTGTGTTGTCACTAAAGACAATCTTTATGCCAGCATTAAATGCACCGTGGTGAAAGGTACCATCAAGTTTACAGGGAAGCTTGTTAGGATGGAAAGTAGACACCCACTGACAAAGACGACCCGTTCTGTGGGTCTCGTTCACCTTATCAACCCAGAGCTGGCCCTGCACCTCGTGGACGAGGTCAATAAGTGCATTGGTGTCCATAATGCCAGAGAGGTTTCTGATAGATAAGTAACAGGACTTGTGGCGATACAAACTTTAGCCAGTAAGTTTGTTTAGGAACGAGTGAGGTGGACAAGGAAGGGGGGCTGGCCTATTTATGGTCGGTTGGCACGAGCATCGCTGCCTCAGGCATAACACTATTCTCTTGGCATAGTATCTATTATTACATTAGGCACACAGTCCATGGGTTCAGTTATTTGAACCTTTTATGATTATCTCAAACGCTATAGTACTCCCAGACCTCAGCAATATCGTCTAAACAGCGCCATCAAGCTAAATGTATTTCGTCATAACGCTACAGGTAGGAATGATAGAAACTTAACATTTAGAGTCGCATACTTAAAAGTTGACTTACAATGCCACAGAATATCAAGAAAGTAAATCAAGTAATCAACTCCTAAATACGTCGACACGGGTTTGTCAATAGGTATTATGAAGTTTGGCTAGAGAAGAAGATGCGTAACGCTCCCGCAAGAGAACTGACTACTCAACAATCCACTGAAAGCGCCAGAATCACAAATTCAAGGGAGCTAAGGAGTAAAAGTTGACTGAGATGTTCTTTTCCCTCAGAGCAGATCTCCCAGGTTAATAGAAAAGAATATACATTCCAAAGACAGTAACGACTGAAAGAGAAAAAGGTTGTGGGTACAATAGTTGAAACAGTGGTCAAGCTTCTGGCTACAGACTACCAGTAAGGCTAGGTAACCAGCCTGAATGGCAGTCTATCCGGACTTTCCGCTCTTCTTTTATTGGTAATCATCAGTACATAGCACGCCAATTTAAACAGATTGGAAAGTAAGGGTCGGGGACGAACAGTAGAACCTCCCTCCTTTGCGGCCTTCTCTTCAGCCTCGCGTTTCGCTCGTATCTCTTTGTTCCTGCGACGCTTCTCGATAGAGGAATTGGCAGTGTCAACCATCTGTCCAATGGCATTGCTCCCAGCGCTAGCAATCGCGTCATTCACTTCCATTCTGGCGTTGGGATCAATGTTGTCGGACATCGCGGGCAGACGTAGAGTAAATTGTGAGTTTGACTGTCGAGAGTCAGGCTAACGTTCGAGACAACTAGCTTTGAACAGGAGGGAATATAAAAGGAGAAACACAAACACAGTACTTCCGCTTCAGTTATAGCCTAGATATTTTTGATGTGAATGATGGTACGATAACGAGAGGGCCATTCTACTCTTCTTATATCGCATAGACTCTTAGAAAAAGGTACTGTTTTCACCGAGATATCTAGTAATGAGCGGGTAATGGAACGTAAGTTTGGCGATTTGGCCTTTGCTGCTAGCAATAACGATATCTAAAAGATACTATTGGATGGATGGCTTCCGAAGCTAGTTGAGTCGACGAGCGCATATTACGCCTGCACCGTACACCCCAGTAGTCAAACCAGTGAGAGCCTGGAATGAATGTGATGAGGTGTGGATCTGGTGAGTATCGCGACCCTATGAATTGCGGTTAACCTCCAAATTACCACATCGTGTAGCCTTTTCCCTGGCCCAAATACGCATCACAGACCTTCCGGTCAGTGCGAACATGCAGCTAGCGCTGTTAGAGTATACTCGAGATACCAATCAGAGGGTTAATTTTAGCGCTGCTATTGTTTTAAAATAGGGGGCTAGGTATATCCCTTATAATAGTAATAGTAATTGTGATTGATAGGCCGGGAGCTTTAGTTCTAGTGTCGAGCTTTCTAGGATTATACTGGTCTGTCCCGCTCAGTGCGCTCGAGGCTTGCAGCAAGGCTAAACTGCGTGATATCTGCGCGGTTGTATAGGCGCTGCATACCATAGGAGGTGCTTCGTGGTGGGTACCCCTCTAGGGTGAATAGCATTGGACTATGGAAAGTCGAAGTTACAGGTGAGGCTGAAGGATTGGGAAACAGACGTGGGTGTCGAGCTTTGTGATCGATCCAGCTAACGCATTCGTGATTTGGTCATCCCCAAGAGGCTAAAACAAAGTAGACAGAGCACTATCTGAGGGCTCTTTTCATTGTTGACTACCTTTTTTGTCCCTGAATGCTGTTGCGTTTAGTGCTGGTCAACGAAGCTTTACTAGAACAGCGGCCTGTCCAAAATGACAATTCTCCAGAACAGGCTATAGTCCTAATTGTACAAATAGAGGTTACGCATAGTGGTGCTCGTCTTAGTTTCAACTCGGCGTTAAGCTCCTCGTTATTTTTTGCCAATCAGGCCAGACTAGGTCAAAGAATAAGCCCCCCATCTTACGTAGATCAAATACCTCAGCCCCGACCTAATCCTACGTCAAGAAAAGTAAGTTTGTGATTTGCGCTAAAGTTGGCCAATGGATGCACTGCAAGTTAACAAGGGTTCAGTACGCTTGACCACTTGACCACTTGTTCACTTGTTCACTTGACCACTTGACCACTTGACCACTTGACCACTTGACCACTTGTCCACTTGACCACTTGTCCACTTGTCCACTTGACCACCCGTTCACCCGACCACATTATTCTTCTAAAGCATCTGCTTGTCCACTTCACCACTTGTCTACTTTTCCACTTGTTCACTTGTTCACTTGTCCACTTGTCCACTTTTCCACTTGTTCACTTGTTCACTTGTTCACTTGTTCACTT